TAACAAGGCTCAGGATCTTCTAATCATCTTTTTTTGGATGTATATCTGAATTTTAAGGACCACGTGGAACCAAGAGAACTGATGACTTTTTCAATGAAAAACAAAACCAAAAAACATTTATGATCTTGAATAACTTGGATCTCCTTAAAGGCTGTTCTATAAAAATCTTTTTGGGATTTTTAGCATTTGCAGCACCGATAATTTTATAGATGTTCTCCTGCCAAAAGAAAGCACGTCAACACTGTTGAACCCTAACATCATTTAGACTTTGAATGTTTTTGTTTCAAAAACTATTTGTTTCAACACCCGGTTCTTTGGTTTTAGGATAGTCAACCACGGCAATGGTAAAATGTAAACTTCTGACAACAGCTGTCATAATCCACATAGAAATAATTCAAATGAAAGAAACCAGCAAAAACAACACATTTGTTTCACACATCTGGTTTTCTTGTGTTTGAAAATAAGTAATTAAATAGATTCTTTAGAAAATAAATTCAGCCAAAACATAAGAACTCTACCAATAACACCAAACCATAGAAAAGCAGTACAGTATCTGCATACATACAATACATGTGGTATACTTATAAAACTGAGAAACTATCCGTGTTTCCACAGAGCTGGAAGTGATCTAAGAACAGCATGCAGCAAGGACAAAATTCATTTGTCTTAGTGAAAAAAAGACAAGTCTTCCCACAATCCTTCTCATCATTTCTGCCACTGCTGTTTATAATAAAACAAGAACATGCAGGTTTAAATGACTCCTTTACACTCTTGACTGACTTTGTCTGCTATAGCGATAGATTCTGAACAAATGAAGAGTGCATTTGACAAAACAGATAACTCCATTTTTATACTTTTTCAGCTCTCAAATTAAAATACACCACTCATTAGTCTATACGTTAGCAGGTTATATTTAGTACCTTTGGTACATCTTTTAATTAATATCCTTAAAATTTTCACCCCAAATGATGTAATTTGGTATGTTGTTACTAGCCAGGAGCAAACGATTTACCAAAAACTAAAAAGGTCCAAAAAAGTGCAGTAAACATGCAACAATGACTTAGCCAAAACATGCAATGCTCAGCAGGTGACACAATCAATAAAAAGTAAAAATGAAAGCTTTTTAAAGTTACTTCCAATGAATATTGGAGCTTAATGTTCATTTTGTTACACTCAAAGGAAATGGACATCCGCCTTGAGGCCATCATTCTCAGACCTGTTATCCAGCTGCTCCTGAAGCCGGATCACCTGGTCAAGCTCTCTGATCTGGCGGTCCGTTTTATGGCTGACCAGTGTGCGGTAAAAGTGAACGGCAAAGACAATAAAAACAAGAGCAAACGGCACCATGATGCAGGTGGACGCGATGGCTGCCGCCTCGCCAGAGCTTATGGTGCCGTTGTTTTCCTCGGTGTTGCTTTCGAGCGGTAGGAATTTCACCCAGCACAGAAGCACAACCTCAGTCAGGAAGAGGAGGGTGCCGATAACCGTGGAGAACGCCCAGGCCAGTTCTATGTGGCGGTGCATGCGCTCGTGGGGGGACTCATTCACAGAGTTGAGGTTATGAACATTGCTGACGGCCTCCAGATTAGGGAGAATGCAGGTGCTGATCATCAGGGCAAAAAGATGCACTGCAACTAGGATCGTGGTACAGGCGCTGAAGGCTATCAGCAGTCCAGGAGGATACTTGTGATCCCGCTCCAACTGGACCTCCACCATGGCCACCTGGAAGAAAAAAAAAGGTAGATCACCTCAACTTGACTTATTTATAAAGCTTTCATTGACCAAAGCACTGCACAGAAAAATTATGTTGAGTTGATAAACATGTGAACAAAGAACTTTAATAATATCAAAGGGTGAAAAATAGGTGGAATCTCAAGAGGCAACAAATCAAAAATGTTCAATTGAAGTTGCCTCGAGACGATCATTCCTGCAAACACAAAAAAATCATGGCTTTGCAAGTTTTTTTTATTTTAAATTTAAGATTTAAGCTACCAAAATTAAATCTAGCGATTTAGATATTATTTTTTATTACTATTAAAGCTAATGGTGTTTAGGGCAAAACTTCCAGATCTGTTTGAAATAGCTAACGAGCTGTAAGATGACCGCTATTCAGTACAGACATCTACAATTATTTGATTAACACTCCTACTTTAAGGGGAAAAAATGAGCTACAGCGTCTCTCACAATTAAAAAAAAAAATCACAAGGCGCTTCACAAAAACAAAAAATTCAAAAAATTCAAAAGATTTTTTTTTCAAAATGATTAAAAATATGGTTAAATTAGAAAGGGGAAGAGGGGAATCGGTGGATCCCGGGAAAGGCAGAGTTGGCAAAAAGAGCAGAATAAGGAGAGGGTGGTGATGAAGGTCACGCAAATGCCAGTTGCTTTTTAAAGGAGACCACTGAGTCCCGTGATCTCAGGGGGAGAGAGTTCCAGAGTCTCGTTACACAGCTGAAAAAACAAAGGTGTGACTGGATCTCTTCTGCGTTGTGAGGGTTAATGTTGAAGGATTCCAGGGACACCGATTGGAGATGAACCGATTCTTTGTTTATTCTGACAAGCTCAGTAAACAGAAACACGAAATGAACAACATTAGCCTGTCCGTTTTACCGCGGGTGTCAGTACCGACGCTCTGGCACAGCGCGTCGCCTCCCGACGCGCAGGAGCTCGTCACCTGCTGACTTTTCCGAGGACTGCATCTTGCCGGTCATTATTACGTGACAGCGACTAGTCGATGACAGGCATAAAAAGTCACTACAGAGCAGTGAGGTCGACTAGTCGACTAGTTCATACAACCCCTACTACACACCGGTGCTTCTCCTTCAGCTACTCCTTCCCTGGAGCTACACATAATTATTTAAAAACAGCATACAAGTCACTACATGGCTCTAACTTGTTCGTGTCTAGACAGATACTTTCATTTTTTTGTTCTGTCATGCAACTCTGGCTGCTTTATGTGGATGGTTCATCCACTCAAACTCTCTTCATGGCTGTTAACCATTGCCTTCGACACATTTTATCAGCTGTTATGTTACTTCCCTTCTTTCGTCTATTTGTGCAGCCTACATCACTGCATGTGTGTTAACCATGCTGATACAGTGTATTTTGCTGCTATTTAGCTCAGTTTATTGACAGCTGACAGATAATAGCAACAATAGTCAAGGGGGTGTGCAGTCATCTTGTCCTCCCAACAGAAGCTGGGGGACGGACTTCGGCGTGTGACGTCACGTGTCAAAAGTTCTATGTTATGAATGTCTAGCCTGTTTTCATGCTGTGCAATTTTTAAAATAGATTTAGCTTATAACACCTGGCAGGGCGACTGCCAATGGAAATCAGCCTTGGCTGAAACTGGATGCATTTACATTTTTACTGTAATCATGTTCATTAAGCACACGGTACCTTTTAAGCAGAAAAGTAAATTAAATTAAAGACTTCACAGTTTCACTGGAAGAGGCATCTTGTACAAATGCTAAAAATCTTTGTAAACACACTTGAACAAAAAGCAAAATAAACCCACAAAACTAGGGATGGACAATATATCGGCATCAATATCGGTATCGGCCGATGTTGGCCATTTTTTAAAAATATCGGTATCGATCCGATAAATAATTAACAACCGATATGTCTTCCATCTTGTCTCCATTTGTTTGCCTGTTTCAGAGGGTGAGGGGGTTGATCATCAACCACATCAACCGTTGATGTGTAATTGCTTAGTCATGTAATCATCTCATAAGCGTAAATGTGTGTGGTGTGTGTACATAATAATGTAAATTCAGCTTTAATAATTTTCCTTTTATACAAAATCTGATGATTTTAGAATCATTAATGTCAGTATATCGGTGTTGGCAAATATTGGTTATTAGCCATAGCAGAGATCTTAATATTGGATATTGGTATCGGCCCAAAATTTTCACATTGGTGCATCACTACACAAAACGCTACACTAATATATTTGCCACAAGCAAAACACTTTTTTGCTTTTGTCTTCAAAAATGTTTGAAGGTGGGAACACCTGGATTACACAAAAATATCAGAATTTCATCCCAAATACCAGAAGGAATTTGCAGCAATGTGGCCTGAAACGTGCAAAGGGCTTGATGATTCAGGACAGAAAAACAAAAAAGGTAAAAAATTTCAAATGACATGACGAGTATTGCATTAATGAAAACTTCGATTTTAATATAAATAAAACAATCTAAGTATGTTCAATAAATGTACAAAATAACTCATAGGTTACTCCATTATGTCCCCTTATTATTTCGGTTGCAGCAGTTTTACTTGCACAAGTTCAGGATGTAGTGAGTTTAAATGAAGAGTTCATGTAGGGTATTGATGTGGTTGGAAAGCATTTTGGAGACTTTCTTGAGACAAGGCAGCACGTATTTGCGCCCAGTGGTCGTTCCTGGGCCTATGAAACGGGAGCTATATGTTCGCCGTCCCTAAAACAATCGGCCTCGCGTATGGAGGCGTCGTGTCTGCGGCACGCTCAGCTGCGTCGCTGCAAAGTCAGACAAACTTACCATTGCGAAACCCGACAGCAGAGCCGAAGTTCGGCTGGTGGCTTTCAGTTTAGCTCGACTCAAGTACAACTTTCTCCACGACAACGCCTGCATGGAGTGCTCGTTCAAACTCATTCCGAGAGCGGGTCCAAAAAGTCAGAAAAACGCACAAGGCAGCAGGTACAGTAGTCACGCAGGCGCGTTCCGTTCCAGTCTAATGCAACTCATAAAAGTTGGAAAAGTAATACGAGATTCGGCCAAAACACTTTCCCTCAACAGCTGACTGTCAGAATCTATGAGGAAACTTAAGATACCCACAATCCAACGCTCTGCGCGGCCACAACTCTCATGTTGCGCTCCCCTCGCCACCCCCACCATTCCTCTTTTGCGGCACAACCAACAAGCAAGCCCAATAACAACTTTACGCTTCCCATTTATAAGCATATTAACGTGCAAAGAATGCTGTTATTTTTGCATACTATTTACCAGATTGTCTATTGTTTATTTGGGTGAAAGATAAACAAATTAGAGGAAGTTTCAAACGCCATACTTGCTAAAATATGGAAGCGCATTCCCGCCATTCTGAAAAAAATATGTATCTCATAATGATTTAGCTTTCCTCATATTTGTGGGATAGCATATCTTATAATTATGAGATAGCTAAGTCATTATAATGAAATACTATCTAATAAAAATGAGAAAGCTAATTCCTAATTATGAGGTGCAGTTTTTTTTATCTCAATGGCGGGAATGGGCATCCATACTTAGTCAACCTAACAGTGTCAGCGTAAGAGGAAGTCAAACATGCTATTATTGTATCTGTGAAAGACACAATAATAAAAATGCTCAAACACATGTTGCAGGCGCATGTGTGTATGTTCAGCAAATCCCTTTACTGAAATACTTATTTTGGTACGGCTTTATAAGGAAGAGCATACTGAATCCACGATCTGCAGCTCTTCCATAGTCCTCCAAGGCTTCAGGAGTTATTAAAGAAACAGGAAATATTGAAACAAGGGTGTGGGGCTCACTAGCATGTGTGTTGTGTGATTAAACCATCGACATTAATATCAACACTGGATGGTGCCAAAGTAAATCATTCTCAAACTCTACTTGCAATTGCCTGCGTTGCACAATTGTGTCACTGTATTATACAGTACAGTTAAATATTGCGTAAGCAATTCACTTTTTTGTGCTTTCACTCATTTAATGCATCAATCTGAGGATGATTGCACACGTGTGTGATTACCAGGGAAAACGTGTGTTTTTCACAGTTTGCATTGTTAAAAATACGCGTCTACTTAAATATTTGTTTACAACATACGTTTTCAGCAACAATGTCTTCTTACAAATAGGATAAAACACGATACATTCATTAACAAACGTGTAGGTAATGGCCCGTTTGTAAGCAGTGTTTATATTTAGCAGGGAAAATGGATCTTTGTAAACCCATGAAGATTTGAATGCTATGCAAATCAAATAAAACTGTACAACACTATGCCTTATCTAACCACAACAAATATTTCAAGCAATGACGGACATGCGCAGGAAGTTCTCTTGCGTTTATTCCATCATCTTTACTTCCTCGAACAACTATGTTGCATTTATGTCACACTTACAACCGCAGACTAGATTAATGTCAATGATTACAACCATCAATATATTATGTCTATGGCAACCGCCCAATTCACGTTAAGAAAATGTGTGATTTACAAACGTGAAGATTAAAATAAATCATAATTAGAGTTTGTTGTTATATTTGGAATATTTGGAAAATATTGTGAATAATTGCCATGAAATTTTCCGCTTTCAGTTGTTTTGATTAAATTGATTTTTCTTTTGTAAGCAGGAGCTGTTATTTTCCATGGTCCATGAACACATCACGCGTGAACAGCAGCTGCCCCAGGGGAGGGGCCACGAGCTGAGCTGGAGGTTTGTTCAGCCATGTTAGTTTCTTCTGCTGTTCACAAACGATGAGAGGAGAATCATGGCCTTGTCACTGAGCGGAGACGACGAGGAATATGAGTCAGAGTCTGAGCAGGTACAAGTCTTCACATTTTATCGTATCGCCTCTTTTTTCTGCGTAACAATGGTCAAAAATGCTCTTTAGAACGAGAAAGAATTATTTTATGGACGTCACGTTTATGTCTGTTGGTTAGGTAACGTTAAAACCCCGCTCTTCTCTGTTGGACTGAGTCAGGTTCAAATGATCATTGTGACTTATAATCGTTTATTTTGCTGATAATGATCATCCTAACTACATGTTCTGTACACGCGAATAGGTGATTATTTTAGTTGGTTTTCTGACTGTCCTAACAAACCGCATCCTTTATGTTGTTAGCCTTAGCTGACCCACTATGTACTGTCCACTTTCAATACGTTCACCCAGTCATGATTCAGATCATTTGCTGAGAACGGAAACTTCTGTCAAACTCTAATCTCTGAGACTGTTTGGCTTTGTCCTGGCCGAGGCTGTAATTTCCTCATACTCTAGCCTGCCATGTTGAAAAGGCTCTTCTCTTGAGATACTAATGCCTCACTTCCCAAACTTGTCCCACCACTCTGTGTCTTTAAGGAGGCTTTAGGCTAAATGGTGAGGCAGGGACCGGGGAGGGGGATGGGGACTGGGAACAATGAACTGGCTCTACTTCTTGTGCCTGGTTTGACCAGTGGTTGCCAAACTAGGTTCAGGGATCCTTCCAATAACATGTTGTGTAGGTATCACCAGTCTTTTCCACTTGCTTTGAGCCAAAGCTAAAATAAAAGTAGGCAAATCAACTTTCCATAGTTAAAGTTTTTATCAGTGGGTTATAGCACTTGTCCGGTAGTGTCAGCAGATTTAATTCATTGCACAGACATGCAGAAACTCTGCTCACACAACTCATACAAATAGGAATTACGAGAAGTGCTGATGTAAGAATCAGATTGCTGTGCTTGCACAATAGTTGTACCCACAACATAGTCCACTGCCAGTACAAAATCAAAGATGATATTTATGAAAGTCTTCCATTTAGACACGTGGTTGGAGACAACAACAGTGTATATGAGCAACAGATGATGAGCCTTGTGACTTTCTCCAATTCAAGTCAACGCTGAAGCTGGGTGGAAGCTCGCACTCAGTGTAGGAATCTTCTGCTGCCAATCCCAGATTATCATAATACTGCAGCTACAATAAAGATAAGGCTGCTGATAAAACAGGTTCTTAAACAGCTGTTTGGACTTGTTTCTGTCCACAAATTGTTTTGCTCTTGCCTTTTTAAAAATTATTTAGAATAGTAGAAACAAGCCTTTTTTTACTGTAAAAAAACAAACAAATATAGCCATTTGATAGGATTTTTTATGCTCATCATTACAAAGTTTTTTTTTAATCAACTCCTAAAAACAGGTACATAAAATACTAAGAAATGTCATGTTTTTGTTACCAAACAGTTGTCTAGAGTTGGTTCCTCATTACTATGGCTTGGCAGTAGGGGTAACCGATATGTTGGCTGACTGTTGAATCGGACCATTATTTGACATCTTTTATACATCAGCCCATATGACTCCTTAGTAAAGCCAATTTAAAGTCAGGCACATCCCCGGGCAGCCCATTGCTGTTGCAGAATTTACATTCCTGAATAACATCTGCTTAATAAATGCTCCAAAAACATTTACAACAAAAATAGCTTTTTATTTATCAGTTTTGAATATTTAATATTTGGTCAGTTTGATTAACTTTAGTTAAATGTCTGAATTTACCATTGAGCAGTGCACAAAATGAAGGTTTAACAGCTGATCAAATTCAGTGTTCAAAAATTGATTCTGTTTCAGAAGTTTTGTGAATAAAGTAATTATATATTATTAGTGACACTTTAGCATGAAAATGAGGTGGAAAACCTCTAGATATCTATCGTGAGAATCGACAGCACAAATCGGCCATCGGCTGACCATGACCTTTACCTATCGGCAATAGAAAACCAGTATCGGTCGACCTCTGCGTGACATCATTTTACTCCCCAACCCTGTTTTATTGAGGTACGTTTTTGTTTTTTGAGCCAAGTGTGAACGAAAATCCCAACAAGTTAGAGGTGGAGATTCATTCAGCAAAGGCACTCATTTATGAAATAAACCAAAAAGGACTGTTGAATCAATTCTCCTGCTATTGTAGCTATATTAAACTCTGTTTTTGCTTTTCTAATAGAATGTTTGATGAAAGTTGCATTTAGAGGCCAATCGATATATCAGGCCGATATATTCAGTTTTTTCTATTATCAGCCGAAATTATTTTTAAAAGCAGATTAAAAAAAATATCCGGCACCTGTGTGGCCAATTGCCGCCACTACTAGACTGAAGAAAGACCCCAAAGGACCCCCACACACTGTTCTTTTTAATGTTTTGAGTTTGTTTTATATTTGAAGTTCAATAAATATTAAGAGATTTATTGACTTTTTTTTTAGTTTATATTGCACACGGTGAGTGTTTAGTTGTCTTTCACAATTAATGTGCTGCTAAAACGTGTGTGTGTGTGTGTGTGTGTGTGTATATATATGTGTATATATATATATATATATATATATATATATCGCCCTTAATAATCAGCTTTAGATATCGGCCATGGGCAACAAAATTCTTTAAAAATGGCTATTGACATTGGCCTTAAAAAAACAAAAACAAAAAAATAGCATATCCGTCGGCCTCTAGTTGCTTTCTGGACAAGTTGCCACATGGCCCAAAACAACTCAGAAACACAACTACCCCTGAGCATTCACAGTTTAACAGTTGTTGAATGCTTGTTTAAATTATTTATTTGGAGCCGTTAGATCAAGTTATTGTGATTGACATCAAACCAAGCTTAATACCAATGTTTTAGAGGTATTGTCATGTTGCTATTAATGATTTACGTTGGAGGTTGCCATCATCACAGTCGGGACAGGTTTTGCCTCTTTTTCAGGGAAGAGCTCTACTGCTGATTGTGGTTGGTCTGGAATGTCCTGTTCTGTTCCATTTCAGCCGCAAAGACGTGCTTCTTGTGTCCCACTTGTTTGTTATTTCAAACAACATTTTATGAAAGTGAAGCTGATGAGATGGGTTCAAATTGAGCTACATTCTTTTGTGTTTTTGTGTCGGTACTACTATAAGAACAAATGCCTCTAGAAAATGGTTCGCAGCCTCAAAGAAAATCATCCTCACCTCCTGTGAGGTTATTTTTATCCATCTCTTGGCAGACCTTTTTTTCTCAAACGTTTGCCACCAGCAAGGCAAGTGTTGCCAAGGTAACCCCTCCTGCTAAGATAAGAATGACTGCAATAGTGTATGATTTGTCTTGTTTTTGTAGCATTTTATAGTAATGCCATGGCAACAGGGAAGACAGCGAAGAGATTTTTGGACTCATTTGTTTGTGAAATGTAACAGCTGATTATCCGTATATTTGTCATGACACTTTAGGACCAGTCCTCTATATTCATATTCTTCTCTCTTATTTAGATTTATTAAGCAGTAGGCTTTTCACCTAAATAACTTCGTGTTCCAGTGTCACTTGTGGGGCAGATCACTGTTAAAGTAAATGCATATCAGAGATGTCATGACTGAACAAGAAATGAAACGGATCTTTCAAATGTATTTTTGTCAGCATTTTGTGAAATCTTTTCAGCTATGAACCTGTGATCATTTGAACTCGGTTTCACTATCTGCTGATATGGGGGGGGGGGGGGGGGGGCACAGGATGTGTCACAAGATTTAGAATTATTTTTCTTCACAATTTCTTATAAATTATTTACTAAAGTGATCCATCTGCTTTTCAAAAGAATTGAAAATTGTTGATTATATTGCATGACTGCAATCTGCTCCCAATCCGAGTCATTTGATTTTGAGTGTCTGCCGATACAGAGTCCCAATCTGATACTTAGAAGAAAAGACGAGAACGTAGCCCAAAACATTTTTATGAAAATAAAGTTTCTCTATCTGCTTATGTCACAAAGACAAGCCCAAGTCCTGATGCGGTCTAGGTACAGGATCTGCTCATGGTGCGAGGTCAGCTCGGGGTCCTGTGTCTGTTGATGACGTCACACTAAACGAACGTACGACTTGTGGACGTCACAGTACCACGTTTGTAAATGTTAGGACGTCGACACTGAAGGTTTTGATTGGTTGGCTATGAACCCCCCTCCCCCTGTTTCACGGAAGAAGTACAGAGCCGAAATGGTACACTTGAAATTTTTACTCCATTTCTCACTCTCACTGTAGTGAAACGGGCTTTAACGCCTACCCCACCCGCTGCCCCCACTACCGAGTGCAAATGTACTGTTGTTTTTTTTATCTCCACAACATATAGCTGTACTATGATAGAATGGTGTTAAGAGGCATGGAAAAATGTTTTAAGATAATTTGTTTTCCAACTTTGCTATAGCAGCTTTAAATTTGTTTGATTACTTATCTTACTGATTACTGATACTATTATATTTTATTTACCTTCTGCACGTTTGTCTTCCAGCAGCGGGCAGCCAACCGTCCAAAGCCCAAAATGGGGACATCCTCAACTGTCAAGCTGCCGTCCAACCGCAGTTCGTCTGGAGCCAGGCGTAGGAGGACGCGCTGCAGGAAGTGTGAAGCATGCCTCCGCACTGAATGTGGAGAGTGTCACTTCTGCAAAGACATGAAGAAGTTTGGTGGACCAGGCCGCATGAAGCAGTCCTGCATAATGCGGCAATGCATCGCAGTAAGTATTATGCTCTGTTGTTTGCTCTTGGGAGTCAATCAGCAATGTTACATCTTCCTTTTCTTGTCTGTCTTGATCCATCCAGCCTGTTTTGCCTCACACAGCGGTGTGTGTGGTGTGTAAAGAAGCAGGGAAGGAGGACACGCTGGACGATGAAGATGACAAGTTCAACTTTATGCTCATGGAGTGCTCCATTTGCAATGAGATTGTCCATCCAAACTGCCTCAAGGTAGAGTCAGACCATTCTCACAATGACTCACTGTGCTGACTAATCATCCAGGAATCTCAGGTGTTTGGAACATTTAAGGAGTGACTCAGGCCATCTGTGAAGTTCATTTGTGGAAAATGTAGTTTAGAAAGTACATCATTCCTTTGTGGTCTTGCTAAACTCTTGACACATTTTAGGATCTGACTCAGCATTAAAAAATGTGTTTAAAAGACTAGAGGTGTGATCATAACTGCTGTGACTACAACATGTTGTTGCTCGCATGGGAAAACCAGTTTCTGTAACCTGCTCTAATTGTGTAGCAGGAAATGGTTATAATCAGTGGTTTTAATTTTATTAGTTCACGTCATACAAAACACTGCTGACGGTTAAAAGTTTACGTCATTCTAAATATAGATTTCCCTCTTAGGTGAACATGAGATCATACAGTGGTGTGAGAAACTATTTGCCCCCTTCCTGATTTCTTATTCTTTTGCATGTTTGTCACACAAAATGTGTCTGATCATCAAACACATTTAACCATTAGTCAAAGATAACACAAGTAAACACAAAATGCAGTTTTGAAATGATGGTTTTTATTATTTAGGGAGAGAACAAAATCCAAACCTACATTACCCTGTGTGAAAAAGTAATTGCCCCCCTTGTTAAAAAATAACCCAACTATGGTGTTTCACACCTGAGTTCAATTTCTGTAGCTACCCCCAAGCCTGATTACTGCCACACCTGTTTCAATCAAGAAATCAGTTAAATATGAGCTGCCTGACACAGAGACATCATGCCAAGATCCAAAGAAATTCAAGAACAAATGAGAACAAAAGTACACTCAACAAAAATTTAAACGCAACACCTTTGTTTCTGCTCCGATTTTTCATGAGATGGACTTAAAGATCTAAAATTCATTCCAGATACACAATATTACCATTTCTCTCAAACATTGTTCACAAATCAGTCTAAACGTGTGATAATGAGCACTTCTGCTTTGCTGAGATAATCCATCCCACCTCACAGGTGTGCCACATCAAGATGCTGATCCAAACATCATGAGTAGTGCACAGGTGTACCTTATACTGCCCACAATAAAAGGCCACCCTGGAATGTGCAGTTTTGTCTCACAGCAAAATGCCACAGATGCCACAAGCATTGAGGGAGCGTGCAATTGGCATACTGACAGCAGGAATGTCCACCAGATCTGTTGCTCGTGCATTCAATGTTCATTTCTTCACCATAAGCCATCTCCAAAGGCGTTTCAGAGAATATGGCAGTACATCCAGCCGGCCTCACAACCTCAGACGACGTGTAACCACACCAGCCCAGGACCTCCACATCCAGCAGGTTCACCTCCAAGATCATCTGAGACCAGCCACTGACAGCTGCTGAAACAATTGGTTTGCATAACCAAACAATTTCTGCACAAACTGTCAGAAACCGTCTCAGGGAAGCTCAACTGCATGCTCGTCGTCCTCATCGGGGTCTTGACCGGACTCCAGCTCATCGCCGTAACAGACTTGAGTGGGCAAATGATCCCATTCGATGGCGTCTGGCACGTTGGAGAGGTGTTCTCTTCACGGATGAATCTCGGTTTACATTGTTCAGGGCAGATGGCAGACAGCGTACATGGTGTCGTGTGGGTGAGCACTTTGCTGATGTCAGTGCTGTGGATCGAGTGGCCCATGGTGGTGGTGGGGTTATGGTATGGGCAGGCATCTGCTATGGATGAAGAACACAGGTGCATTTTATTGATGGCATTTTGGATGCACAGAGATACCGTGATGAGATCCTGAGGCCCATTGTTGTGCCATACATCCATGAACATCACCTCATGTTTCAGCAAGATAATGCACAGCCCCATGTTGCAAGGATCTGTACACAATTCTTGGAAGCTGAAAATGTCCCAGTTCTTGCATGACCAGCATACTCACTGGACATGTCACCAGTTGAGCATGTTTGGGATGTGCTTGACCGGCGTCTACAACAGCGTGTACCAGTTCCCACTAATATCCAACAACAGCTATTGAAGAGGAGTGGACCAACATTCCACAGGCCACAATTGACAATCTGATAAACTCTATGCGAAGATGTGTTGCACTGCATGAGGCAAATGGTGGTCACACCAGATACTGACTGGTTCTGAGTCCCCAGACCCCCAATAAAGCAAAAAACTGCACATTCCAGGTTGGCCTTTTATTGTGGGCAGTATCAGGTACACCTGTGCACTATGATGTCAGATCAGCATCTTGATGTGGCACACCTGTGAGGTGGGATGGATTATCTCAGCAAAGCAGAAGTGCTCACTATCACACGTTTAGACTGATTTGTGAACGATGTTTGAGAGAAATGGTAATATTGTGTATATGGAATGAATTTTAGATCTTTAAGTCCATCTCATGAAAAATCGGAGCAGAAACAAAGGTGTTGCGTTTATATTTTTGTTGAGTGTAATTGAGATATATCAGTCTGGTAAAGGTTATAAAGCCATTTCTAAAGCTTTGGGACTCCAGCGAACCACAGTGAAAGCCATTATCCACAAACAACATGGAACAGTGGTGAACCTTCCCAGAAGTGGGCGGCCGACCAAAATTACCCCAAGAGCGCAGAGACAACTCATCCGAGAGGTCACAAAAGACCCCAGGACAACTTCTACGGAACTGCAGGCCTCGCTTGCCTCAATTAAGGTCAGTGTTCACAACTCCACCATAAGAAAGAGACTGGGCAAAAATGGCCTGCATGGCAGATTTCCAAGACGCAAACCACTGTTAAGCAAAAAGAACATTAGGGCTCGTCTCAATTTTGCTAAGAAACATCTCGACGATTGCCAAGACTTTTGGGAAAATACCTTGTGGACTGATGTGACAAAAGTTGAACTTTTTGGAAGGCAAATGTCCCGTTACATCTGGCGTAGAAGTAACACAGCATTATGTGTTACCATTACCAACAGTAAAATATGGTGGTGGTAGTGTGATGGTCTGGGGTTGTTTTGCTGCTTCAGGAACTGGAAGGCTTGCTGTGATAAATGGAACCATGAATTCCACTGTCTACCAAATATCCTGAAGGAGAATGTCCGGCCATCTGTTCGTCAACTAAAGCTGAAGCGATCTTGGGTGCTGCAGCAGGACAATGACCCAAAACACACCAGCAAATCCACCTCTGAATGGCTGAAGAACAACAAAATGAAGACTTTGGAGGGGCCTAGTCAAAGTCCTGACCTGAATCCTATTGAGATGCTATGGCATGACCTTAAAAAGGCGGTTCATGCTAGAAAACCCTCAAATAAAGCTGAATTACAACAATTCTGCAAAGATGAGTGGGCCAAAATTCCTCCAGAGCGCTGTAAAAGACTCGTAGCAAGTGCTTGATTGCACGTATTGCTGCTAAGGGAGGCCCAACCAGTTAATAGGTTCAGGGGGCAATTCCTTTTTCACACAGGCAATGTAGGTTTGGATTTTGTTTTCTCCTTAAATAATAAAAACCATCATGTCAAAACTTTATTTTGTGTTTACTTGTGTTATCTTTGACTAATGGTTAAATGTGTTTGATGATCAGAAACATTTTGTGTGACAAACATGCAAAAGAATAAGACATCATGAAGGGGGCAAATAGTTTTTCACACCACTGTATCTGAGAGAAGCGCAACTTCTGTTCTGAAACGTCTGAAGATGGTTTTCATAACCTGTCTGTTTCTGTAGTAGTGCAGAATGAACCTCGTACAGCTACGAAGGGTTTTATATTTATTTGAATTAGCATTTTAAAACCGAGCATCAATGTTTGACTCCTTACTTCCTGTTTTATTCACAAATAAAGGGTTAACTCTGGCTGAACTGTACTGATCAGCCTGACAGCAGCACATCACAACCGTAGCTTTTACTGTGTGTGTGTGTGTGTGTGTGTGTGTGTGTGTGTGTGTGTGTGTGTGTGTGTGTGTGTGTGTGTGTGTGTGTGTGTGTGTGTGTGTGTGTGTGTGTGTGTGTGTGTGTGTGTGTGTGTGTGTGTGAGACTTGGTTAAAACTTGTTTTTTCGGTGGAAAAACAAACTCTTGTCTTCTTTCCTTGTTCCATCAGGTCAGTGACGCCTCAGGAGTCGTGAACGATGAACTCCCTAACTGCTGGGAGTGTCCCAAATGCAACCATGCTGGGAAGAGTGGGAAAGTGAGTACAATTATGCACTGGCTAAAGAGCTGATGAACTGCTAAGTGACTGTTTTGGCTTTGGAGTCATTTCATTCATCATAATGAAACTTACAGGAGTTTTAGGGTTAGTTACTTTCTTTTTTTGAGTTTTGTTTGCTGTATTTGCGTTTTATTTATCATCAGTTTACTACTTCCTGTTTGTGAAAGTCATTTACACATGACCGCCCTGGCCTAAGACGCAGGAAAATGACGACTGTTGTTTTTTACTTTCAGAGATGAGTCAGGCACAAAATCAGTACACCTTTTGTTCTTTTTCTTTTGGCTGAAGGTATAAAGTTGTTTTGCACTTTTTGTCCCCCTTGGTACTGAAGCAAAAAAGGGGTCCCGGGTTCAAGTATGCATCCAACCTCCCTGGCTCTTTGCTGAGGGAACAGAAGCCTGTGAAGGATGAGGGAGACATTTCATTAGCAGCAAAGAGGAGGCCGGACAGAGAGGAGACGCCGAGGTACAGAACCGAGGAGATGCTCCACCGACCGCCGCCACTGCTTTCACCCAGCAGCCAGATACGGCCCAGGCCTGAAGACAAACTGAGGAAGAAGAGGAAACTGTTTGATGACGATGATGATGATGAGGAGGAGGAGGAGCTTTCTGAGAGGAAGAAGGTTTGCATAACTGACAGTAACTTTTTGTTTTAACATTTTGGACCAGAGCTATAAGACATTGCGAAGAATTAATTTACATCACTTCTGTTCCACAGGAAAAGACAGATGACCCATATTTCCCCAAACTTCTGCCTCAAATTAAAATAGAAAAGGATGATGAAGACGCGTATGGGGAAGATGATGAAGAGGGCAGAGATTTTCTCTTCCGCAGCAGTGTAGGCAGAAAGGGGCACTTTGGAGAGACTGAAGATGATGATTACAAGGACTCCAGGAATGACCCTTTGAATCCCTCCATCAAAACGCCGGTCGGAGACAGTGATCAGTCCCACTGCAGCTCCCCACAGGCCGGTCCAAGCAGCGAGGGCGGAAGTGAGACGCAGGAAAAAGGGCCTCGATCAAAAGCTCGCCGCAAGCGGCGCTTGCCCAACAGAGAGCTGAGTCGAGAACTGAGCAAAGCACTGAACCAGGAGATCCAGAAGACAGAGGACTGTCTGGCCAACGAGAACCGACAGCCACTCAAAGTGGAACCGGAGACGGAAAACGAGGAACCAAAGAGGCTTTTCCGGAATGGTAATGAGCTCGGAGATCAGAGATCTCACCTGAAGCCCAAGGAGATGAACGGGACCGCCTGGGAGCTGCGCCACTTCTATCCAAGTCAGATAACGCCTCTGGGCTTCAACCGGAGCACCCCAGCTACCCGACCAGTTCCACCGCGCTCTCCTCCCAAGTGTGTCCAAATGGAACGCCATGTCATTCGGCCCCCTCCCATTAGTCCCCCTCCCAACAGATTGCCCCTTACCGATGGTAAAGCACACGTTCTACAGATTGAGGTCTGGATGAAGATATTTGGCTACGTCTCCCATCAGGAGCTGTGTGTCTGCATGAGCGTCTGTAAGACCTGGAACAGATGGTAAATGCCCAGACAGCATTCACCTTAAAACCGTGTATACATATTTATGCTCAACAGTTGTTGTATACGAGGATTTGGTGCTTTTTAACTTTGACATGGCGCATCATACGAATGTTTCCCTGTGACCAGGTGTTGTGATAAGAGACTCTGGACAAAGATTGATCTGAATCGCTGCACCTCCATCACACCACTTATGCTAAGTGGGATTATCCGCAGGCAGCCTGTTTCCTTGGACCTCAGCTGGACTAACATTTCCAAAAAGCAGCTAAGCTGGCTTATTAATAGATTGCCAGGTATTTGAACATGAGCTGCTGTTGATTTATTAAAAAAAAGTAAGTTTTTTGATGTTTGCTGGACCTGTTTTTCATTACTCTTGTGCAACTTTCAGGTCTGCGAGTGTTAAAGCTGTCGGGCTGTTCCTGGGCAGCAGTATCTGCTCTCTGCACCTCTAGCTGTCCTCTGCTGCGCACCCTGGATGTCCAGTGGGTGGAAGGACTCAAAGATGCTCAAATAAGGGATCTCCTGTCACCTCCTACAGACAACAGGCCAGGTATAATACAAAACACACCTCATGTGGAGGGTTTTGTTCTGCCCAGCATGCTATGAGTTAGCTGCAGGTTGACTTTGCTGGTGGGGGTTTAAAAGTACAATTTTACTAAAAGATGTTACTTTTGTTGGCGCCGCACATAAACCAGTTAGTTTTACCTCATTCAACTAACAGGTCAACTAGATAACCGCTGCAAGCTGCGGAACGTGGAGGAACTACGGCTGGCAGGGTTGGACATCACAGACGCGTCCCTACGTCTCATCAGTCGACAGATGCCTTTGCTGTCCAGGCTGGACCTGAGTTACTGCAACCACATCAACGACCAGTCTGTCAACCTGCTGACGGCTAAAGGGACCACCACCAGAGACTCGCTCACAGAAATCAACCTGTCAGGTGAGACCCGGGTTCTGGGGTGGTGATTATCTCTTAGGCAACTACCAGATTTAGATTTGCATTCATTTTAAAGATGTGATGACGTAAGTAAATATCTACTTTGAGAATAATAAACATGAGAATGTGTTACTTTCTGTTTGTAAAGGAGTTCAATTACGCCTAACTTTAGTAAGATCTAACTTCAGTCATGTGTGCATGTCTGATTTTTTTTTTCTATTTTTAGTTTGCAACAGAGTCACAGATCATTCCCTGAACTTTTTCAAGCGCTGTGAAAGCATCTGTCAGATCGACCTCCGCTTCTGCAAGCAGGTGACCAAAACAGCCTGTGAGCGTTTCATCGCAGAGATGTCTGTGAGCGTACCGTTCAACCTGAAGGAGGACAAACTGCTGCAGAAGATAAGCTAGTAGCTAAAAGGACAAAAACTACAAACTTTGCACTTAAAGGAACTGGTCCCGGCATATGTCTCTGGCTTCCTCTCATAATAAAGCAAGAAGCTAAACAGATCTTTGACTATGAAGAGGATATTAAAGTTCACTGGACACGAGAGGAAATGGGTTGCATGTTTTTCTGTTGAAACTATTTTTTATACAAAAAAAATAATTTGGTTCTGTTTAGTTATTTTTATTCTTTAAAAATCTGAAAATAGTATTTTTGTACACGTTAATTTTCTTCTTTTTTTTTTGCTACACTTGGTCTACAGCATGAAAAACGGATGCTTCTACTCTGTTTTACTGTAACTGTGCCAAAAGCTGCTTTTGACATGGACACTCGTAAGATAAAACCACTCTGCATGTGCTGTGATTTAATTATCATATTAAAGAATTCCAAATGTATTTCAGTGATGATCAAAATCTCATATTACTGTTACACTCATGTTTTACATTGATATTTTTAATAGTGGATTGTTTTGTTTAAATATGGTTTTCATCAACATTAATTTATTGATTTGTATATTTTTTACTACAGTTTGTATTTATTCCGTAACTTGACAGAGGTGTTTTACGTAGTTTGGATCAAATAATGCCTGTCAATTTCAGGGTTGTTTGAGCCTGTTGGCGAAGGTTCAACACCCAAAAGTCAGTAGCAGGAAGTTGCAGTAAATCCTAACCGTGGCTTCTTCACTGTCGCACCTCTGGTTGCTATAGTGGTGTCTTGCGTCTCACATTTGCAAATATCAAAATAAAATTAAGAATATACTTCCTTAGGTGTTGTATTTTGGGTGTTGTGCTGTAATCTGTTGCCTCAGGTGAATGTGATTTTGTTCATATTTGTAAATCCAAAAACTGAAGTGTTAATTTGAATTAAAATAATTGCATTTGCATCATTAAGAATGGTCTAAGTCAGCAGGACATCTGATCTATTCAGTAGGCTGGTTGTGACCCTGCTTTAGTAAAGTGCTGAGCTTTGCTAACATAACTAATGATCATCAGATAACTGTTGCTTCTCTGACCTTTTTCCCTTTAAAATCTGAGATGTTGGCTTTGCAGGGGTAACAATGTTTTTGAAATCCATTTCTAAACCCTTCAGTGGTTCTACATTAACAAAACTAGTGTTTGAGAGCATGACCGACAGAAAATGAAAACATCCTTAATTTTCTCTTTATTTGCGACAACCAGAAAATTTAAAACAACCAATGTGTCTGAAAGGAGATGCTTCATGTTAAAAGGATACCGGCATACAAGTGAAACTTGAAAATGAGACTATGGTGCTTAAGTTAATTTGTCAGTAATTCAGGTAAAACTTATCAGCCTCATTACAGGCAGAGCCAGACATGTCAGGCCTTTATAACTGATGATTACAGCTTATGAAACCCCACATTAAAAATCTATTAGAATATTGTGAAGTATCACACTTTAATCCGCTAATGAATCCAGAACCTGAGCCTTTAGATGGTCTCTCAGTCTAACTGAAATAAACTTGCACCATATTCTGATTTTGAGTTTCACCTCTAACAAAAGTGCGCATTCATAAACCATCCGACCTCCTCCCGCTTCGATAATACAAACGAACCGTCTTGTTCATGCGTTTACGTGCAGTTATGACACAGTTGCTTGTTCCACACTTCTACAACAGAGTCAGTTCACACATTAGTGGTACACTTTGTTAAAAAAAAGGTAAAAAAAACTGCTTCCCTGACTAATTTTTGTGCCAAATGTTTAAGATTCTAACAAAAAAATTAATAAAACTGACGTTTTAGAATGCATACATGACATTTTTTTCCACTCGAGGAATGACTCAAAGGAAGTGGTCCTTGTTTGACCACTGGTGAAACCAGAGTCCATTTTTAAAAACAAACAAAAAGATAAAATATCTCACTGTGCAAAATGTGAAACTTAAACATCCACAGAATGTGTTTTTGAGAGGAAGTCTATGAGCTGCATGGTGGAGTTCAAAGTAAAGCCTCGGTCCACATAAGGTGCATTAGGATTTAAAGACGTGCACGGCCCTCACGACGTACTGCCTGCAGATCGGACATTCACTCATTCGCTTGCCGCACTTGGTGCAGGTGACCATGTGTCCACACTCCAGGAGAATGCAGTCTATCACGGCATCCATGCAGATCCTGCAGAGATTGTCGTCGTGAACAGTCAGCGAACAGTTTTCTCCATCTGCAAGGTACAAACACACACAAAAAAATGTTTTTTCTAATACAGTCCACTTAATGTCCCTGGTCTCCTCCAAAAGCTCATAATGTCTGTTAGAGTTGTGCATCAAGATGCTTCAGGGACATGCTGCTTCACATGATTGACATGATGAGATGACTGGGAGAAGCCAAATCTCAAAGCAAATGTTTAAAGAGACAATGTGTAATTTTTACCGTTAAAGTGATACTAGGCAGTTTTGCTTGCTTTTAGCACCCCCTAGTGTCCGTTTATAGAAGCAAAACCAAAACCTACCTCCTCGCTTTGCGTTAGTCTTTTTAACACCTTCATCTAACAGTTTAAACATATCCCAACGTTCCTATGTTTCTAGAGGACCGATTCATCACTAAATTAAACAAATCAGCTGTGTTCATGATCTAAAAGGTGCTGGAGCCAGACAGCAGTGTCAGGTAGGTCAGCTCAATTTTTTCTAAGTCCCAACACACCAGACAGCAACTGTGATTTTGCAAGAGTGATATTCTGGCCATAGGGGGCGATAAAGCTGGGTGCCTTTCATTAACCTTGTAAAGGTCATTTTTGCACAAAGTGGTTAAAGAAAATTATTTTAAAATATGAAAAAGGTCCAAAATATCCCTTTAATTTCTAGAAATATCCATCAAAATGTTGAAAATGAATTTAATGATGCCCAGCTGTTGAAAAATATCAGCATCATCTTAATATATAACCATACATATCAGGTCTAAAAAACATGGGAGCAGGTCTAATTCTCTGGGTGACGCCATATTAGATGCCATGGTTCCTTCTACGGGAGCCCTTGAGGACAAAATGCATTTACTGATTTGTAGCAAAACAGTTACAGAACTTTCTCCGTTCATAAGCATTGCTTTACACATTTACTTCTCCACTCACAGCCAGTGATGAAAGCGAATCTGATGTGCTTGTTGTCTTACTGGAGGTTCCAACCCCAGGGATTTTTGACCCTAATGGCCACCCGTTGGTAAGGTCCAACTCGAACACAAAAATACTGCTTGCTTGCAATGATTTAGGTATGTACAGCCCCCTATCACCAGGTTAAATACACATTGTCACTTTAATCTGGTCTTCAACGTGCCTACAACCAGAAATTTGATGAAGATGGATGACAGCAGGCTCATGAGAAATGCAGGTGTGATGTTCGACTTGTTCATGTGACAGGAGAGGCTAACGGCCTTACCTCCGATGGCACCGTTGCAGATAGGAGGGGGGAAGGCCATCACTTTAATGTAGGAGGAGTAAAGCGAGAGCACGAGATATCATCATCATTCCAAAGGACAAACTTATTTGGATTCACCTTTTTACAATCTAGAGTAACTTGCAGCAAAGGACTACTATAGCCAACGGGACGTAATATTGTCAGAACAGGAAAAGAAATGACATTTCTATGGTTGAAAACAGGATGTGGCATCCTATAAAGACACACAAGTGAAAGGCTTACCTGTAGTTACTGTCCTGCTCACATTTTCTACTGCAAGAGAAAAAAAGAGCAACTCCCATCAGCTGATATTAAAACCACAGCTTTCACAGCTTTCTCTCTGTAATGACAGCCGTTAGCTGCTGGAGGACTTTCGTCACAAAGATGATACCCACATGACTTCCTGTTCTCCTCCGTCTCTCGGTACAGCCTGCTGACGCGTTCTACCAGCTCCCACTTCTCACAACATCCTGAATAATTGACAAAATTCCTGGCCAGGATCTCCTTCAGCTGCCTGACGGAGAGGCCCTCGATGTCCATCAGACTGGAGATGTCAGAGAGGGAGGCTCTGGCCCGGCGGAGTGTCTGAGGACTCACCTAAGAATATTAAATCAACAAAACCTCCACTTCATTTTCTGAATCAATTCTCAACCTTTCTCAACTGATTATATTTAACAAAGGTGTTTTTTTAAACATGCATTGAGGGTCTCAATTTATAATTGCACCCAGATTTGTTCACTAATCAAAATGAATGTTTTTCAAAAAGATTAAGATAATAAAAGGAAAACAGGAAGCACCTCAGGGGTCCGTTCGCTTGAGTCCAGGTTGAGGAGAGACTCTGATGCAGTGATGCTGATATCCTACATGACAACAAACACAAGCAGGTGCGAGTAACCAACCAAATCACTGCAGATTAGGATTATTGATACCTTGGGAACAACAATGATTTGTACCTTCCATTCATAGAAAGCTTGGAAGTATTTATAGTGGGCCCTGGGTGCCTGGAGCAAAGCTCCCCTTTTTAGTGTCAACAGAAACTCCTTTTGTTCAGCTCGATTCAGATTTCTCTTCTGAACCTTGTTTTGATCTGGTCTACAACCATGTTTACTGTAACTGTCCCTGAGACAGTTAAAATAAAGTTGTTTATTTCAAATGTTTCTGTGATAGAGAGATGCTTAATTTGGTTCATTTAATTACTAGATAAGATGATAAAAGTAACATTGATTTAAAAACATGTCTAAAATATGTGATTACAAAATATGGGTTTGTTAAATATGTAACGTGCTGTAAAGTTTGTATGAGGTAGAGTTTGTAATGGTCACATGATCAGAGTTTGTTTGACAGCGCAACCATAGCAACCATAGCATGGATACATGGCTACAGATGTGTCTACAGCCTCGACGTTAATGTCATTCTGCATGTGGTCCAAGAGGCGCACACGGTATGGTTTCAGGTATAATGTTTGTATAATGTTGCATATGTGTTCTACACTGGTAATGAGAGGACATTTTTGTGATTCATTATTGCGCATTTTCTTTCTGTTCTGCTTGCACGAGACTGTTTATGGACAATGGTCTGAGAGACTGATAAGTTCAAACCGTTATTGTGTAAACTTTGTGTTTCTTCAGTTTTCACGGTGTCTGAAGATAATAAGAGAGAGAGAGAGAGAGAGCAAAATAAACATCCGAAGACATCAGTATGATGCGTGGCCATTCTTTGTTGGACCCCTGTAGTTACATTTACCTTATTAGCTTTATTTGTGGTAACATGCCTAGTGATTCCCTCAGGCTCATTTTAACTGACAAGCATAATCAAGACCAATCATGTAAAACGCAATAAAGCAAGAAAATGTCATGAGCAGAAACTTGGTGTTTGAATGCTGTTTCTTACCTGGTTGGTATCAGAGCTATCGCTTCTGCTAGGAGATTCCTCCTGGGAGGCGTCGTAAGCAGACAGCTCTGTGGCAGACTGCGTGGTTTGTGTGTACAGGGAGCGTGAGAGGAGGCTAGCTGTATCAGGGTCCTCCTCCTCCTCTTCCTCAATGCCCCTGTGACAGAGCACCAACTCCACCAGGTCCTCCTTTTCCCTGCAGGTTTCTGTGTTGATGTTGTGCAACAGCAGGTACTGACGCAGGTCCTTCACCCGCAGGCTCATGAGTCGTGCTCGTCGAAAGGCTGTGGCCTTCAGCAAATGGCAAGTGGCACAGGTGAATTGATTCTCCTCCAGCACGGAGCACGGAGAGCAGAAGTGTTTCTTGCAATCGGAGCAAAGGTACTATAAAAGTAATGGAAACCGGTCGGTTAACTTTAATTACAAGTTTTCTGCCAAACAACAGTAAACATCTATGCTATATTTAATCTCTCACAGCAGACGGATTTATCATATTAAACTTTTGCAAACACCAAAACAGGGTAAGAACTAAAGAACAACATGGAAAAGGTTTTAGGTGAATGAGTTAGCAAGGCTAGTGAAAAGTACCTATTGAAACAGCCATAATGAGGTGAAACAGCCAGGGTAATTCCTCTTTCAGACTCACTTGGTTAAACTAGACAGGACTGAAACATGCTCCTAACCCAGAAGTTCTCTAATGCTGCCATCACACAGCTGATCCAGGCACCTACCTTCCTTCTAAAGACAGAGAAGCCCTGGCCACAGGTCCTACACACCGGGTTGGGACTCCCTGAGCTGGTGGGAGGGTAGGTAGAGTATCCCGCACTGGGGGCGAATCTGAAGGGTCCAGCCCCGGCGCCGAACCCTGGCTGCTGGCCTCTGACGGCCCCGGTACCCATGACTTCGTTCAGCAAACCACAACATGAAGCCCACACAGATGAGGCCCCTGCCTAACATTGAAAAACGCATTTACATTTCAAAACTTTGTGTCTTTACATGTTTTTTTTAAACAAATCTTATCTAAAAAGCTTGTTATCACAGAAATGAAATGATGAAATATGCACATTAATCCAATAAAAACAAACTTCAAAAACTTGTAGCTGTCAAAGGCAATTAAGCTAGTTGATGTAACAGCTGGTAACTAACAGCGCAGCAGAGAAACATCACAAACTAACTAAATAAATTAGAAGTATCTCGTCTCATTAAACCAAATGACAGCCTGTGCTATCACCGATTGACCTGACACCGGTACGGCGTCACGGAGCTACCTGTAAGGTTGTTAGCTACCGCCGTGTACCGAGGGACATTAGCCAGTTGCTGCTAGCAACAGCCATAAAATAACTTCAATTTGTTTTAAAAACGCACCTTCATTGCTGCTCTGGCGTGGCTCCTGGCGAAGAGACGGTTGACGGTGCAACCATCGCAAACAGCAGCGTATCTTATTTATCTGAGCAGGGTGTTCGTGTCTGGGTATGAGGACAGGACCGAGGATAGTGGAGCTAGCGCCTACAGCTGCTTATAAGTGGTGCAATGCTACAAAACGACCAGCAGGGGGCTCTAAAACATCACCACAAAAAATAACTATCAAAGCTCCTTCTAAAATATATTTTGTCTTGTGTCACAGAAATTACTTTTGGTTTTTCTGGACGTTTTCTCCCTTTATAGACATAATTTAAAAAGCAAAATAAACTAGTTCATTGCCTGAAAGTTACACTTTCAATTCAGAACCATTATTGTTTGCCCCTATTTGTAGAAAGAAAGTTAAACTGGCTCAGTCTAACTAAAACTATATTTCATTTGTCGCATTCAAGTCTGTTTTTAAAGCAAAACAAAGGGAGGAACCATTACATCTGAAGTAACTTTATAAAACTGAAATGCCATCGAAAGAACTTTTCATTTGATTTTTAGTTTAGTTTAGTTTAGTTGTTTTAATTAATCCTAATGTTTCCTTTGAACTAGAGCAGTAATTTATGGATTCTTCTGTTATGTTTTGTCCCTTTGTTCTGTCCTATACCTCAGATGTTTAATGTTTAAACATGGCTTACAGTACTTACACGTTGTAAAATTCAAGTTATAACTTAAACTTAAATATAAAAAAATACTATTTTTTGATAAGGTGTTATAAGTTAATAGAGATCGTATATTTTAAATGTATGAATAAGTGTAGCAATACAAATTCCATTTCAGTTGGTGGCAGTAATGCACTAAATCGGTGCTTGCTGCCAACTACCGTTTAGGAGAAGAATTTACTTCCGGTCAGGTGACTCGTTCAGCTAGATCGCGCCAATGACGAACGTCTCCACCACCGACACCTGTGTTTGTTTTCACCGTCTGTAGGTTTTAACAATGGAAACCACTGACTGTGTTAGTTTAATGATAATGTACGAGGACGAGTCGGTGGAGGTTCGTTATAAAAACGGAACGCAGTTACAGCTGTCACCGTGTGGCAGCGAATTTATGCTGCTGAAACCCGCAGACCCCCACGGACATCCTCTACAGCCCGCAGAGACAGTCCGACAGAGGACCAGGTTCTCTACCAGCAAATACAAGGTAGATAAATGTTGTGTTGTAATGGTGGTAACGCATATCTTTCTTTTCAGTCACATATTTTACTGTATTTGTTTACAGGAGTTAATAGTTGCTGTTTTGACATTCAGGAATAAGTATGCTAGTCGACCATACCTGCCAGAAGCGCTCATCCCTGTTGACCACAAGAAGGTATCGAGAGATAACTCTTTAAAAATTCTTCAGATTATATGTAGAACATGGGATTGATGTCCAGTTTAATTTTTGCAGCCCTTTCTCAGCATCGAATCAGATGTCATGTGGCCTGAGTGGTCCTCTGAGGTGGAAGTTGGACCTGGAGGCAACGCTATTGTCAGATCAGAGGACCAACGAGCCTCATTAATGCTGTCGCCTTCAGGTGAAGAATTCTTTGTGGAGTTTACATGCAACATAAGTCGGCCACAAAATCAGCACCAAAGCATGAAGAGTTTAAGCAGGAATCCTGACAACAGGCCGGGCTGTATGCAACAAGTGATTTGTGATAGCACGGGTAATCAGAGTAAAAGGACTCGTCAGCCAAATCAAGAAAGGTCTTGTTCTCGTGAAGGGGACTGTGCTGCTCAGCAAAAGGTAACACTTTGTGACATTTATGTTCTCTCATCTAAGGTTTGACATAATGAGAATAATGTTCTCTTCTCAGCCTGAGCAGATGTACCAATCCACCACTGTGGTCCAGCATCACTCCTGTTGTGCAGTTTCCCCCATATGGAGCTACCCTCTGTCTTTGGCTCAACATCGCTCTAAATCTAAAGATGCTGATGCAGAAGAAACCAGCAATTCTAAACAAACAGATACAGGAATGAACATGTCTAACAAATCTCTAGAGGAAAGGAGGTCTCAACTTCCTCAGGCTTTACCGCTTGCATGTTCATCACCTCACTGGCACAGGTTTATGGTTCTTCCGTACACATGTTATGTACTATTTCATGAAATTTGTTTCTTAACATGAGTCTTATTTATGTTTTTCAGGTGGAAATTTAAAGACCCTCTGTCCAAAGAAGAGGATACAGACCTTCCATCAGAGCTTGTAAAACTTATATGGCGTCAAGGAGTCACCTACAGGTAGAAATGGAACTTTTAGAGGTATTGAGAACCTAAAGAGGGGATCTTTTACTGAATAGGGTTCTTTTAGGTTGCTCTCGTCAAGCGAGCATTGTAGCTGAACTGCTGGAGTGTATGCAGTCTTCTCAGTTGTCAGCAAGACCCACCATTATTCTTCTCTTTGCTCTAAATTGGATGTCAGAAGGCTTAGAATCACAAGAAAAGTATCTAAATTCCAATTTTAGAATGTATATTATTATGTTTCAAGGGAGAAAAAAATAGCTTTGTTCAAAAATGTCATTTCCTACAAAGCACAGATTTTTTAAACATATTTGAGTGTAGAGTGTGATTTAAGACAATCTCATTGATTGACTGATTAAATTAAAACAAGCCATACTGTAATTTCTTGAAATGCTTATTTTTTAGCAAGCTGGAAGAATCTAAATGACATTCTGAATTAGTAAAGTTATTCTTTCTCAGAGATAATAACTCTCTCACAGAGTTATATTTGAAGATGTTTGATTTTAGGGGACAGTAAATGCTCAATAGTGCCCTCTTCAGTGCTGAGCTAAAGGGTTAAGGCAAGAAATTATCTGATCCATCATTCCATGTTGCATATAAATGTATTAGTGTCTACTTTCAGCATTGATCTTTTGTACGTCTGCTGGGTAGGATACTGAGTGGAGTAGTTCCAGTCGTAGAGATTTCCCCAGGAGATGGATCAGTCTTTCGCTCCAACGGGGTCCTAAACTCTTATTTTAACCATCACAAAGTGAAACTACAAGAAGAAGAGGTATGTCTTTATTCACAGACCTGTTATAAAGTATCAGACTCTCAACATTAAAGGTGCATTATGTAAGAATATGTGAGAATTTTGCAGTGAGAAAATCCCAAAATTGTTTAATGTTTCAGTCATTTTGGAAGGTAAGGTATGCTGAAACATGTTTCATATCCAGCTGCAGACCTGCCAACCTGTATGCATTTTACGTAGCCAGTACGCAATTTGGCATCTATTTACGCTGGTACAACTCACCCCTCTAAACTACTCAAAAAGCTGCAGATACGTGAGAGTTCTGTGGCAAAAATGCACGTGTGGTACTCATGTCTGACAACACGACTCAGCGGCGTGGTGAAGAAGTTTAAGCCAATCATTGTAGAAAAGCAGAGAAAAACGTTCCTGCCTAACCTATAGCGTAATACCTCCGCCCCCCTCCTCCCTGCTTCGTCCTGCCCACTGCTCCTCTCTCCCTCCGGTTCGCCACTCGCTGTTGTTCTGGTAAGGTAAACTGTGTGTGTGTCAGCGGGCCGGACCGGCGTCTTTTGGTGAATGTGAACGCGTAACGTTTCTTTCACTGTTGAACATTCAAGCCGAAATCTGAGTGAAAAAAATCTGCGACTATAGAGAAAGAGGCAGCTGTGTGTGTGTGTGTTTGCCTTTATCCATTGCAGATAGATTTGGCCTGTATATAAGGGGGAATGTGATTATTTATACAGTTTAAACATGCAGCCGTTATTTATTTATTTTTTTGCAGCTCGTTTTGCAACTCGTTCTATGGCAGATGAGGGAGAAGCAGACAGGGAGGGATTGGTTAGCAGGCCTGCCAAAAAGAAGAGGGTCCATGTGTCTCAGACAACTACCCCTGACTGCATCCCGGAGATCGGGGCGGGGCTAAATGTGGGCGGGGTCAAACGTTTAGAGGTGGGCGGAGACAACTATTTGACTCCTGCGTCCTGCCCCTCAATGGAACCAGGAAACCGCTATGCTATGTGTGTGTGCAATGCTGTAGCCGGGCCCGGGACAGAGGGAAGTAGCTGCCAAAATCAAGGTAAGCCAGGATTTTTCTTTCTCTGTTTTAACAATATCAAGGACCAATGTTGGGCGAACGTTTTATAAACTTGGAAATTAAAGGTTTTTTCCCCATTATGAGTTTTAGATGATACATATAGCCTATTTTACATATGCGGGGCGACTTACTTTTGAGGAGAAATGTTTACAGGGTTCCCGCAGAGTCTTAAAAGCATTGAATTTATAAATTTGAAAGTAATACCTTTAAAAGACTGGAGAAACCCTTCAATTTTGGCATCTGGGTCTTAAAATTTGTGTTGGATGTAAGTTTTCTGTACTGCATTTTTCTTCTGAAGTTCATCAAAATATTCCAAACAAGTGATGACATGAAGAGAAGCACTAGTATTAATAAAGGCTATTTTTAGACATTTATTTCAATTTTGTGTCTTTACTGTTTGCACTGTTGCTTTTATACAATAGAAATACTGCAAGAAATTAGGGTAATAAAATTAACAATAATAAAAAAAAAAACGTCTCAAAATTAAACTAAAATATAGGCAACAAAAATTATTGTTAAGGTTCTAATGTAAAACCAGAGATCCGGTTATATTTTTAACCATTTGTTTAAAAATATAACCGATCTTCTACCAAGTGCCCACCCAGTGTTTTGTCAAAATATATTGGTAAAGTTGTATAGATAAATAAATGAAAACTAGTTCAATAATTTTATTTTATTTTATTTACTTTTTTGCTGATAGTGCTGTGAAATAGGTATTAATTTTCTATATGGCTTTAGAAAGATCTTAAACAGACTTAATTTTAAGTTGAAGAAACCTGTAGGAACACTTTTATAGCTTTGGGGAGATATGTTGTGTGGTCATGATTACTTTTTGGTGGAAAATATATTTTACAGGGGGAAATGTTAGTTTTTTAAGCTTTTTATGTTCGTATCTGAGTTCTACACCTGATGGGCTTTATTATTATGGTTAGAGTGCTAATCTTATACGTGTAATTATATAAACGTTTTGCTCAGTCAAGTGTCAACAGAATAACATGAATGTTTTCATAGTGAATGAATGTTGTCATTGTATCACCAAGGTCTGAGGAAGACAGAGTGCAGGCACGAAAAAGACGGAGAGAGGAAAGAGTAAAACAGGTGAGAGACAATTTGATTAATTCTTGTAGTTTAACTGTTGCTTGCAGACTGAAGCATAATTCCTTCACTTATTTCAGGGCCTGGAAGTGGTCCCTCCTAAGAAGTCCTGCCATACTGAATGAGTCTGTGCAGCATCAGGTATTGTTCAAACAAGTATTATTGTACACAACCCCCTAGGTTGTCGAAATGGGATGTGGGAAGATTCAAGATTCAACTTTTTGTCATATGCACAGCTAGAAAAACACGCTTTCTGCACAATGAAATTCTTACTTTGCCAAGATTAGAAAATTAAGACCGTTCCAGACGAGCACTTTTTTTTTCAAAGCAAGTTTTTCAGTCGTTTCTCTATTTTCATTAAACCAGAATACTAAGCAACTGATCTTTTTTACAACTTGCACTGGTAATATGCTTTTTATGAACCACAGTCTTTTTCCTTTCTAGCAGAGGCTGAGAACTTGCTGGAACTGGACACAGGGAACAGAGTACGTTTTATATTGTCGGCTTTTCTTGTGTCATTGTTTCTTCTCCAACCTCTATTTTAATTAGAGGTGTCAAATAATTCCATTACTTGCAATTAATTTTTTACAGCCATGATTACGTGTTATATATTTTAATTATGTTAATCATTTTTAATCCACTGCTTCTTTATGGGACTTTTAAATAAACCAATTTCTTTTCTTTTACGCTTCTTGCTGGTGTTCTTGAAGGGTTGATGTAAACTCATAAGTTGAATGGTTGACGTTACAGTGACAAGACCGGTGAGAGATTAGCTGCAGCAGTGTTTATTTCAGCGACCTTGTTATCTTTACTCTGTTTTTTCACCCTTCTTGCAACTTTTTCCAAAGTTATTGTTACCATTTGGATGTAATGGGTGTGTCACTGAGCATCAAGGCTGCTGACAGCTTCTCTCCTGTATCAGACGCACATCCGTGCTGCAGTTTGGAAAGACCACAGCATCAGCTGTTTGGCTAGCTGTTAGCATTGAAAATAAGGCTTATATTATGTACAGTTATTAGATTAAATTAAAAGATTAGATTACTTTCAGATCATACATAATTAATGTAAAATATGTTTTTAATCTTTTGACAGCAGTAATTTTAATATTGTCTTTATTTTTGATTAGGAGAATTATCTGCTTGAGGACACCTTTGAGGCAGCAAGGTGGTGTACCACAAGGTCCTTCAAAGGAAGCCTTTCCCTTCCCCAGGTCATCACCATGGACAGGGAAGCTTGCCGGAGGGCAGTGGAGAGGTTATGCTTCTGTGATGGCCTAGATGAAGAGGAGATGAACGATTGCAGGGAACCGTTCCTGTTTAGTTTTCAGTCTGACTATGAGGAGTTCTGCAGAGAAATTGAGGAAAAAAGGAAGATGAAGGTGTTTTCTGGTTTTGAAAAGCCATAGTACTGCCATAGTACTGTGACACCAGTACTATGGCAGTGCATAGTACTGGTGTCACAGTTTTTGCATTCTTTTTCCTCCTCACATTGTTTTTTTTTGGAGGTTCTCTTGTTTTTTGTGTACTTTTTTTTTATTCCTGTGTTGGCTGTTTGCTCTATTAAATTTACCTTTTTTGAAAAATTTAGTCTGCATTCTTGGGTGTCTCACACAATGTCTCACCACCCCGCCTCAAACCCTGGCATGTTTTAAGAAGTATCAGCACAAATTAAGTCTCTGGTCCTCTTAATGTAGCTGATATTACTGAGTGTACAACAAATTTACCCGTGTCTGTTCTGTTTTACACTCACTTGGGAAATGACTATTAAAATAAAGGCGGCATTGATAAAATCAACTATTAAAATGGTTTTGACAGGTTTAAAGAATAGTCAATCAAATGCCTGAACCTTTTATATAGGTACCAAAAGTATAGCTAAAAGACACAAATACCTATGTGCTGTAAATACACATACCATACAAAAGTAGAAAAAAGAATAAAAATATCAGAACAGATTGGATCAAAAATGGCGCCTGTAATTATCTGCTCTTTAAAATTATCATGACATCCAGCAAATAAGTCATTTGATTACCAATGTTATGCTTTACATGGGTTTTGTGGGTTTTTAGGGCTTTCTAATCCTTAGAAAGGGGCTACTCGCGGTTTCCTGGTTCCATTGAGAGAGGGGCAGGAGTCAAATAGTTGTCTCCACCCACCTCTAAACGTTTAACCCCGCCCACATTTAGCCCCGCCCCGATCTCCGGGATGCAGCCAGGGGCTACTCGTCTCAGAAGTTTTTGTCCAAATATCAAGAACAATGGCCATGCTTGCGGCCCTCTAAACAACCTCACCATGCATTTTGCACAATCTGCAATTATGATGTGGACATAAGCCACCAGGGAGCTGCAGGTAATTAGTAAATTAGCCCTGGTGATGTCTGCATATGTGCTTTAAGCCAATTTAATATTACATTCTTGAGAACAGGAACACCTATTGCTGTTTACAAAATAAATAATTACCATTAAATACATATAAATGTTTTTTTTATTAATTTGTATTGAAATTATTTAATGCAAGTAACTTGTATAAACACAAACGTAATATAAGGAAACTTTTGAGTTTTACTGTTTAATATGATAATACATGATACGTTGGAGTCAGGTCAAACTAGTCAAAATAAGAACTATGAACAAGTGTGTGTGTGTGTGTGTGTGCATGTGCGCGTGTGTGCGTGCGCAAATTTTCTGTCCAGTGAATGGGGAGATAACAGTGAAAAGCAATGGAATTGCAAAAGTCCGCGAAAAAACGCTGCACAAGTGGTACTCAAAAAATTTTGACAAGGTGGGCAGGTCTGCAGCTGGCTACAAGGATTGTCAGTTTTTCTCATTTCAAAACGAAGGAAAGAGGGATGTAACTTCTGTTTACCATCAGTGAGTGGTTGCTGTGTCTCCTGCGAGCTAATACTGCAGCGCCGACAACTGTAACTTGATGACGTCCGACAAAGAGCTCTAAAGTTGTTTAAAGTGTTTGTAGGTGTTGGGTATTTTTATTTAATTAATCCAGGCGTACCTCAAAGAAAGTCCAACACACACAAAGGGGTTAGAGATATTAGGTTATCAATACCATTTGTCAATAAACAACCAATAACCAACAACCAGATTTTGCAAAACCGGAGAGAAAATAAAGACGCACCAATGGGATATCTGTATGGTCTCTCATCGAGCCAAAGCTCTCAAAAGATTTTATTCACAAGTAACATAGCACACACACACACACATTAAAGATAAACACACCCACCCCCTTCAGAGAAAGCCAACTTTCCCAGGTTCCTGGTATAACAGAAAGACGCTCTGTCTGGACGTAACTAGGGAGCTTTTTGTGATAACAGGACTGCAGGCTTACAAGGTCGAACTTCCCTGCCGGAGGTGCAGAATAATAACAAAATATGTACAAGGGATGAACCTTTGTTTGAATTAACAAACACCAGATGGTACCCAGACAAAGTCATTTCCATACATCCAATACTGTTTTTATCCAACAGCAGGAACCGAATTTTACCACAGGATGTCTTTTTCCACTTCATTTCTACATAATGCACCTTTAACCCAAAAACATATGCATCTATCTTTCAGTTGAAGGAGCTAACTTACCATGTAAACAGTCTTCCTCCTGATGTACCTGGACAGAAGTACTCCGTGTACGCTATTGTGAGTCGTGCTAGTAGGTAAGATAACATTTTATTGCAGTGTGTTTATAATTAGGACTTTAATTAGTTCAGGGCTTAGACTTTTTTCTTTTTTTCAGGATTCTTTCTTCCTACAACCAGGCCAAGCTGTCACTGAAGCTCCTTGCAACACCAAGTTGCATCCAAGAGGTCTTCTCTGCATATATTACTGCATTTATTGATGCCTGCAGTGTAAATAGGCTTAAGTCTGTCATTTGGTTATAATTAATATACAGGTGCTGGCCAGTAAATTAGAATATCATCAAAAGGTTGAAAATATTTCAGTAATTCCATTCAAAACGTGAAACTTGTACATTATATTCATGCAATGCACACAGACCAATGTATTTCCAATGTTTATTACGTTTAATTTTGATATTTATAGGTGACAACCAATGAAAACATCAAATCTGGTATCTCAGAAAATTAGAATATTCTAAAGGCCAATGAAAAAATGTTTGTTTCTCTAATGTTGGCCAACTGAAAAGAATGAACATGAAAAGAATGTGCATGTATAGCACTCAATACTTAGTCGGGGCACCTTTTGCCTCAATAACTGCAGTAATGCGGCGTGGCATGGACTCGATCAGTCTGTGGCACTGCTCAGGTGTTATGAGAGCCCAGGTTGCTCTGATAGTCGTCTTCAGCTCCTCTGCATTGTTGGGTCTAGCGTATTGCATCCTCCGCTTCACAATACCCCATAGATTTTCTATGGCAGCCTTTCTCAAATGGGGGTACGCGTACCCCTGGGGGTACGTAAAGAAACTCCGGGGGTACGTGAGAAAATGTACATTCATTTAAAAATAATAGTATCCATGGAAAATCTTTTAAAAAATAATTATTTAATAAATATTTTAGGAAAATATAAGTAAAAGTTCAAAAAATGTGTTTTATATTCAGTAGAAGTAGGCTAAATTCATTATCCCAAAATCCCAGAGTCCTCCCCCCCAATGCTTTTGCGCTCATTAGGGGGTACTCGGCTGAAAAAAATATTTCAAAGGGTGTACATCAGTCAAAAAAGGTTGAGTTCCACTGTTCTATGGGGTTAAGGTCAGGCGAGTTTGCGGGCCAATCAAGGACAGGGATACCATGGTCCTTGAACCAGGTGCTGGTGGTTTTGTTACTGTGTGCAGGTGCCAAGTCCTGTTGAAAGGTGAAGTCTGCATCCCCATAAAGTTGGTCAGCAGCAGGAAGCATGAAGTGCTCTAAAACTTCCTGGTAGACGGCTGCATTGACCCTGGACCTCAGGAAACAGAGTGGGCCAACACCGGCAGATGACATGGCACCCCACACCATCACTGACGGTGGAAACTTTACACTGGACCTCATGCAACGTGGATTCTGTGCTTCTCCGCTCTTCCTCCAGACTCTGGGTCCTTGATTTCCAAAGGAAATGCAGAACTTGCTTTCATCAGAAAACATAACTTTGGACCACTCAGCATCAGTCCAGTCCTTTTTGTCCTTGGCCCAGGCGAGACGCTTCTTGCGCTGTTTCTTGTTCAAGAGTGGCTTGACACACGGAATGCGACACCTGAATCCCATGTCTTTCATGAGTCTCCTCGTGGTGGTTCTTGAAGCGCTGACTCCAGCTGCAGTCCACTCTTTGTGGATCTCCCCCACATTTTTGAATGGGTTTGTCGTCACAATTCTCTGCAGGGTGCGGTTATCCCTAGAGCTTGTACACTTTTTTCTACCACATTTTTTCCGTCCCTTCGCCTGTCTGTTAATGTGCTTGGACACAGAGCTCTGCGAACAGCCAGCTTCTTTAGCAATCACCTTTTGTGTCTTGCCCTCCTTGTGCAAGGTGTCAATGATTGTCTTTTGGACAGCTGTTAAGTCAGAAGTCTTCCCCATGATTGTGGTGCCTTCAAAACAAGACTGAGGGACCTTTTAAAGGCCTTTGCAGGTGTTTTGAGTAAATCAGCTGATTAGAGTGGCAGCAGGTGTCTTCTATATTCAGCCTTTTCAGAATATTCTAATTTTTTGAGATACCAAATTTGGAGTTTTCATTAGTTGTCACTTATGAATATCAAATTTAAATGTAATGAACATTGGAAATACATTGGTCTGTGTGCATTGCATGAATATAATGTACAAGTTTCACGTTTTGAATGGAATTACTGAAATATCTTCAACCTTTTGATGATATTCTAATTTACTGGCCAGCACCTGTTATTTTGCTCGCAGGACCTTCTCATTTCTAGATCAAAGTCATCTGAACAATACCCATCCACTGCTGTTCCTAAAGAGCATCATGTGATCATGTCACAGGCAGCAGATAGTATGTAAGTTAGGTTTTCCACATCTTAGTTTTTGTCCCTTTAATAAAAATGTCACATTCGTGCATTTTCTTCTTCACCTTTAGCTCCGATCTTGTTGCTGCAGAACTGGAGAAGATAAAACGATTCAACTGTATCCTTTAGGTCGTAAGATGCCGGTAAAAAGAGCTGCTAATGAAGTCTGTGTATTCTCTTTAACATGTGACCAGTTCTGCTGGAGAACAGCAGCCTGCTAAAAAGTGAAAGCAAATGTAGAAACCTCAATGAAAACTTCTCCGAGACCATCCATGAGCCTCTAAATGAGGACTGCATTGCTGAAGCTCTTCTGAGGACGTCTAAAGCCATTCAGGACATTGATGCTCTAATTGCTGGAGAAACACTGACTTGAGTCACTGAAGAACATGTCGTAAATCTGTAATTACAGATTCTGATCCTCTGTTTAAAGATGTTACGCATGTAATATTTAATTTGACTTTAGTAACTTGTGTCTAGACATCAAATGTACACGCATTGTTCTTTGTCTTCTATTCCCGTCAGTGTTGAAAGAAGAACAAAGAAAACTTTATTCCACTGATAAATATGTTTCCAAATGATGTGGGAAAATTTCCATTGTTATGGTTTTTATTATAATCAAATTATAAATTGCAGTTTTGATTTGGTGAGGAATACTACTTTGCACATGTTAGAAATACGACCAATTTAAAGGGCAAAAATATCCTTCACATCGTTAACTTGCAGACTTAACTGCCATGTTTCTGTGAAGAGACCTTCAGCAGGTTAACACTGCATGTTGACTGTTACTATGCAGTTTAGTCATTTTGTCAAGTAAAAAAAACAGCCATTTTGCTTTTTGTAAACATACTGTAGCCTAGGTGTAATGCAGCAAAAGTTGTGGCAACTGCTAGAAACCTTCAAGTTTAACCAAAATAAATGTGTTCATCCTAACAATTTATAGCATCAAGAAAGCAAAATGGGAACATTACTAGGCTAGTTTGCAATACTTCATTGCCAGATAGCTAAATATATCTTTGTTGCATTAAAGTAGGTTGTATTTGTGAAATAAATTGGGAATGTTTTGGCTTTCATGGGCAAAATATCCAGTGGTTCCCAAAGCTAGGGTTGGGATCCTGCTGTGGGTCACCAAGAACCACATGGGGGGTCTTGAGACAATTTCCAAGATTGCTGAAGCTATATTATTTATAATAACTGTTACAAACCTTAACTACATTGTCATAAATGTATATTACTGTACATGAACTGAAGCAGTTTTCTTATGCCCTAAATTATTAAGCTTTTATGCATGGTTTAAAATCAGATATTTGTGGGTCACATGTCTTGACAATTGCTACTTTGAGGGTCTGAAGCTGAAAGATTGGGAACCATTTGCTTAGAAAACAGTTTGGATTGTTCATAAATATTAGATCACACTACTTAAGTCAACCCTTACTAGTTTAATCAATTAATCAAAGAGAAGCAGTCAATTGTCAAAGAAAATGTGTAAATATATAATACTAATCCACAATAATAAAGTGTCATGGTCTTAATCTGGCATGATTGAAATGGTCATAAACTCTACAACAACTTTATTTCATGTGTTTTTGGATGAAAAGAGGTTAGTGGTGAAATTTGATTATTGTGATTAACCCCGTCCCCAGATCAGATTGCTGTTTTTATATCCACAAACAACAGAGGAACTTTGAGCAGAGGGGTCTAGTCTCAGGTCTGCTGGGTCTGTCCATCGACATTAATACCGTATATAGTTTATACTGGGTCTGTCGTAGCCAGTTTGCAGACGACGTCTTTGATGCGTGTATTGTCGCGAGATTCCGCGAAGTTTCCGGTGTTGTGTGTACTGTATGTTCCTGGAGACATGGCGGCCAGCTTCCGCGGCCGTCCTATACGGAGTCTTCGGATGCGAGGTAAGCTTGAAAAAACTCTGTTCAATGACAGGTGTAACAGCGGGAATCTGCAAAATAGAAGACCCCATACACGCGATGAGCTTGGAGTGATGTGTTTTTGTGTACACTGTGTGTGTTTTTGTCAGGTCGGAATGACAGCGGGGAGGAGAACGTACCGCTGGATCTAAGCAGAGGTAATCAGCGATTATTCTTCAAAATGGATCATCATGGCACTTTGCTGTAAACACTGCCCCATTAAACGAAACTCAAACCATGACGTGCATATGTATTTTTATTTGCAATTCTTACTTAGTCAGTTTTCCTTTCTGTTTCGTGTAAAAACATTGCCAACTAGTCATAACAACGGGCGGTAGCGAGCTAACAAACGAGCTGGATTAGCTGCCACAGCTAACCAGCCATGACGACGCGCTGTTGTTTTGATCGGTGCTAGTAGGATACAGAGCCTGTTATTCAGCCAGACAGCTCATGCATCGGTCATCACTGACTGCACGAGGAACTGGGTGTACTGGCTGTTTGCTAAGTAGCACATATGGCTGCACAGGCTGGTTCTTGAGCTACAGCCTCTCAGCCGGGTCAGAAACACTGCTCCAGCAACAACACCGGTTTGTTTACACGGAACACTCGTGAACAGCATCATCCATCAGGATTTTGTTGTATCTGCTGACATAAGGAGCTGGAGGCGTTTAACATATGATATATCAGTGACGATAGTTTTCCTCTGCAGGTTTTAAACATATATATCTTGAGGGCCAAAATACAAAGAGGCCATGTTTCATATCAAGTTTCCGTGTAAAGAACTTCTACTTATGGCTAATTTGCAGTCAATGTTCTTGCTTAGTATTTTGAGAAAGTTACAGTTTATACAAAAACAGCAAATCTTCCTAAAAAACTTAAAGCAATGATACAAAATGAGCAGGAGACTAGAAGAATGCACAGATAAATGATGAGATTTCATGATACCTGAGAGTGCTAACTGACATGAAAGCTCAATTATCAGTTACTTTTTAAATTGTAGTTTGCAAACTGTTTCTTTGTGAGGATCTTTCAACAAACACAACAAACTACAGTCTACTGTTATTTTTGTAGCTGTTTCTAGGCTTTTACAGTAATTTCACTATCTCTTGAACTAAGTTATTAACAGGTAAAGGAAAGTGATTAAAGTAAACAAAAATATCAAATCTCAATAGATTATACTTTTTGTTTTGTACTTGTATTCAGCGCTTGACATCATAGATTTTAAGATTGATTGGGTTGCTTGACTCCAAACTGTTAAACAATAGAATGTTCAACAGAATCAAAGCATGCGTAAATAACACTTGTCATGGGTTAAAATGATCTTTAAAAGACACAAAGCAATTGCGATTAGCTTTGATTAATCTGGATGGTTGGCACTTATCCTGCCCTGAAATTGAAATAAAAAAAACCCACCATGCAATGCTTCTAAAATGATTTGCATGTACACTTTTCTACTAATGCATTGTTACAAATAGGGAAACCAAACTAAGTCTGTGCTCTAAATGAAGGATTATTATCTGAAGTTATTGTCATTGTTCTTTTTTTCAAATCCACCTCTAATATAAGATACTTAAATATATATTTGAATGGGCATCAAATCAAACTGATGAGTCTGTATAACATATTTTCTTTCTCGATATTTGGTTGTACATGTTTGCTGTTTTTTAAAGTTCAATGAAAAGTAAACAACATGAAATTCATAGATTTATTGTGCATGTTTGTTTTAATTCATAAAATAAATCAACCGTTTGCAAAGTCCTGAAACCTGCTAAGCTATTGTGGAGTTGTTCTAGTGGACTTGGTGTATGTGAATAAATCTGTAAAGTGGTTATCCTGATGTATTTTTAGTGCCTGGAGCTGCTGGAACTTTTCCTGGGTTTCACAATATTTCAATGTCAAGTTATTAATCCTTCTTGCCAATAGAGTTCTCTGTTTTACAGCCACATTCCTTATGTCAATAACATTGTGGTCAGCACATATAAATTGGAAGGACGTGCAAACCAAATGCTGACCTGCTCACATCTTGCTCTTTTAATTGCATCTTGTTTTGACTGTACACGCTAAATGAGCTGGACCGTCTTCCTTCCTGCAGTGAATCAATTACTGATACTATACCAGTATGGCTTCCCACTTTGTTACGTTGCATTGTTTTCTTCTTCTTTCCCTTGCAGAACCATCAGAAAACTTCCGTGAAATTCTCCAAAATGTGGCCAAACCTCATGGAGTCAGTAACATGCGAAAACTGGGCCACCTGAACAACTTCATTAAGGTACTACTGCAGATCTGATGGTCCAAATCCACAGTTTGTGTAATCTGTCTAAACAGTGTTGAAATGTAGTTTTCAACCATTCTCTAGCCACAGGAACTTTGTGATGCTAAATGACATCTGTATGTTTCTGAAAGTTATACCAGGGTGTAGATATTATGACCACAAAGATGGTGTACCGAAGTTTGCTTGTGTGTCAGTAAAATTCCCACCTAAAAGATGGCACAGAACACACACCAGACAAAAGACGTCCAGTCAAACTTTGAACAGCAGAGGAAGAACAACGACAAAGGATGTTTATTAGGAAACATTGAGTGGGGAGAATTATTGTTTTAATTTAATTTATCACTCGGTGACTACAAGGGCACAGAAATGGATGATTTCCTCATGAGAAATCATTCAGTTACTTTTGAATAAGCGGATGAAAAAACTAGCAGTTATTCCACCTCTTAGGCTGCGGTTAAACGCTGTGGTGCAGATGATCCCCAAACAGTTCGAATATTGTCATCTAGGGACTGTTCTGCACAGACATGGAGAAGCATGTGGAGGAATCTAGAGCTGACTTCTTCACTACTGTCCTCACTCTGGCATTGCTGGCTGGAGGGACGAGGAAACGCCATGATCTAATGTAGATCAAGATCAGCACTGTGGCTTTAAAAACAAATACACTCATGTCATGTTTATAATAAAATTATTCTTAAGATAGCAGTGTTCATCAGCTCAATAATGCTTCAACCAAGCTGTATAATGAGGCCTTCTGTTCTGTCCCACCCGACACACAGCGATGCCCCTCCAGATAATGGTGGAAAAATTTACCATAAAACAAGAGGGGAAATCACCGATTTGGTTATTTTCAGATTATTTTTCCTACTGCCTCTGCAGATTAAAGGCATTATTTTAAATAAAAAGCTGTTGCCGTGCTCTGATAACATTTCCAAGGGTCTTTTCTTCTTTGCCATCCTGGCATTTTAAAAGGGAAACACTGGGTGAAGGAGGAGGAAACTGCTAGTTTCTTGTATTCTGGGCACTGTTGTCTTTTTGCCCAGCATCACATTGTTGAGAAATGTGAAAGTAATTTAAACTAGTGGGTAAAGCACAGACCCGGGACACTGGATCCTGTTGCTGCTTAGATATGTGCGGATCTGTCAGCTCACTGCTTTTCATGGCTTCTGACTGGCTGCTCTGGATGAATTGTAAACAATTGTTTGTGGCTCTGCAGACGGTGTGTGCTGTAACTGGCACTGTGGTGGACCAGAGGCTTAGTGTGAGGCCAGTTAGTGTGTCTGCAGTCTGTCCACCTAATGCTCTTGTTCACAACTGACTTGAAGCTGTCAACGAGTGTGTGTGTGTGTGTGTGTGTGTGTGTGTGTGTGTGTGTGTGTGTGTGTGTGTGTGTGTGTGTGAACATCTCTCAAAGTTTTATCACTTTGATTCCTTATAAGGGTTTGAGGACAGCAAATCCCTCATGGAGAGCATCATGTGCCCCCCTCTCCCCTTCCTCATCCTGTTTAAGCTCTGATGTCACCGCTAGTTTAATACTACCCCATAATCGCCCAGACCTTACTCACCACCTGTCCCATTCCACTTTCTGCTGCTACCTCCTGCACAGCTATGCGCTACACATGCTCTTGAGAGACAATTAAACAAAATAAAGATGAATTCCCCACTAGGCTTTTTGCTCTGGTGTGTTGCCTGGAGATCCCAATGAGAAAGGGTAGATGCTCTGAAAAACGACCAGCAGTGTGTTTTAGCCAATCCTCTCGGTTGTGTGTGAGTTCTTGTTAATGATGGAGGATCTGTTGCTAAAGGGTGGCAGCAGCAGGTCTGGTGGAGTGTTAAAAACAGGAGAAAATGATGAAAAAAGTTTTCATGTGTCCCAAAAGAAATGTGAGCGCAGACCAGCAAATGTTGGAGGTGACCCATAACTCCTGAACCTGTCGTTCATGAGGTAGCATCACCCAGTTCCCCCACTTTCTCTTACCTGCTCCAAACAAATGGGCACATGCAGGCGAACGGTTTATTTCTGTGATTTTTATGTTTTTTTCCTGTTTTTAGGGGAATTTCGGATAAATAAAGTTCTTAACTAATCGTAACAAACAGAAAAGAAGACTTTCACTGGCAGACATGAACAAATGATCTGAACACTCACAAAATAATTTCTCATTATTTGTTCATGTTTAAATAAAAGGAGCGCTTTTGATGTGAAACAAGTGAAAACATTTTTGTTGATTTTTCAATCGTCTGAGAAACAAATAATTCACCTTGTATCTTTTTATTGCAGCTGCTTTGCAGCATTGGACATCGAGAGGAAAACTTTGGGTTTACGTATGAAGAAATTATCATTTGGTGAGTTTTATTCTTTTTTCAAGTTTATTAGGTAAATTTTTTTTTCTGTGGAAAGTAAAGCTAGATCCATTAAAACAATAATTACATCGATTCTTTAAAGCGAAAAAAATATATAAAAATCATTAAGAGCATAAATTGATTTTATAACTTGTTCTTCTTTAGTCTGCGGCTAGCTCTACTAAATGAGGCCAAGGAAGTGCGTGCTGCAGGTTTGCGTGCGCTCCGCTACCTTATTAGAGACACCATTGTGTTGCAGAAGGTCCTCAGACTGCAGGTGGATTATTTGATAGCCAGGTAAGATTCTGCTTCAGTCAGGGTGGAAAATCACTTGTGGAGACCTGATGTGTTTTGTTTCTTACTCTGTTTTGTGCCTGTTTCAGATGCATTGACATCCAGCAAAGTAATGAGGGGGAGAGAACTCAGGCTTTGCGACTGGTTCGAAAGGTAAGATAAATACGCTTATCTGAGTTTTTCTAACTGTTTATAGAGTTTATGTCATGTCCACAGAGGAGTTTCGGGTTGCTGCTGACTTGTGTCAGCACAGCGGCACCAGAACGGTCCTTTGGGTCAGCAGCAGTGTCAGGCTGGTTTGTAGAGTCTGCAGGCCAAGTTATTTATAGCTCTTCTGTAGTTTACTGTCAACAGCGCACACATGCACAAAGTGCACTGTGGTTTTGAGCGTGGACTATTGACCACACTGGCTGGCTGTACCATGACCTGTGTTACTGTTGTAACATGACGTCATGATGTTAAAATAGATTTATGTTCATACTAGTCTACACAAAGTTTTCATAAGCTAATACTGAGTTTGTTTAATTATACAAACAAAACATTTGATCAAGTTTTCAGACCCTTTTGTCTGTTGACATCTGCAGCTGAGCTCAGGTGCATTCTGATTAATTTTCCAGCGCTCGCTCCGATTGTAGTTTGCTACGATTCAGAAAACAAACCTGCACACGTCTCTCCTGTGTGGAGTGTTTCACCAGACACAACAAACAAATGAGTCTGCAAATGCAACCAGACTAGAGAGAAGCATCAGGGACTCGAAAATGGTGGCACTGCTAGAAAATATAAACCACTAGAAAGTATAAACGTGGGAGTGTTGGTCGGGTTTGAGTGGCTTTGTGTTTACAGATACAGAAACTGGCAAAACTTTAAGGGATGGTGTTGTTTATGATACTTGATGGGACTTTATTTTCCAAGGTGACCATGATACAGCTGTCTACATACAGTCTCACAGTTGTACTTATCATGTACCAACAAACGCAGTCTGGTTCCTCTCACCTGATCGTAGATTGTAATCTAAGATTGGCACAATACAAACAATAACAATCTGGTGTTGAGCAGACCTGTTTAATGTTTTTTTTCCCTTTCTCTCCTCCTGTAGATAATAACCGTCAATGCAACGCTGTTCCCCACCTCTGTTGCAAATTCTCTCATTGCTGTGGGGACGGATGGACAGCAGGAGAGGGACCGCATGGTTCGAGCGGCAATCGCCATCGTATGTGAACTAGGCGAGTACCTGGCATTTAGATAGGGACACACATCAGACATGGGAAGCATCATTAACTCTGTACACACAGGCGCAGGATGAGGAGTTGTTGATAAATGGTGGTTAGAATGGGGAAAAAAAGGTAGTAAAAGATATGATCCGTTTAAGTTTCATATAATCTTACTGAATAGTGGTGAAAATGTATGTAATATATGAATGTATGGCCCAAACAAGAAGCCTAAAAAACAAGTTCTTGCCAACATTTTCTTTTAATGTGATAGGTGGAAGAGGGGATGTTGTCCTGTGTTTAATCATTTCTTTGCAAGTATTAGTCTAATATTTTGTCTAGGGATGTAAGAAGATATCAATATGGCAATATATCGTGATTTTGTTTCCTGTGATAATATATCAATATTAAAAAGCCATATAGCAAAGTTTTGGAAGAATTTACATGCAAAGATTTGTGTATTTTTTTTTGGTGCAACTCAAACATCGACTTGTAGTTGGCAGCAGTGTGCAATGTTTTTTTCCATAATTGAAATGTAAATCCCTCTATTATGGTCCAGTTTTACTGCAATATATCGTGATATATTGTATCGTCTACCCTGTATCGTGATACGTATCGCATCGCCAGAATTTCACCAATACACCTCCCTAATTTTATCAAGTTACTCTTTTGTCTTTGTAGCCCTGAAGAACCCAGAAGTGGTGGCCAAACGAGGAGGTCTCAGCACAATTTTAAAGAGCGTGCTTGACTGTCAGCTCAGTCGCATCAACGAAGCACTGATCACCACCGTCCTCCATCTACTCAACCACCCACGTACTCGCCAGTACGTGCGTGTGGACGTCGAGCTCGAGGTGAGAACTCTTAGTCCAACCCGAGTGTTTCCACAGCGCTTACAGTAATCACTTACAGCATTTCTCATTTTCTGTAAACATCTAGTAGAGACAGAAGTGCTCGTCACATCATATCTGCTGAGCATTTATTCTAACTGCAAGTGTGTGTGTTTTGTGTTCTGTCCTGCAGCAAATCCTTGCACCTTTCACTGATTTTCACTATCGTCACAATGCAGACACAGCTGAAGGGCAGCTAAAGTAAGTGTGTGTGTGGAAAAGGTCGAGTGTTTAACATGTATGCTGGATTCTATCATTGGTGACAGTGTGTTGTTGGTGTTTTGTGGGTTTGGGAAGTGTCACCAAAACATTTTCAGCCGAAGTTGCAAATTTGGAAAATAAATTAGCTTAAAAGATTTTTTTGTGCCTCTTAACATTTTAACATAGTATAGCTATAAATATATTGTGGAGATTTTTTTTTAAAAAAAAGTTAAAAGTGGTTATTTCACATCTGCCTAAAAACCTTCACCAATAACACGTTTGGAAAGCAACCGTTGGACCATCTTGTTGTTGGACTGGCTAAACCGCTGCACCTCCCTGTGTCCTCCACTCATTACGCACTCGCATATTTAGCAACAGAACACCACTGGTGTGAGAGGTTCTCTGCTCATTATATCAGAGAAGGAGAAACAGCCGGCTGCTACTTCAACTTTAGGACAAACAGAGTTCCAAAAAGAAAAACACCGTTTGAAGTCAGACAAAAAAGACATTTAGACCTAGAAAATATCCACTGGTGTTTAGCGCTATCATGTTTCCTTTGGTATCGCGGGTTTCTGATTCCAGCAGAAGCGTCTCAGGGAAGATACCCGAGGGGAGGGGTGTGTGTACCATGACCGTGTTTGCGTTCAAACCTAGCTTGTTCAGCAGATTCGCCTTAACAGCTTTAAATTGCAGTTTCTGACCGATCATCGATCTTGAGAAAAACCTGACTTGCCGATATCGATTTTGTCTTAACTAAAAGCAGATTATGTCAATGTTTCAATTTCCTTTTATTGAGAAAACCAATATGAATACTCATGAAACGATACCAGTTTCAACTGGACCTGAGGTAATGTTTTCAAATATAAACAAACATATTTAGCATTGCTGTTTGAACAAAAAAAAATCATATTTGTTCATTTTTCTAATTTTGAAAATAAAACTTTTGTACCTGTTTTGACACGTGACCCAAAAAAAGTATTTTTTAGCAATGATTTGCTTTAACATTAACTAAGAGTGCACAGATTGCAGTTTTTGGTCGATTACCAATCTTGAAGAAAAAAAATACGAGATTGGGGCCGATAGATTGGTGCACCCCTACTTGAAATACTCTTTACATACCAATGGCAACAAATGAATGTAATGTTATGTCAAAAATAATTTTTTTGTTTTAATCCCCTCTGAGACGTACAACCCTGGAAAAGCCTTATCCAGTCCTCATTCACGTCCTGTTTTTAATGACTGGATCCTGATTCATCCATCAAACCGCTCCTCTGACCGTTCTTTCCCCCCTCTGTGTGCACAAATCATACATTCTTGAACAGGAAGTGAAGCCAGAGCTGAGATGCCTAGTGTAACAGACTGAATGTTTTGTTATGTTTGGAAATTTAATTTTAGGAGACGTGTCACATGTTCTGTTTACACGTTGGTTCTGTTCTTGATGGGAAATGTTTAGGTGATGGACCTGTTGTCTGTGAATGCAGTCAGCTTGCACAAAACGTGTGTGTGTGTGTGTGTGTGCGTCTGCTTGTGTGTGTGTCCAAGAAGGGAGAGTCTGAGGGAGTTTGGGAAAGGTTCAGGAAGTTTTGAGCTTTTATTTGTGGGGCTTCCCCAGATTATTGGTAGCACTGAGCTGCAAAGATTTTGAAGTTAATAATAAACCAAGAAAGCTAAAAATTGCCTTGTTTTTGACCATTAAAACATCACACTATATTATCTATTATTCTAAAATAGTATACGGTTACGTAAGTGCATTACTTTAGGAATGATGGCAGGAAAATGGCCATCAGCACCTCCTGTTACACCGTTAACATTCAATGCTGCTGTGTTTACAGAGAAGACAGAGAATCCCGTTTCTTGTCGAGCAGAATGGCAATTGTCGCTGCCTTTCGTTCCTGGTCTGGTAAGTTGCATAGCCATTTATTATCTTAAAAAAGTTTGTTTGATTTAGTCATTTTTGAGCATTATTAGTTAAAATCATTCTTATTGGTCTTATTTTTTAATTTAAGGGATTATCAACCTGTGCAAAGCTGAAAACTCTGGAATCCAGTCATTAATCGGGTTACTTTGCATACCAAACATGGAAGTTAGGGTGAGTGCATTTATTAAACATCAGAATTGATTTTACTGATCACCGTAAAGCATGTTTTTATTTGTGCAAAGTCTTATTGAATCTATTTTCCAGTAAAACTACAGTTTGTTTGGCCTTTAGGCCTCTTGAGTCTGATATTGGAGGTGCTCCTCATTCTGACGTTCATCAGACATCACTGATTGCTTTCACATGGTTTGTCCTGCAGAAAGGCTTGTTGGAAGTGTTATATGAGATATTCAGGCTCCCTGTTCCCATTATTACGCAAGACTTCACAGAGGCTCTTCAGAGTGTTGGTAAGGAGTTGATGTTTCTGTATCAACAGAATGTATTTGTGTGTTTCCTCCAAGTATCTTTGTATCTAGCACAGAAACATGTCATTGCTGTTTAGTCACTTACTGAGAGTGTCTTTGTTCCTCCTGAATGAGGCCATGTGTCCCACACACAGTAAAGACTAATCTTAGCTGTGGTCCACTTCAGATCCCTCCAGGTTTCAGGACACCTGGAGACTGGCTGATGGGTTTATCGCTGCTGAAGCTAAAGTCATCCTGCCCCATCGGGCCCGCTCTAGGTGAGAGAACAGCAGCGGTGTTAGGCTGATGTCAGTTCAGTGGTTGCATGAACATTTTTGTGTTTCCGTTTGCTTTGTTAGGCCCGACCTGATGGACAACTACCTGGCATTTGTTCTTTCTGCCTTCATCACCAGTGGGCTGTTAGAAGTAAGATGATTCTACCCGATGGCTGACTTATGATGCCGTCAAGCTTAATTAGCGAACATCTGAGGTGTTCTGGAGCAGTTTGGTGGTGACTGTCTCTGCTTCTGGCTTTGCTGCTGTAGGGTCTTGTGGAGGTTGTGACCAGCAGCGACGACCAGCTTGCTGTCAGAGCCACCATACTCCTGGGAGAGCTTTTACACATGGTAATTTATAAATGAGGTCACACTTAACTGTAAAGCTCACCCTGATCACAACTATGTTAGTATAAATTATCTTAATACTGTGATTCTTATAATAATGATTCATTTTACCTGCTTTTTTTTTTCTTTGCTTGTTTAGGCAAACACAATTCTTCCTCATTCCCATAGCCACCACCTGCACTGTCTTCCTACCCTCATCAACATGGCCGCCTCGTTCGACATCCCCCAAGAGAAAAGACTGTGAGTACAACGACGGTTTTTATCAGCAAATTAGAAAAATGATGGTTAGTTAGAACAGGAATAAATTTGGCAACACTTGCAGACAAAACAATATTTGTAAATGAAAAACTTATATCTAGATATTTTTCTCCCTGTATAGGAGGAATGCACGATATGTCAGTCTTGTATCGGCCGATGTTAGTCGGTATGGGGCCGATGAGTAAAACTAGGCCGATATTAAAAACTAACATTTTTTCCATCTTGTTTCCGTTTGTGTATCCGTATCAGAGGCCGAGGCGGGTGATGTTGTGTAACTGTTTAGTCATGTGATAGTGATGGTAATTAGAGGCTGACCGATTCTCTTGATGAGCTTCATGAGGTGGTCCTTCAGGAATGTATGAAAACCATTTCAGGTGACTTCCTCTTGAAGATCATCAAGAGAATGCCAGGAATGTGCAAAGCAGTAATCAGAGCAAAGGGTGGTTATTTTGAAGAAAATAAAATATAAAACATGTTTTCAGTTATTTCACCTTTTCTGGTAAGTACATAACTCCTCATGTGTTCATTCATAGTTTTGATGCCTTCAGTGAGAATCTACCAATGGTCATGAAAATAAAGAAAACACACTGAATGAGAAGGTGTGTCCAAACCTGGTACTTCTCTAGTTTCTCATGTTCCCTTTTCCTGATGTTGCATCACTTGCCCCTTCTTTCCACCGGAGCCGTCAGCAGCACGTTACTGCAGCAGCACGTTACTGCAGCAGCACGTCATAGCAGCTGATAGGAACCGCTGTGGTCAACAGAACCCTTTCCACCGGAGCCGTCAGCAGCGCGAGTCTCAGGAGCAGCATGTCGCGGCCTTTACGCGCCGGTTCTATTTTTTACTCGCTACGCCTCTGAAACGGGTCAAGTTCGACATTTTTGGGGAAGGAAAGACAGGAAATCGGATGCGGAAACGGAGCGAAGCTCCTGAGATTTTCAGAATAAAGAAACGTACTGCCTTCCGGTTGCTTTACTTTAAAAAAAGGTTACTAACTGTGCGGCCCCGTGAGAAGTTATCATCTAGCTAGCGGTCTCTTTTGTTTTTCAGGTCCGTATTGGCGATTATAAAACGGACAGAACATAAAACACAAAGCTTTTGGAGCCATGTTGTAATTTTCTCCTGCTTGTTGTTGTGTTTACTGACAAAGTCACTCGTGTGACTTCGTGCTCTGTCGGTGACAGCTGCTCCCCTGCTGCTTCGCATCCCGTGGGAAGGGCCAAGCAGCAGCTTACGCGAGCAAGACGTGCTGCTGCAGTAACGTGCTGCTGACGGCTCCGGTGGAAAGAAGGGGTTGGTATTGCCACATCAACCTCAAAGGCCGTCCTCTGTTGTTTGCCCACCACCACAATATCCGGTTGGTTCTCCATCACTAATGTGTCCGTCTGGATCTGGAAGTCCCACAGGATCTTGGCTCACTCAGTTCTCTATCACCTTAGGGGGTGTTACCCACTTTGACCTTGGGGCTTCCAGTCCTGCACAGATGTTTCTGTACACGATGCCAGCCACTTGGTTGTGGCGTTCCATGTATGCTTTCCCTGCCAGCATCTCACACCCTGCAGTTATGTGGTGGATTGTCTCAGGGGCCTCTTTGCATAGCCTACACCTTGGGTCTTGTCTGGTGTGGTAGATCTTGGCCTCTGTTGCTCTGGTGTTCAGGGCCTGTTCCTGTGCAGCCATGATGAGTGAAAAGTTTAGAGCAGAACTTTTACCCAGATTTTTTTAGGAATCTAGAGACCAACTTTTTCTGTAAGTTTTGTTTTGTCATCACATGATCGACTGACTGCAAAAGAACACGTGATGGCAGAGACGGGAAAGCAGCAAGCCAGTGGGAGTGAGCCCCACATGTTAACTCTAGATATTCATTGGATGTTATTTACATTTATATAAAATTCCTGTCATTTTGTGTCTTGTTTGAAATTATATTGACATTTTAAAAAAAGACTTGTGATATTGTCCAGTTCTGCCATGTATCATCCGTGGTTGTTTTTTAAAATGAACATTTAAAAACACTTCCCGTCTTTGTTTGGGGGTATTTTCCAGCCGTGCGAGTGCTGCGGTGAACAATCTGAAGCGTTTCCACGAGAAGAAGAAGAGAGGTTCGAAGCCACACAGCCTCTACTTAGACCACATCATCCGCAAATCTGTGTCATCACCCAACCGCAGAGACTCACACTCGCGCAGCCAAAGGGACATCTACGTCATAAAGGTAGAGATTCGTTCTCAGATCTTGTGTAAATGAACTTTTATAACTCGTCAGTTGTTGCAGACAATGTTGGAATGTTTAAGTTTCTGTAAATAAGCTTGTTTGTCTGTTTAAATCTTTTAAAGTTGTTAAATAAATGTTTCCTGATATTTTCAGGACACAGAAGAAACACTGATGATGAACCTGAGAGATAGTCAGATTCTCAACCACAAGCAGAACTTGGAGTGGAACTGGCTGCTCATCGCCACCATCCTTAAGGTCAGGCTGTTTTTAGCCAAAGCACAATATCACATCTTTCTTTTTTCACAATAAAAATGTTTGTTTTCCTTTCAGTGGCCAAATGTAAACCTCAGGAACAACAAAGATGAGCAGATGCACAGGTAAGCACTGATTCTGCAGTCATATTACACGTTTCAGGAATATTTGAGTTTAAATGTATGATTGTTTGTGTCACGCAGGTTTGTTCGGAGGCTGCTGTACTTTTATAAGCCCAGTAGTAAACTGTACGCAGGACTGGCTCTGGATCATGCCAAAGCCAGGCAGCTCACCGTGGTGGGGTGCCAGTTCATGGAGTTCCTCATGGACTCGGATGAGGTGAAAGAACTAAAAGCTGGCACAAAAATATATTTCTGTATAATCCTGCGCCATGTTTCATCTTTCCTCTTGTTGACCCCTTTGCCTCCTCTTGCCTCCTTTTATGGTCAGGACGGTCAGGGCTATCTGGAGGACCTAGTGAGAGACATGGTTTCCTGGCTGGCCTCGTCTTCAGGTCTGAAGCCTGAGCGCTGTCTGCAGAGCAACGGCCTGCTCACCACACTCAGCCAGCACTACTTCCTCTTCCTGGGGACACTTTCTGCACACCCACAGGGAGCCAAACTGCTCGAGAAATGTGGCCTGTTCCAATGGTGAGTGGGAAGAAATGGACAGTTTTCCCAGACTCGACACATTTATGCCACCAACACCTCAACACCACCTCTGCTTTTGTTTTTGTACCTGTAGCCTGCTGAACTTGTGCTCAGTAAAAAACCAGGACGCTGTTCTGAAACTTGCCGTTTCCACACTGGACTACAGCAGGGATGGCTTGGCCAGGGTGATTCTGTCTAAGGTCCTCACTGCTGCCACTGATGTAAGACAGCCATGATAACAGAAAAAAAAAAACGGTGCCACTCAGAGAGAATTAATGAGGAAGCTGAGTTTTTTTTTTCTTTTAAAGGTGTCCCAGAATTCAGAAAAGCATTTAACTTGCTAATGTAGCATATCAAAACTTCTGTGGCGTCTCCGACATGCTTTCCTGTGTAAATTAGTAACATTATAATGGAAATGTTTTCTTCTGAGAAAAGCTGGTTTAACACATATGCTTAGACAAACGGCCTTATATTAGCATGTTCCACCCCACTTTAGCGTCAGCAACATATAAATGTTGGTCGGGGCAATGCTAACTGCAGAACAATGCTAGTCTGAGCTAGTGCTAACGCTAGCCCAAGGTACTGCTAATGCCTGCTTGAGCTACTGTTAATGCTAGTTCGCACTATAGCTATCATTCTTGTTGTAGCAACACTCATGTTGCAGGATGCACTTTAAATGAATTCCAGATGGACCCATAGCTTGCAGAATGGTTTGATGCCCCCACCCCCACCCCCCTTAGTACAGTAAACATTTTCTTAAGCCTAATTTATGCTTCTCCATCGCCTATGTGAGGGAGAGACACACACGTCGACAGAGACGTTTTGTCTTTGGACTTCTCCATATTTACACTAGTGTTAATATTGTGTTTTTTGTATTTCAGAGACTTTTAACACAAACAAACATGTCCCTCATTCTCCTCCACCTCTTCATGCACTCACCACCTATGAACCCACGTTTCCGTGAATCCATCCATGAATAAAACGCTTGCTGTGTATCTCATATTTTCAGAGTTTTTCTGCGAGGTATTCTTCTAGCTGCCCCACCTGTGCTGCTAGATATTGTCGGCTGTATTTTTATTTCTTTGAGGAGGCAATGGTGGTGCTGTTGATGAATTTAGAGGAAGCGGAGTCCTGGCCACAAGCATGTCCTCTCCGTCTCGTTCAACGGATGTCTCCGTCCGTCCTTGAGAGTCTGTTGGAGAGCCCTCACAACGACGAATGATGTGTTGCATGTCTGTACCTACGCGGACAGAGAAGCATAAATTAGGCCACACACACACACACACACACACACACACACACACACACACACACACACACACACACACACACACACACACACACACACACACACACACACACACACACACACACACACACACACACACACACACACACACACACACACACACACACACACACACACAGAGACAGACAGACAGACAGACAGACAGACAGACAGACAGACAGACAGACAGAGTTTTTTGCTTCAGGCAGTATCATCGAGGGTAAACCCACCAATCAGTATGCAGCTTATTTAATATTTATGTCCTGACTGCGTGGGCGGAGCAAACCAGTCATTGCTTTATTATGGGCTGCTATTTGCCCATCTATCAGCGCTCCTGGGCCATTGTGAGCTTCAACAAAGTTTTATGTGCTTTACAGAGCCTCAAAGAACAGTACCCTTTTAAAAAATGCTAGGTGTTGCACTGCAGCATCAGTCAGCAGATTTAAAAATAATGTATGACTGCAACACACCCTCATGGGTCTGAACCCTGAGGGTAACAAAGTCACCAGATAAGAAAAAAGAAACTTATTTTTGCCATCAGAAAACCGCATCGTGTTAAAATATCGACGAGACACTGAATTAAAAATCCTCTGAGAGGTTGTGACACGGCTCTTTTTGTCTCTGCCGAGCAGACATGCAGGCTGAACGCTACCAAGCACCTCCGTGTGCTGTTGCGGGCCAGCGTGGAGTTCTTCAGCAGCTGGGGCATGGAGCTCCTGGTCACACAGCTTCATGACCACAGCAAGGCTGTGTCCATGGAGGCCCTGGACATACTGGATGAGGCCTGTGAAGACAAGGTGCTTCCATTAGATTACTGACACTGCAGCTGTAGTGTTTTCTCAGATCCGATTAAATTAACCTTTGTGCTATTTTGCAGGCCAACCTTCATGCTCTGATCCAACTGAAACCAGCTGTTTCCCACCTGGGGGACAAAGGTCTCTTGCTGCTCCTCAGGTGTGTGTTCATCACTTTTCTTTCTGTGTGATGCACAAGTCTTTTACTGACCTCATCACATTGACGAGCTGCGTTCTGTTGTCCAGGTTCCTGTCCATTCCTAAAGGTTTCTCCTACCTCAACGAGAGGGGCTACGTCAGCAAACAGCTGGATAAATGGCACAAGGTATTTCCAAGCTAAAAGCAGATGACCCCCAAGTCATCTCGTGCTTTAAGTTTTTAGCTAATGAGGCTGTGGTGAAGCCAAACACCAACAGAGGTTGATCTCTGATCTGGGTTGCAGGAATACAACCTTAAATATGTGGATCTGATAGAAGAGCAGCTAAACGAAGCGCTAACGACATACCGTAAACCCATCGATGGAGACAACTATGTCAGACGCAGCAACCAAAGGTTGGATGGGGGGAATCCATCAGCGCCTGATGATCTGCAGGACTGTGTCTCATGTCTCTGGTTGTGTCTCCAGGTTACAACGACCAAACGTCTATCTCCCTGTGCACTTGTACGGTCAGCTGGTCCACGATAAGACGGGCTGTCATCTGTTGGAGGCTCAGGTAAAAGATTCTTTGATTAGTCTTGTAACGTGATGAAGGAGCTATTCCATCATAGTTATTTACCCTCTGTGGAAATGACAATGTTTAGGATCAGTGGTATTTTAATATTAATAAGTAATATGACTTTAATCTAGCTGCACTAGACATCCTGATCCATGTAATGCTTAAAGTCACATGACACATTTTATCTTTCTCATCCAATCGGAACCTTCCTTTCTGAAGCGTGGCATAGTCTCTGTGGTGTTTATAAATCCGTCAAAATCTGATTCGACCGTAAATCAAAACATCCAGATTAATAAAACCAGTCCCCACACCATCTTAGATCAGTTCACCGCATTCTAAGAGAAGTATCGGACCGGCCACCCGGACTTCCTTTTTAAGCAAAGAACCGACAAGCTGGAAAATCTGTTGCACTTTACCAACCAAGCAACGGTTCCTTTCAGAATAAAAGCTGAACTCACTGACCCTCAGGGTCCATCTGACGCTGTCAACCAACTGTCGCTTTTTACCTGGAGACAATCCAAAGACTAGTCTGTCGTACTGCTGACGCTGTTTCATCGGCTCTGGTACCAAAGGGGGTCCGAGGACCTGGCATTCTGGATCTGTATGGAGGTCTCGTCCTAAGGGTATGTGTGGAGCGACAAAATGGCGTCTCATGTGTTTATGAAACTCCAATCATAGCTTAAGAGCAAAAGATCACTTCCCACTCAGACTTGCTTCTCCGGATACGAGAGTTCTGATGACAACATCACTCACACATACACCATCACTTCTCATTCACACCAAGATCCGTTCATCACCCAGAGTTTAGAGTTAGTCTTATTTAAAATTGTTTAGAAATAAATCTTCTTAAACTTTTTAAAGGTGACTCTATCCTCTCTTGTCTCTCAGTTATTACGAAGTGTTACATAATCCTTGCAATAAAAAGTTCCAATCTTCTGGTTTAAGTTATCCAAAGATCCATAAGATTGATTTCATATTTCCTATGGAATCTCGCATCTTATGGTTCATTAAATAGTTGTAAATTAAATCATTACAGTCTGATTTTTTTATTGTCACCTATTGATTTTTCTGTATTTTTTTCTGGCAGACTTGCTTCTTAATATCTGTCTATTTTTATTTACCTCAAGAATGTAGTCCCAGACCTCAGTTACACGATTCGCTCCCCGATGCTGGACACCTGGGAGGGTATTAAACAGCTGAAGGCTGCTCTCTGGGCTCTGGTCAGTAGTTACTCAAAACAAGATCTCAGTCTCTGTATTAATGGTCCTTACTTTGTCGGTCTCTGATTGGGTCTTGTTTTCTCTTTCAGGGCAACATTGGTTCTTCAAACTGGGGTCTGAATCTCCTGCAGGAGGAGAATGTCATTCCTGACATCCTCACTTTGGCTCAGCACTGCGAGGTGCTGTCCGTGCGCGGGTAAGCTCACCTTGCTTCAGAATGAGTCGCTCTTACTCAGCCAGCTGAATGTCGGGCGAACAGCAGCGAGTTGTAATGTCATTTCTTTTCCACAGAACCTGTATTTATGTTCTCGGAGTGATTTCCAAGACTAAGCAGGGCTGTGAGGTTCTAAAGCAGTACGGCTGGGACGCAGTCCGACACAGTCGCCGGACGCTGTGGCCTGTCACGCCCGACGAGGTAGACACACAGCTGACCTCTGAGCTCTCTTCGGTACCAAGCACGCTCAGTCTGAACTCGGAATCCACCAGCTCTCGCCACAACAGTGAGAGTGAGTCCCAACCAAGTACGTAATAAAACTACTGTTTTTGCCAGACTCGTCAGGTATTTCAGTAAAAAAATGAGCATTTTACCTATCAGCCTCTGCTGTGTTTTTAATCTGTTTATATTTTCAGACATGTACATCCTGGAGGATGATAAGTGTGATGTTCTGGACTCGTCAGACGACCCTTGTTTCTACTCTAAAGCAGTCAAAGACCGCAGCCCCTTCACGATCCTGACTTCAACACGCATCGTTCGCTCTCGCTTCCTTAACTCCCTGCCCTTTCCCAGCAAGAAACTCCGCTCTACTAGTGATCCTAAGACTTTATCAGGTTCTCGCATGCCTACTGAGCTCAAGACGGATAGCTTGAGACGAAATAGGACTGTGACGGAGCCTTCTGTCTTCAGCCCAAACCAGGGGGACGTCTTCACCTCGGTGTTTAATGGAAGAGGATTGCCAAAGAGTCCAACTGTTAGCCTAGAGACATCCTTTGTTGGGACAAGGGGGGGCTCAGAGGAACACCTTGTGGATGGCAGGCTGATGAGGAGTGGAGGCTCGGGTCTAGGACTCAGCAGCTTGAGCGGGCCTGGGGTGGTGGAGCCCCACAGCCGGGAGCGTCTAGCAGGAGACGGTGGTTCTTCTTCTAGTGGAGGCAATGTGGGAGGGGGTGGTGGGGGCACTCAGTTTAAAAGCCGCAGTCAGAGCTTTAATACGGACACCACGACCAGCGGCATCAGCTCAATGAGTTCCAGCCCTTCCCGGGAGACTGTTGGGAACCCGGAGCAGCCCGAACCGGACTCTTCCGACTGTGTGAGCCTCAACACCGTCGTGTCTGCCAAAACTGTCAAAACCCTCTCTTCCCTGAGCCCCCAAGCTCAAACTAACCACATGTCCACCTCTAAGTCCTCCAACGTCTCTCTGGTACCACCTGGGTCCTCGCACACTCTGCCCCGCCGGGCCCAGTCTCTCAAGTCCCCCTCAGTGACCACCATCAAAAGCCTGGCTGACTGCACCTTCATCTACACGAGCCCGAGAGATGCTCTGGGTTACGCCACGCTGAAGAGGTTGCAGCAGCAGAGGATACACCCGTCTCTGTCCCACAGCGAAGCGCTGGCTTCACCTGCCAAAGATGTGCTGTTCACAGACACAATCACCATGAAGACCGGTAGCCTGGACTCCAGATTAACCCCTCGCAGGTGGGTCCTCGGTCACTACATGAGCTGGAATATATGCGTTGAGATCTTTGCTGTTAGGAGAACATTCCGCTGCTCTATTTTCTGCACTGTAATTTCAGCTGTAATCTTCCCGGTTACGGGTTTTGGGCCGGGACAGGTGTGAAGGTGTTTCTTTATGCACTTTATACTGTGTCTGTTAGGATATCAAGTAGGAGGTGCACCTGTCCAGAACCTACGATCCCAAGGCCATATCGCAGGCTGTCCAGAACTCTGGTACCGCGGTGGGTGGACCTGCCCAGTGTCCTCAGTAGTGGCGTGTCTTTCGGCTTTCTCTAGACTAGCAACAGTTCTCTGTGCCTGCAGTTACCCTGGCCTGAAGTGTGTGCAAGCCCTGTGTAGATTAGCCAGTTTTTTTAGGTTTTCCCTGTTTAGTTCAAGCTGTTGAGTGAATTTTAAATATGTTGCTATGGCAACTGAACACACAAAAGTAAAATGCAAGAAAATGTTTGTGATTCTGATCCGAGATAAAATTGCATTCCTCCTAAAGTTCAGGAGAAGTGGATTTGTGGTCAAAATGAAGTTTTCTCTCTTTGAACAACTGTCTGCAGATGAGTGATTGCTCTTTGTGAAGCTGCCCTCTTTGATCAATCGCCATCTGTCGTTTTACCCGATGCATTTCCCCCTACTGCCTGTGTTCCTATTCTCGCCCAGCCTCTCCCCCCGGATCCTCTCACGCACCTGTCCTCTTGCCCTCCCTAGGTTTCTGAAAGCTCTCAGCTTTGCCTCGCTGGATAAAGAGGAACTCCTCAGCCCCATCAACCAGAGCACTCTGCAGCGCTGCTCGTCAGTGCGCTCCGTGGTCCCCAGCGCCACCTTTGGCTGTAACGACGACTACATTGGCCTGGCGCTGCCGATGAACATCAACGATATGTTTCACATCCGAGAATCTACCTACTTCCAGCAGAGGATCAGCCCACCATCAGAGGAACGGAAACGCTTCCTGTTTGGTGATGGAGATGGTACAACGCAGCATCACGTCTGACTAAATGATCAAACCCAACAGAGGAACAGTATTTTGAAAAAGATCATTTTGTTTGGTTATCTCTGTAGGGGATCGACCCACTGTCCCATTACTGAAGCAACAGTTTAGCATCTCTGAGCTGATCGTGTGCCGAGGTGACACTCCTAACCACATGGTGGGCTCGGAGGAGACGGGCCTGCAGGATCACACTGAGGAAAACTGCCTCTACTGTGTGGGAGCCATTGTCCTCGGATACCCCACAAAGCCACAGATCAACAGCACACACCCTCGAGGTGAGGGCACACATTCTTTTAGCAAGGATGATAGTGTTCCTTAGTGTAGAATAACAATAAAACCTGTTTGTTTTAAATCCCCAGATTATGTGGATTTTCCTTCATGGGGAGGCCAGAGCGGGCATCGGTTGGAGGTGATGCCTCAGTCCAAGTTCTCTGGGGTGTCGGGCTGCAGCGACGCTGCCGTCTCACAAGGGTCCATCTCCAGCACGCCCACACCTGGAGACATCGTCATTGGTATGTGCTCCTCCATCCACAACGTGTATCTTTTATATATGAGGAGGGCATAAAGGCCACATTATCACACATTAGTCAGATCAGATTCTTGGATTCAGCTTCAAACATATGAATTAATGTCAGCAGCAGCTTGGAGTCAACCTGTTCACACTCCTTCCTTCTGGCAGGTGATGAGCAGCCTCGTTCCCTGAGGCTCATGAACTCCAAAGCTTGAGCTGTACTTTGCTGTCTACCTGTAGGAATTTAGATGTTTGTTAATGATTTATTTGTTCGTGTTAAAACATTTGACCCTAACATGCTGCTGAATGATTATGAATATACAAATCGGAATATCTACTTTTTTGTCCTCTAGGTGGAAAGGCAATATCTGAGGATGGCCCCGCCTCTCGAGTCTTGCTGAGGAAGGAGATTCTCCGACTCATCATCAATCTCAGCTCTTCTGTAGGAACCAAAGGCCACGAAACAGGACTACTGACGTAAGTCTGGTGTTGTAGTTCAGCTGTAAAACTGGTCCTTCGGTCTGCCGATGAGGAGTTTATTTGGGTCTCTGATGCTCAGTAGTGATGGATCGATGCTCTCCATCACGTTTATTTTCTCTGAGAGGACAGGAAAGAGTCCAACTCAGAATGACTGGGCCAGTATTCGTTCCTGTAGAGCAAAGTTAACAACTGTAACTATAAATCCGTCACTGCCAGCCATTTTCTGAACAGAAAACTCCTGATGGCCAGCGTTTTTGAGCGTTTTTACAGTTTTTTTGAAGAGTCTCAGAACATTGTGCTCTATGACCATGTAAAGATGAATCAACATGTTTTTTACTCTTGCCGTTCTTTCACTGTCCGTTGTTGACGTGTGAGCTGCAGGAGCTTTTTCCAGTTTGCGCCTCACTTTAGGCAGAGTGGCGTCCCAAACTGATCTCCTAGTTCATGGATTGTCTGCTTCATGATCATGTGACATGTGACACACACAGATGAAGATCCACCTGTAGAGTCGTGATGTTTACTCTCAGGGTGCTCGTTCCACGCCCGCCCCATTAATAAAGGCAATTGACGACTTTAGTCATTTTATTCACTTGACTGTCTTAAGGTTGGTTTATGCTTGACGCATCCGCGAGGTCCGCACAGCTTCGCGCGGCGAAATTGCGTCATTTTAACTACCACACTCCCCCACCGCACCTCCGCACGGCCCAAAATTTCCGCACCGTGCACCTAGGAAATTTTCTAACCACACGGACGGTCGGACGCGGAAAAACATGGCGGACCGGCAAGAACTAGTATGGCAGAGGTTCGTAAATACAGACATTTGTATGATTCAGCTCTCAGAGATCACCGTGATCAACATGTTGTTAATAATTCTTGGAGAGAAATAGCTCGCACTGTCGGAAAAGACGAGGACGCTGTTAAAAAAATGCTGGAATGTCATGTTGTAAACAATAATTTCTACTTCTACTATGGTGTAGTGTTGGATACATGCCATAGAGCTCCATGCTGCCCCCTACAGTTTGGGAGAATATTGGCTCACCGCAGAGACAAGCCGCATGAACCATAAACGCTGCAAGTTGGGAAGCGCGTTCCAGCCGCGAGCCGCATCACCAAGCGGAAAGTGAATGCGTCAAGCATAAACCAAGCTTAAGCCTGTAGCAGCATAACTAAAAGGGTGAGCCAAGATTACCGTATTTTATCAAATAGGAGAGCCTAGTTTAAAAGTAGAGCAGGCGTGTGCCTCCAAAGGGAGAGGCCTGAGAGCTGTACGCTCTGCCTCCTAATCTATCTTTAGAAACGTTAGAAATCACAAGCAAAGCTGCAGCCTGAGAGCCGGGCATTCTGTTGTGGACATCTGGATAAACGGTAACTAATATCTAAGATGGTGCTTTCAGAGTTTCAGAAGTAAGAATATAATGAATGAAGTGATGCTTAAACAGGAGAAATCAGATCCTCTCTTCATCAGAACCCTGGTAGCGACCTTTGGGATCAGCTGGAGGCTTTGAGGAGAATAATTAAAACAACACTGATAATAAAGAATTAAAGTTATCTAGCTTAGAATAAGTAAATGTGTGATCTAGTCCTTCAGAGTCTCTTTGGATCAGTTTTAAAAATATCCTAGGGGTGGGCAGTAAATTGAACATGTATCGTTATTGAAATTTCTGACTCAATATCATTTTTCCCATGACAATAAATTCAATAATATATAAAAATAAAGATGTGTGACCGTTGGCGTAGCTTTAAGAAGCGGTACCACCTTGGTTACATGACGATGTGAGAGCCCCATCTAGTGGACAACGTTTGTTTCTGAGCTTACATTTAGTTATCCATTTATCGTTATTGAGGTGAAGTCTTCAATATAATGTGATATTGATTTTAGGCCGCATCGCCCAGCCCTAAGTCCCATAAAATGTATTCTATGATAATTAAAGGGCCCTGCTCTAGAATAGAGGTAAGGTCCAAAAATCACCAACTCTGATCCCGACTAAATTTCCCAGCAGGACACAAAGACAAGATGCTTGCTCCTTTAATTTTTTGTGACAGTTTAATAATAAATGTCTTTCTTTTCAGGATAAAAGAGAAGTTTCCATATGCGTTTGATGACATCTGCCTGTATTCTGAGGTTGCTCACCTCTTGGCCCACTGTATGTTTCGTCTGACCTCACGGCGCTTCATACAAGAGCTCTTCCAGGATGTGCAATTTATGCCGGTAAGATATCACATCTCTCCTGAATCACTGTTTAAAAAAAAAAAAATGTTTTATTCCATGCATACTGTTTTTTCCCTTCCCTTAGATGTATGAAGAAGCAGAGGCAATACTAACAAAGCTACCAAAACCTGTCGTTGAGGACGTTGACCCCCCAGCAGACTGCTGATCATCCCCATCTGCCCCCCACACCCGCCCACCCTGTGTTCTGTGCACAGCTGCAGCTCCTTGCAAACCAACAGGAAGAACACAAACTGAGGATCTAAGGAAGAGGACACACGTCGGACACGTTCCTGTTGCGTAAAGCAGAATTGGAGGAACAGGAGATCGGTCAATGTTCTTCTAGCTAATCTGAACCGGAAACAAAAGACGTCCGCATCTGCAAACAAATACAGATGATGCTGCTTCAGACTTTTTAAAACATACAAAAAGAGGAAAATCAGTTTAGCCAAATGCTGTTTTCACATGAGGTTAGCAATCCGACGCATCACTAGAGGACGAGCCCAGTCACTGAGACAGTTGCTCACGTTATTTTTAAAGAAAGTTGTATCATGTTATTTTACAGATTAGGTGTAATGAAATGAATGAGGCATGTGAGGTCTGACCAGTGATTCCTCAAACTTTACTCTTTTCTTCAACACAACACTACAGAGGGGTCCTGCTGTTTGAACTCCTAACTGGAGCTTTTGTGGCTCCACCCCCACCTGGACTCTGATCTATTTTAACTAGATAATGTTGCTTTTTGCTTCTCTCCACTCACAACCTCCTACAACCTTTAGCCTCTCATCAACTGAGGCAGCTCTTCATCTGACTCTTTCTTGTATCACAGACAATCAAACATGACTATTATTGTATTTTCTAAAGCATTATATTCTACCACCTTTACGCACTAGATAAGGAGAAAAGCATGTAATTTAATGCTAGTTTATTCCATCTTTTACTTGCTTTGACCTTTAAATGTTTTCCCTCAGCCACTGCATTTCTAACACGCTTCATGAAGGAGGTCTTTTGAAACATGTGTAAGTTATTTGTTAGAATGGTTGATTTACATTTCAAGCTCCAAACTGCAACACCGACGTTTTGAAAAACCTTCCGAATCCTGGCATCTTACCGTCACAGCACCTTTCTGACCTCCGTGCTTCACCTTTACCGCATGTTCACAAGCATGGCAAAGTTGTGACACCACCTTAACTTGTTTCCAGCTTATAAAACCGTTTTTAAAAAATAGGTTTCCATCACATGCTGCCGTACATTGCAGGAATACAATTACCCCAGGATCTGTTTCCACAATGCAATATCACCATCTGTCAGTAGGTGAGGAGGAGGGGTGCAGTAAAGTGTGATGACTAAAAGAATTGAAAAAAGGTTTCCATGGAAACAGAGTTCTGTTTCCATTGGCTTGTTTTTTGCTCTAATGCTGCTACACAAATGGACTCATAGAGAGAAAGATGATTCATAGATCCGCTGAGTGATGTCAGATCTGATCTATTTATTATATGTCTGTACCATAGTGAGCTCAACCAGAGAAGAAGAAAAAGTTATTTATATTTTTTCCTCAAGACTGTATTATAATTTAATTTTTCTTTTTTGTTTTGCCTGAATTGTGATTTCCCTTGTATAATGTGTACAGTATGTTCTGGGGGCATTGATGACCTGAAGAAACATACGATCCTATCAAAGGGATGCATTGTTAATAAAAAAATTAAACACCAGAGATTTTTTTGTTCCTTTTTTCTTCTTTGCAACTTCTTGATTTGCTCTGAATAAAACAAGCCACAGACGTGTGGGATTATCTTACCAAAAAAAAAACAGCTGCTGGTGGTGTTTCATTAAGCACAAAGGTTTCAGACACAAATAATGAGGGGGGTGGGGGGGGGGGGGGGGGGGGGGGGGTTTACCCTGGACTGGTCACCATTACATCAAGGAGTCTATGACAACGACGTCACACTCGCCTACTGACAATTGTGAGTTGCTAATTAATCCAACAAAAGGTAAACGGTTGTATTTATATAGCGCCTTGCAGGGTTCTACAACCCCCCAAGGTGCCTTACACTTAACCAGTCATTCACCCACATGCTGATGAGCTACACGGTTGCCACAGCTGCCCAGGAGTGCTCTTGACGGACGCGAGGGTGCTGAACACCACCAGCAGGCAAGGAGAGTGAAGTGTCTTGCTCAAAGACTGAGCAGGGCTCGAGCCTGCAACCCTCTGGTAATGGGGCAGGCACCTTCTCTGCCACCATTGCCCCTTATGCATATAACATCCATGCAGAAAGGCTGCAGCTAGGAATCTAACCTGCAACCTTCTCATTGCAAGGTGTGGCAGTGTGAGCGTCCTGTCACAGTGTCCCAATTGATCATGTGCCTTGGCTACTTGGCCAAGGGGATGTCCCTTTGGCTGACTGATTAGCGCGCGTGACTCTCACCCGGGAGTCTGGGGATGGAATCTCGCCCGGGCCCTCGTTTCTCCACCCTGACACAAAGGCAACAGCTTAACTAACTTCACCATCGTGCACCCTCAAAAAAGTAGGTTTATTATTTCCAGCTTTAATATTGGGAAAACACACAGTCTTGTATTAGTTATCTTTAGCACCTTTGTCGCTGAACAACTTTGGTCTTGAAATGTATTTTTTTACCTGAAATGATTTAGGACTTTACAGCCAGGAGAGCTGTGGATGCAATCAGTTACAGGTGACCTGCAAATGGCTAAAAATGACAAAATAAAACTAAATAATTTAGAAATATGTTTAAAAATTTGCATTACACTTGCAACGTCTGATTACCTGTCATGAAGTAATAAACACTTTTAATTAGGATGTGTGTCCACTGATTCTAGCTAACCTGAACACATTTGAAGAAACTATGCTGGAGTGTGAACGTGTTCCTTTGATATCTCTTGAAACACTGCTTATATAATATACAAAATAATTACACCCAGTGCAAACAAACAAACAAACAAACAAAAAATACAAATGCACGATCCAACTTTCTCACGACTGTCATTGCAGCAGCCAGGTGTTGCGTTATTTGACAACGGCGTGTTCCACAAGTCTGTTTGTGATTGAGGTACTTCTTAGGTTAATGATTTCCATATGAAGCCAAAAAGCGGCTCCACGTTTGTTTGTGTCCTTCTGTGTCCGTCTTCGCTCTACACGTGACACAGATATTTTTACTGAGTAGCCTGAAAACAGTTTTTTGGTTGATGCTCAGAAAGAATCAACTCTGTCCTCACTTTCTATAGAATCTGATTGTCTGTTGGTGTCGGCAGGAGTTTTTGTGGTGCTTGTGTCTTTCGCTTCCTCTTCTTCATAGCCAATGTTATCATAAACTTCTCTCATTTTGCTGCTCATCTCCAGTTTCTGTTTAGCCTGCTGGGCCTGCAGCAGCACTGCTTTATTCACACCAGGACCTGTGGAAAAATAGACAGCATCCTTTAGCGTCCTCACTCTCATGGTCACAGATGAGGAACTAGAGGATGTAATCCAACCATACCAAAATAACTGAGCAGCACAGGGAGGAATATGAGCCCATGAGCCATCCCCAAAAGTGTGATGACGAGATTTAACCGGAAGAAGAAGATCTGGATGAGCTGTGCTTTGGCAAAAGCTAGCACAAGGATGCCTGGCAGGTTGGTCATCGCAACACCAGCAAACACCTTCAGGATGCAAAGCAGGAATACTGAGCTGCACTTACTTTGAGATTCATGACTGAAAAAAATATGTCTTTAGAGTTGGACCTAAGCCTTTGAGGGGCTGAAACAGGTGTTTACTTACTGCACTGCCCATATTGGCCGTAGCCTCCTTTGCTCTCTCCACACGTGTGAGCCTGGTGCTCAGTGCAAAAGTTCTCGTCATGTGAGACACAAACTCCACAGAGATGCCCACCGCCTGCAAAACAACAAAGGTCGAGAGTCTTTTCAACCCTACAGGACACAAATATCTTTCCAGCAGAGGCACCTTCTTACCGTGACCAGATTGATCAGCGCCACGGCATTGTAATCAATACTCCACAAAGTCATGATGCCAACGGTGTCCACGACGATCATGATTATGGTGAGCAGGTTGAGCAGGCCGGAGCGCAGATCCAAACCCAGCAACAGACAGCAGACCACAAATGTGGGCAGGAGACACAGGCCGATGTTGAAGAGTCCCTCTGGTACAATGGTCAGGTACTGCTCGTAAAATACGTTGGTTATCCTGGAAAAATACAGAAAGATGCGATACAGACTTTCCTGCTATTTTCACGTAGAAATGAGAGAGAAAGCTGGAGAGTCTTCAGACATCTAGAAGCCACATGTTTCGGGAGAGGAGCACGTACGTGTAGGGAAATACTTCAAAGTCCTCAGACGTGCCTGAAATGTTCCTCATGGACTTGGTGATGTTGCTGGCCAGCTCTCTGGCCTTCAGCAGGGCAGCAGTGAACTCCTGAGAGTTGGTCAACGGTGTGTGGTAAGCCATGAACCGAGAGGCTGGATGAACAGGGAAAAGGATTTACTGGCAACAGTCCAACGTTAGTGATGCCACAGATGGCTGCTCTGAAATAACTTGCCTATTATTTCCCCACTTTCATCTCTCACCACCGCTGTGTCATAAGCTCCAAGACCTCTGTAGAGACAGAATAAGCAGTGAGACTGTCGTTTGGTTGCTATGATGGGCTGCATGGATGCTGCTATGTTACGCACCCTTTGGAGCACTTCAGGTCAGGCCTGTTTCCCAGGAAGTGGGGGAGGAAGCGGTTGAATTCCGTCTCAGTGGGCCTGAGGACACCACCTACAGGTTTCTCCATACAATTGTCTCTACACAAAAGACCAGCTATTGGGAAAAAAAGGTTAAAACAGTTAAAGCAATTACTTTTTGTACTTAAAGTTGACTTAAAGTTTCTTACATATGTTTGCCGGGCAGAAGTTTCCATTGTTGGGACCAAAGGTGTAGAGGCGACAGCATTTGGATCCAGGATTTAACCAGTCAATGAAATCATCCACCCACGAGTTAGCAGGGATAGCCAAATAGGATCTGCAGGTTATTTAATCAATTACTTAAAGGAATTAATCATTTTATTCCCATCATCACAAAGTCCCACCAATAAAACCCCCCAGTGGACTCAGATCCTATTGAATTGTTTCATAATGAATATGTTTTAATTGTAAACATTTTATTAAATTGTACGTGTCTCTTCTGAAGCTGGAATTATGAGTTAAACACTTCTCAAAGAGCACTTAACTAATACACCTAAAGCCACTGCCAAGTATGGGTTTGCTTTGACTGATAAAAATAAAAATGAGCTCAAAGGTCACAAAATCCAACTGTGGGCAGCCTTCAGAAGAACCAATCAACACTCCCGGGTTTGAAAACCTAGTGTTTATGGACATTCTGGCTGTTTACCCCCAGTTGTTTAGGTCTGATGACTGTTTGATTTTGCAGTCAAAATGCTGGATTAATATTATCTTGAAAGAAAACAGATTAGCAAATAGTGTTTTAGGTAACTGAATTACTGTTTGACATTGATATTCAGAATATGCATGCAGATTGTTTTAGAGGAAACATTTCTAAATGAACCATACAGAAAAATGTCCCTGTCTGTAAGTTTTCATAATCCGTAAGTGCTGCGTTTAAACTCCACCTCACACATTTCCTGTGTTTGAAATAATAAAAAAGCGCTTTACACACATTTAGGATTCATAAATGTTCCCTGTGTTTATGTTTGCTGATATTTGTTACTCAGTTCTCTGGATGGAACAGTCAGATAGAGGCACCAACTATCCATGCAATGGCGGTCATCCAGCTGAGTCTTTAATCGATCAGGTTGCTAGTTAGCAGTTACTACATGATCAGCAGGTTCAAGGACCTTCCAGGTAGAAGCTATGACCATGTGAAAGTCACAGGCAGGTATAAAGGCTGCTAACTCACCGTTCAGGAAATTCTGTAGCATACCGGATCTTCTGGGTCATTGAGAACTGATCACACCCAACGCTAGAGCAGATGGCATTCATGCCCTCCACTGTGGTAAAGTTGAACCCCCTCTTCGTCACAAAATAAACAGGAACTCCAACTTCAAAGTATTTGTACAGGTATTTGAAATAATCCAGCATGTAAGATCCCTGCAGGGAAACACAATCATCTGTGTGAGATTGCAAGAAAAGAGGGTTGATGGTGTGTTTGTTTAATTATTGGTGAGTGAAGGTGCTAATACTGACCTGTGGCATGGCCAGCTCCTGATCTAGACCTACTTTTACATTCAGCATGAGGAAAATGGATGCACACAGCATGAAGATGAAAACCAGCATCTGAAGAGAGAAATAATAGTATCACATAAACATCAAGTTAAAACATCTCCTATCATTAGGCAAATTCAGTATTATCTAGGCATTACGTGCACAGATGATTAATGAATAACTGTAATTTCTGATGTAGCCTCACCACTGCGACTCTGGTGAAGCTGTGCAGCAGGAATGGGGCGTAGTATTTCCTCATGAAAGGCAGTAAAAAGCCCTCATTAGGCTTGTTGGGATGTTGTGTTGACACGGTAGCACAGCAGAATATTTCACAGCGGTTTTTGTCTTGGCGCCGGGCATCCAGGGACAGAAGTGCAACAAAGGCAGTCATCTGGAGGACAAAGTCCATGAGGACAGCCAAAGCAGCATAGAGTGCAAACGCTTTCACTGCTGGCATGGTGGACAAGGCCCCTGCATGTCAAACACAATAGTGATCAGAAAAGACTCGACTGAACTCTTTATTAGTTTTAAATTTAGTTTCAGGGACAATAATTTCTCACCTAAAAAGAAGCAGACAGACTCAGACAGACTGCACAAGAGCATGCTGGGAGCAACTTGTCCAAGAGCACGACCAATGTGCTCCTCCCTGGTCTCCCCGGGTCTCCGTACATCCCTCTGCACAAAAACAAGGTAACATCACTAAAAATCAACATCAATGTTATAAAAAAATCATGTGGATTCATGGTACAGCTGAACAAACCTGGTACTCTAGAACAAAGATGAAGATGTTGTCAGCTCCTACAGCTAGCACCAGGAAGGGAACAACCTGGAGGATGACCAGCGAGGACGGGATACCGATCCACGAGTAGAAACCCATGGAGGCCAGGACCGAACAGCCGACCACCAGGATCCCACCCAAGCCCACCAAAAACTTTGAGTCAACCTACAAGACCAACAGATAAGATTATAAATGCAAACTAACTCTGTGACCTGTTTTCATATCTTTCTCTGTATCATATGTTGCTTCTAGACTATAAAAGTTTATGGGTAATAAACTTACAGAATATGTTCAACTGTCATGCACCATACAGCTGACATAAGCAGGCTGTGGTAGCTTCTGCTTATCAATGAATGTGATAAGCACTGTTTCATCAAATCGGTTGTCCTTGAAGGAGACTCTCTCTCTCATTCAGTTAAACCAGTCTCTTAAATCTCACCAGTATACGTTTCCATGAGTTGTACTCCCCCAGTGCCACAGCAATGTATACAAAAATTACAGCATAGCTGATCATGAAGATGGGAATGTCCTCCGCTGTGGTTCGATTTATTTCATCCTCCAGAGACCTCTGCAGGCAGGAAGAGAGCAATCAGAGGACAGTAAAAACAGCTGAACAATAATTCACCAGCAATTAGGAGGCAGAGTACCTCTGCCATGTATGCAAAGGTGAAGTTGGCGTTTGGGTTTCTCTGATATTCCTGAACAATCTTGAGAAACTCTTTCTCCCACTGCAAAGCTACTTTGAATTTGGGGTTGTCACGGATGTAGTTGTTCAGGGAGAAGGTCAAGATTAAAGCTTCAGCATTGGTGTATTCGTCATCTAGACAAAGAAAGACCTGCATGATTGTTAGAAAGAGACTTCTGAGTGTACAAACCGTGAAGATGTTCAAAACCACCCACCGTTATAGCCTCCCACAGCTAGAAATGAGAAAACAGGAGCACCGTAATCAGCCATGCAGCTCATTCCTAAGTCTGTGATGTCCTTGAAGGACAAAGGAGAGCTTGGGAAGAAGAAGGGTAAGTTATGGCACAAATGGTGGATTTGTGATTAGTTACAATATTTGTTAAATAAATCCTTACTTAAGGCAATAGATAAGGTGGTCTCTCCAGTCCACCTCTTTGGTCACTCCCAGCTCAGTCATGTTCACTTTAGCGTTGATGTTTTCCAGGCTGTTCTGAAAGTACTGTGGCAGGCTGTTTACAGCACAGTCAGTCGGGGAAGGGTTGGATGGATTCAGTGGTGCATAACACACATCCGTCAGACTCGCTGTGCTGTTCAGTTCCTCAGACCAGAACTCAATTTTCTTTAGGCACGAAAAGACGCAACAAGTCAAAATAATAATCAAAGTAAAAACTATCACAGCTGTCACTTTTAGATCATGTGGTCTTTACCCGTATTTTTTCCTGGAGCTCGAGCAGCTCAATGATCAGATCTTTGGATATAAGCCCGCTGAAATTCTGCTTTCCAAACAGCAAAGAGTCATAAATGTGGCCTTTTCTCTGCGGCGCCGTCAGGATCAGCTGGTTTGTCCGAAAGAAGGGGGCAAAGTGTGCGTCATGGAAGTCTTTCTCCTGACGGGCCCTGCTGTTGGGTGCAGACCACAGCTCCACCGGATCCGTGGTGAGCTTAATAGACTTGAGCCCAACAGAGAACGCAATCACGATGACAGCCGCCACAAGGATGACCTTTAAAAAAGATCACAGACAATTCAGAAATTAGTAGTTTCCTCATCTGGCTGACAAATCTTCTATAACAAAAATCTGCATTACTTTGCATAAAGGTTTTACAGATATTTATTATGTATGCTTACTGTTAGGGGGTAAGAGGCCATGAGCGTTCCCCACCGCTGAAAAAGCCTGCTCATGAAAGCTTGAGCAGCCAAGCTGTTTCTGTCAGAGCATGTCACTTCTGATGGTTGAATGATGCGCTCAGTCACTTCATTACGGTTCTGGTCTTTGCTTTTATGTTTTTTCTTCTCTCCTTTAGTAGAATCCATCAAGCATGAGACAATGAGGTAGAGTAAGAAAGCCAGGATCAGCAGACACAAGAGGATGATAGAAAGGACAAAGAATCCATCGATCCCGAACAAGCTGAAGGGTGGCGGGGGCTGTGGCAACGGTGGCATGCTCGGACACGACTCTTGGCAGTCCTGGCAGGAGCAGACTTCACCACCTAATGGTGTTGTCTCGTTACACCTCAGAGCACGCCCATTGTAAGGAATCACATCGTCTGGTAGTCCTTCAACATCACTGTCTTTTATTATTTGAAAGTCAATGTCCAGTGGAGCGAGGCCATTACTGGAGTCCCCTTGGAAATCATACCAGCGCTGGGCGGTGCACAGCTTGGCACCGTACCTACCACACATGGTGGAGATTGCAAAGCCTCCAGTAGCTGGGATCCTGACATTCTTACAAGACTGGAAGGCAGCATTTGCAAAAGTGGAGCTGAGATATGACTGGTAGGCCACCACCGCCTCCCTTGTGGTGCCTAAATAAGTGACGTTCATGACCTTTGTGACTTTCACTGACTGCGTCTGGTTGGGGCTGCAGGTGTTGATGCAGTGCAGGTGGGCAAAGTTCTCAACACAAGAAGGGCAGCGGACCAGTACAGCTTTGGACAAGGTTAGGCTCCTGTCCAGGGATTGGAGCTGTTTCATGGAACAGCAGGCGTATGTGTTGTTCTCACCTTGGTCCATCATGGGACACACCTGCAGCAAGAACATGTTTTTACTAAACTAAACTTTCACCAAAGGAATCGAATATTACTGCATTATTTTACAGCTGTGCTTCATTCATATCATGAACAAACCTCCTTGAGCTTCAAGTAGTGCTCCCCTGTGAGATGTCTGGCAGCACTAGGATCGAAACATGGGACAATAGGAGGAATGAGGGGTATCCCTCCAACAGTGGGGTTACGACCACACTCCTCATAGAAACCACAGAATCCCGGCTCAGGTGTGGCCTCTGAAAACACCTGTAGAAGAGACAGAGCTGTCATCTATTCATTAAATCATCCACCCATCTGTCCAGCCATCCATCCATCTACTCATCCATCAATTCCATTAAAGCTCATAAGCATGAATATTTTCTGAAAGTTTTGATTGCCATCCTGATTCCAGTCGTTGTGCAAAAGACTCCTTAATGTAGCCAAATCAAGATAGATTTTGCCATAAAATGAAGAATGTCCACATTTACTGTTTTACTTTCAAGTCAATTAAAGGAAACATGTGTTAACTTTTTGTTCTTAAGTTATAATAGTTCTATGGTCGACAACTAAATATGTTTATGAAGATCTTTGCACTAAATACTCGTCGTCGTCGTCTTCCTCCGCTTATCCGGGTCCGGGTCGCGGGGGCAGCATCCCAACTAGGGAGCTCCAGGCCGTCCTCTCCCCGGCCTTGTCCACCAGCTCCTCCGGCAGGACCCCAAGGCGTTCCCGGACCAGATTGGAGATGTAACCTCTCCAACGTGTCCTGGGTCGCCCCGGGGGCCTTCTGCCGGCAGGACATGCCCGAAACACCTCCCCGGGGAGGCGTCCAGGAGGCATCCTGACCAGATGCCCAAACCACCTCAACTGGCTCCTTTCGATCCGGAGGAGCAGCGGTTCTACTCCGAGTCCCTCCCGAATGTCCGAGCTCCTCACCCTATCTCTAAGGCTGAGCCCGGCCACCCTACGGAGGAAACTCATTTCGGCCGCTTGTATCCGCGATCTCGTTCTTTCGGTCATTACCCAAAGCTCATGACCATAGGTGAGGATTGGGACGTAGATCGACCGGTAAATCGAGAGCCTGGCTTTCTGGCTCAGCTCCCTCTTCCCCACGACAGATCGGCTCAGCGTCCGCATCACTGCAGACGCCGAACCAATCCGCCTGTCGATCTCCCGATCCCTCCTACCCTCACTCGTGAACAAGACCCCGAGATACTTAAACTCCTCCACTTGAGGTAGGACCTCTCCCCCGACCCGGAGGTGGCAAGCCACCCTTTCCCGGTCGAGAACCATGGTCTCAGATTTGGAGGTGCTGATCCTCATCCCAGCCGCTTCACACTCGGCCGCGAACCTACCCAGCAAGAGCTGAAGGTCAGAGCTGGATGAAGCTAGGAGGACCACATCATCCGCAAAAAGCAGAGACGAGATTCTCCTGCCACCAAACTCGACACACCCCACACCACGGCTGCGTCTAGAAATTCTGTCCATAAAAGTGATGAACAGAACCGGTGACAAAGGGCAGCCCTGGCGGAGTCCAACCCTCACTGGGAAAAGGTCCGACTTACTACCGGCTATGCGGACCAAACTCACGCTCCTCTGGTAAAGGGACTGAATGGCCCTTAACAGAAAGCCACCCACCCCATACTCCTGGAGCGTCCCCCACAGGGTGCCCCTGGGGACACGGTCATAAGCCTTCTCCATATCCACAAAACACATGTGGATTGGTTGGGCAAACTCCCATGCCCCCTCCATCACCCTTGCAAGGGTATAGAGCTGGTCCACAGTTCCACGGCCCATGTTATGAGTGCACTAAATACTTCTCACGTAAAATAATTTCAGCTGTTTCAATGTCGACATTTTCAGGACCTTCCAGAATTAGTTGTTTCATAGCTCTCCCCCCCCCCCCCCCCCCCCCCCCCCCCCCGCCGCTCAAGCTGCTGTATCCTGAGAAGCTCAGATAGGCTGCTGCTCTCTCTTGCATGTGAGAAGTGATTCTATTCCATTATTGTGCCGTCTTGTTTTAGGGACATAACTCCGAACACCAAGCACTGATGTTTTTCCACATTTGTTTATAGTGGCAGTAGAGACCCACATGGCAGCACAAAAGGATGCAAAGGTGAATTTTACACAATATATCCCTTTAAAACCAATGTCCACTTTTTGAACAGCAGTGAAAAAATGCTGTTGATGCACCAATAAATCTAACGGCATTTAGAGAATGCACATGTAATAAACAGTTAGATAATTTAGCCTTGTAAAAACCAAGTGTTTCCAACCATAAAGACCTCATAAAACACTGCGTCGAGTTACATTTTACTCTAACCTCATAGGTATTTTTAGACTGATTCTTTCATTGACTTCCAAGGAAAAAACACTGAAGTCATTAATCATGTGCAACAATGTGCGGTCACACTGATCTATTCATAGTCTGAGGGTTGGGGTGGAGAGCTGGATATAATTTAAACTGATCAAGAAATAGTTCACTGTATCGAATCACTAGTGGTTTAGGAGAAACGTCATTTTAGTCAAAGGTTGGAATTATAATCTTTATTATAATCATCCAAAATCAGAAGCAGAATATATTCAGCAGCCATGCCCATATCTGTGAGGCTGGTCCATTTCTAAATGGCCCATTACGCCCCATAAAAAACACTTCATTGGACTTTACATTAAAATAGATCAGTATGTGTTTATGTGATTACGTTCTTTATTTAAATAAAAAAGACCAGGAGTTTAACAAACACAATAATTTTAAAATTAAATTTACTAAGTATTTGTGGTGTCTTAATACTGTCAGATTTCATTTTCTTGTAATTCAAATGGAAAACAAGTTTGAGAAAGAGCATTAGTGCATCGGTTCTTTCAAATTTCTTTTAGATAAAAAAGGCATAGAAAAGTTACTTACCACACCTGCCATAAAAAAGATCAGAGCTTCAACACGGAGCATGATTCCAAAGTCCTCACTTCTAACTTTTAACGGAGTGTGCAATTATCACCTTTTGGGACACATTAGGTGAAGACAGTGAAGGGACCTCTGCGGCGTCCGGTGGAGTCCTCTTCCTCCTATCGTCCATCTGGTCCCACAGTGGAATGGGTTGGGTAGAAAAAACATTATCACATGTCCAACGTCATTCCTTGTGTGATGTCACACCCGTCTTATCTGGTGTGATGTCCCAGTGGACCAATCGTGGCACCACAGGATGAATTCCTCTATTAGATCATTAACGTGGGAGCGATGGCGATACGGTTTCTGTGGTGATTCAAAGCAGCTTGGTGAAACAATTTTGGAGGGATCCAAAATAATCAGCCTCACCTCGTTCCTCACCAACACACATCAATCCAGAAAGCGTTGTCTTTGCCACACTTGCTGAGGACAAAATGTTGAGTGTGTCAGGTTAAATTTCCCAAATCACCAGCAAACAATTTACTAATGTCAGTAAGCGTCAAACCTGCCAAACGCAGCAGAGCGCTGTAGAATGTGACCTTCAAACCGTCACAGAGAGGCGTAGTAAACGAGACCCAACGGGCCTCTTTCTAACAAGCTTTGTTTGGTTCTCCCAAAGGTGCATTACATAAATAATTTCCTGGATCATGTTCCTCCAGAGAAGCATTGCGATTAATGTTGTTATCACATGTCAAGGTCATCGAAGAGATAAAGCTGACGATCCAGGTTGTGCTAGAGGATCATCCAGGCAATCAGGGCCAAGGGGCACAGGCACTGAAGCTGTGATAAACACAGATGGTGAAAAACGACAAGAGGACTCCAAGACGTGGTGATGTTCTTAGTTACGCTGATAAAGTCACAGTAACACAGAAATAAATTCATCTCATTATCATTTTTGTGTTACATATCTAAACTCTGAAAAATCAGTTTACATTGTTCCTGTATGATTATTTTGCCACTAATAATATGTATTTGCAACGCTAGTTTAATTATCTACAGTTGAAATGTAACTTAACTCATATTAAGACCTTTTGTTGGAAAATATAAGAATATCTCCAAAGCACTTGACATCAAAATTATATATTGTTCTTGGAGTAAATGCTATTAAATCATCTAACTAGTTCTTCTGCAAGCAGCAAAAACTCCAGATAAAACTTTGATATAATACGAGAAGTTACCATAAATTTAAATTTCCCAAAGAACAAAAAAAGCTGCTTTTAAAACTGAAGCATAAATGAATCTTTAAACTTCCTGGTATTAATCAAACGTCTATTAATTTGTATATATATTTTGTTATTGTTATTATATCCCATTTTCTGTTTTGTTGTGAATCACGTTTCGATGGGTACCAAAGAAAGAAATGCACTTTATTGCAAATTGTTCAGACTTCATAAAATCAAACTACCACTCAGGGCATTACTGTTTAAATCAGACGGTAAAGGGTTGCAGGTTCAAGTCCTTGGGCAACACTTAACTTTCCTTGCCTGCTGGGGGTGGTCGGAGGAGCTGATGGCGCCTGCGCTTGTCAGTGTGCTCCGGGGCAGCTGTGGCTACTGTAGCTCATCACCACCAGTGTGTGAATGGCTGAATCCCTGTTGTAAAGCACCTTGGGGGGTTGTAGAACCCTAGAAAAAGCTGTATAAATACAGGCAATGAAGGCACCTTGAAATAAAATTAAAACATTTCATCTGCTGAAACGGCAAACTACATAAAATAAGAGTTAATAATTAATGAATCAGTCCTTTTGTCTATAAGGTTTTAGGTGATTTAAAAATAGATTGAATTTACCCTTCAAATTTTTCCTTTGCTTGTGTGATTTCAGCTTTGAGTGCTTTATAGCATCAGAATCACTAAGTGAGCATGGCCTTTATCCTCCAGGGCACAGGAAACATTCATCTTAACCCTCTGAGACCTCAAAGATTTCACCTTCACTCCTCTTCGAATCCTTATCATGTTTTATTTACGGAGTTATCGTAGCACTGACTGGGCTGTGGGGCAAGCTGACTCTAACGGGTGGACTTCTTGGACTCTGATAAGACAAAATGATAATTCTCTTTGAAAGACCTTCATTATCAGATGAAAACTGCGACAGAGATGTTTTACATTGTCTATGACGGGGTCTGGAACCTTTTCTCCACAGTCCACCTAAAAACTTGTTTATGCTGCAACTCTTACTGACATTTCTTAAGAGACTATTTGTAATTTCGAATAAATATCCGAGAGGAAAAGTTTTCTCTTTTTTCTGAGATTTCATAAGAATAAATTTGATCAAATCTGCAAAATTCTGAAGTTAAAGTATTATTTTGTTTCAGGTGAAAATCTTTTTTTCTCCATCTTCCAAAAGATGTGAGATTTGTTGTCATTTTTGAAAACCCCACATCTAAAAAAAAGGATTATTGAGTTTTAAAATTAAGAAAAATAATGTTTGGAAAAAGACCGTAGATGTTCTAACATGAGAAATGGTAGCAGACAGATCTGAAAATGTTCCTTTTAGTGTCATTCAGTGCAATTATTATACAAACCTGTTGTTTAAACTTGGCTTTTCATCACTTAGCCAGTTATTATGAGCAACAGGGGGCAGACCCCTGGTCTATGAGAAAACATCAGGATTATTTCACAATACTGCAAAGGATTTTCTGGGATTATGGTGACTTATTCACAACTCTCACCTTATACAACAGATTATTTGTGTAGATGCTTGATTTGCAGGGATGAGAGGTTTATCACTTTTAATTTTATCATGTGATTCTGTAGCTGCGCTAAAAACAGCTTTCATGTAGTTAAACTATATATGAGCAGCAATTCCACTGTCAGAATTAGCTCTGTATATTGTTGAAAAGTCCAAATTTGGTCATTTTTGCCCCAATTTCTTTTTGCATTGATCTTTATCTACAAGCCCATGTTATGAGTGAACTTCATACTGCTTTCTAACATCTCAGCATTAATATTATAACCAGTGATGGTTGAGAGGAACACGTGATCCACTTATTTAGTTTTACGAGTAAAAGTGGTAAACAGTGACCCATGTCCCATTCTGACTCTAAAGGAAACACTTTGTTTTAGGGAATAATGAATTTATTACAGAAAACATAACATGAAGAACCAAAACATTTTCTATTCCTATCGAAGTAATACATCAATTTGAGAAAGTATTGAAAATTCCATGGCTCATCTGAAGGAGGTGACAAATTAGTACTAAAGGAACTTGTGAGTAAAAATAAAATAGTACAAAACACATGCACGTATCAAAGTCCAAAGGTACCACCCACTACCTTAAACTTAAGAGTACAGTGAGTAAGAAAATGAGAGAGAAACAGACATGTGATTTAAAATCTGCGCTGCTTGTTGTAGTCTCCAGAGCCTGGGAGGCCTCTGGGGAAGCCCCCCTGTCCTCCTCCTGGTAAATTGTTGTTTCCCGACGCTGACATCATTGGAGTATTCTCAGCAGTTATGCCAGCAGCACCAGCAGAACCCGAATTTCCACCCAGAGAATTTCTGTTCATAGCCATCCCATGGCCCCCCATGTGCATCCTCATCTCCTGCTCTCTGTTTTCGGAGAAGCCGCCCCTGAAGCCCTCCTGCTGCCTCTTCATCATTTCCTCCTCTCTCCTCCTGCGTTCCTCCTCCTGCCGGAGCTCAGCCTGCTTCCTCTTCTGCACCTCTTGATTGTGCTGCTCCTCCATCCTTCGCAGCTCCTCCTGTCTCCTCAGCAGGTCTTGACGCATCAGCATCACCTGGTGCTCGTGTCTGGCTGCCTCCATCTCAGCCTCCAGCTTCTCCTGAGCCTCTTTCATGTTGCGATCCACCATCTCATACTGCTGCTTCTCCATCTCCATCAGGGCTTTCCAGCGCATGGCGTACTCGTACTCGAACGAGCCAGGCTGAGCAAACCGTGGAGGCTGCTCGCGCTCTTTGTGGAACTGTTGGTTTTTGTTGATCAGCTTCTCTGGCAACCCCTCGTCTTCGTCAAACTGCTCCATAGGCTCCACTGTGATGGGCCGGGGGAAGGCTGTCATTAAGTAGGCACCGTCACCGCACTTATCCAGAGCTTTTCTCGCAGCAGGTTTGGACGTGAACTCCACCAAGCCTTTCCCCGTTGGCCTCCCGCGGTCATCCACTATCACCACAGCTCTCTCCACCTGGCCGAACACGGCGAAGGCCTCCTCCAGGAGCTCGTTGGAAGCAAACTCTGGCAAATTCTTGACAGATAATGCGGCACCGTGCGTAGCAAACCTCACTCGTATGGGTCGGCCTTTGACCACAAAATCATCCAGCTCGGACCTGGCGATCTCCGCAATGATTCTCGTCTCCAACCGGATGAAACCGAAACCTCTCTCCTTGTTGACAAAAACCTCACCGGCTTTTCCGTATTTGGCGAACATCTTCTCCAGCTCTTCTTCGGTGATTCCGGTCGGTAGGTTTCCAACGAACAGCCTGCTCCGTTGGGTGAACGTTTTTTCTCCGGGCTTCCTGAAGCTCTGTAGGTCCAGGGTTAAGGCCGCATTGGGGTTGATGTATTCACTGGGCTCCGGCTCCTGCCCGTTTCCGTTAGCTCCTTCACCTCGCTGGTCTCCCGGACGATTCGGGCCGTGGTTCTGTTGGGGGCCTCTGTAGCCTTGCATCTTTCGTTAACGGAAGCGAACGATACACCGAAAAACCAGCGGAGAACAGTAGCAAGCACTTAGCAAACGCTTACAAAAGGCTGTCAAAATGGCGACGCTACGTGCTTCTGCGACGCTATTGTGTGACATCGTTTCAGTGCGACAGCTATTTTAAAAATTGTGACGTGTTTTCTTTGCGACGTTTGCATGAAAAAAAAATTTCTAGTCAGATAGAAAATGTAATAACTCTTTAATTAAAACGTTTTAGCTGACAATTTATTTCCTGGTTGACAAAATAGAAATTACAATTTAGGTAAATTTGACAAAAATTTGAAACAAAGAACTCTGCGTGTGTGACCCTCCCTAAATCATAATAAACTATACATTTCTCTTATTTAAACACTGTGATGCTGCTCATTTTCTTTTAAGGCTTTACGAATACTTCCGTAATATCATCCTATTTGTTGTACTCAAATCTCTCGCCATGTTCCACTTTATTACCCATTTCAGAGTCTGTATGAACTATTGTATTGTTTGATATGGATAGTAATATTTTTTTAATAGAGCAAAATAAACTTTTATCAAGTGCCCCCCTGTCCTGCATGTGTTTCATGTCTCTGCTTCAGCGACCTGATTCAAATATTTGCATTGCCTGTTATGGTTCGCCCCTTTTTGTGTGGTTTTCTGTTTTTGGATTTGTGTTTGTTTACCCCTGTTCCCTGTTATTTTGTTCTGGACAGCTGCAGCTCCTCTCAGGAAACCTCCCCGTGAACCTCCTGGAGTTTTGCAGCTGAACCAAATCACCAAGATTGCCCTCCCCCTATTTCAGGCCACTGCTGCCAGTCCTCAGCGGCGTTGTTTGGACTATTTGTCTAGTTTATGGAACGAGTGTACCTTCGAGCTATGTTGTTTTCTGTTTTTGGTTCCAACAGTCAGTGGAGGAATTTTGTTATTGAAACACTTTGAACTCAGGTACACGACTGTTATTCCTGCGATTGGGTTACTGCCTGAAAACCCATTCCCCTGACAAATTGCCTTCTCAGGATGACATCAAGCATCGCACAAGCCTGTTAATCACTCATTCATTTAGATCTGTGGCAGCAGGGAAACACCTAAAACATGTTCAACAGGGGGATGCGGAGGACCAGGGTTAAGAAACATGAAGAAAAAATCAGTTCAAGGCTGCAGCTACTGAGAGAGGGCGTGAAGCCATGTTCACACCAAATGCAGGTCCAGTTTTGCATACTGTCTGCGTTGTCTGTCACCTCAGGGTCACCTCAGGGGTATGGTCTTCTGGTAATGTTCTTTTTTTTCTGTGTTCTGTCCAGGATGACTGGTTGATGTGAACACAATCAGTCTTCTAACGTTTATGAATGCATGTGTTGATTTTGTATTTTATTTGAGTTACCAGTGACTTGGAGTTGCCCATGGAGTCTAAATACGTGTTCTTATTTCATTTATAAACAAAGTCAATAAAGTTTTTTGAACCTTTGTGATATCTCGCGAGAACATCCGTTTTCTCGTCAAGCAGTGACATCAACAGTTGTTTTCGCGGGAACTGTTGTCTGATCTGTTTTCAGGGGAAACATTCAGAGAATCTAGTTTTAGATTGGACTCCAAGCTGATCAAACTTGAGCCAGATCGTATTCGTTTGAAGGTAATACCGCTACACCCGTTATTGGTTTGCCAAATCTGTTTGTTAACTTGCTATCTTGGTAAGACGACTCTGCTCTTTTCAAGGACAGTCATGTTCTCTGACCTGAGCGCCCAGAAGGAAGGGTCTTCTCTGCTCTGCCGCCCAGACTCTGAGGACCAGGGCCCGGTGTTTGAGAGGACGTCGATGGCCTACAGCCCCTGCTCGGAGCGCTACAGCGTTGGGGAGAGAAGCTTCAATCGCCAGTATGCCCACATTTATGCTGCACGACTCATGCAGATGAGACCCCTGCTGTCAGAGAGAGCCCAGAAGAAGTGGGGTAATAACAACTGAGAATCTGGAGCATTTAATTTATACACGAGCATCCTTTCTTATGTCTTTCCTTGTTTGTGTCAGGATCAGATGTGGTTATCAAGAAGCTGTGTGACCTGGAGGCAGGAGTGCAGTGTTGCATTGTGGGCACGCTGTTCAAGCGTATGGACCTACAGCCATCTATTCTGAGGGAGATAAGTGAGGAGGTGTGGGCTCACACAATCATAACAAACTAAATGAAACCAGCTGCTCTTATTTAGTTATGTGAAACATTTTCCTCGTTTAGCACAACCTCCTGCCCCAGCCTGCAAGAGTCAAGTACATTAGTGATGCAGACGAGCTGATCCTGGAGGATGAGCTCCAAAGGATTAAACTTGAAGGCAAAATTAATCGAGACAAATGTGTCACAGGTGGGTGTTCTCACAGGGTGTCACTGTCACTTCGACCTTAAGCGTGATCTAGTTTGTTTATTTTTGGGTTTCAGGCAGTGTCATTGCCATATACGGAGTGGAAAAGAATGATGGGAAGTTCACGGTGGAGGACTTTTGCGTGGCAGATCTCCCTCCACAGACGCCAAAGCCTGCTCTAAACTCTGACAGGTAAACTCTCAATATCCCATAAAAATCCCAGTTTCTGGTGTTAACAGTCTCTAACACCTCTGTTTGTTCAGGTTTGTGCTTCTTGTCTCAGGACTAGGTCTCGGCAGCAGTCGTGCGGACAGCATGTTGGAGCTGCAGCTGCTTGTTGACATGGTAACGGGTCAGCTTGGTGACAAGGGAGAGCAGAGGGAAGCGGCTACAATTTCCAGGGTTCTGCTGGCTGGAAATCTGCTGAGCCAGCACATCCAGGACAAAGAGGCATCAACCAAGGTGGCGAGGGCTTTCCTACCTTCATATCCTGTTGCTGCTGAAATAAACTTACTTAAACATTTGAATACCTATTTTGTTTCGTCTTTCTCCAGGCTAAGTACCTCACTAAGAAGACTCAGGCCGGAAGTGTGGAAGCCATTCGTTTGGTTGATGAGATCCTTCTTCAGCTGGTGGTGAGAGCATCCTCTTTTCTACTTGAATCTTTGTTTTCGTGCACTTTCACAATTACTTGCATGGCTGCAGGTTATTAATATCAAACATTTTCCTGCTGTCTATAAGGCATCGGTTCCAGTGGATGTAATGCCGGGTCAGTATGACCCCACCAACTACATCCTGCCACAGCAGCCTCTGCACAAGTGCATGTTTCCCTTATCCTCCATCTACCCCACACTACAACTGTCCTCCAATCCATACGAGGCCACCATTGAGGGAGTGAGGTGAGTGGTGGTGTTTGTGAACTTTATTCCATCAGCTGTTATTTAATCTAAAATCAGACATGTTGTTTCTTCCTGCAAAGGTTCTTGGGCACTTCGGGTCAGAATGTGTGTGACATCCAGAGGTACAGCAGCATGGACAACCACCTGGAAATATTAGAGGAGACACTCCGGCTCAGACACCTGGCCCCCACAGCACCCGATACTCTAGGTTGGTTGATGGAACTCGTGTTTAAGGCTGCTTTAGAGTCTAAACACCAGTTTCTAAAATCCCTTCTTTCAGGCTGCTACCCGTTTTATCTAAAGGATCCTTTCATCTTGGAGGAATGTCCCCACGTTTACTTCAGTGGCAACGCCCCAGCTTTTGACTCCAAGCTCATTAAAGGTCAGAAAGCGAGCATGGACAAATGTCTCACAATCCCAGCAGAAATGGAATGGTTTTTTTTCCCCCCCCCAGGTCCTGATGGTCAGGAAGTCCTTTTGGTTACGATACCAGAGTTCAGCAGCACACAAAAGGCATGTCTGGTGAATCTACGCACGCTGCAGTGTGAACCAGTGTGCTTCTCCGCCTTCTCTGCTGCTGATGAAGATGAGGAAAGTGAGATGAACGTCAGTCACTAACATCAGGACCATTTTCCTTATGATTTCTCAGATGAGCCTCAAAACCACGAACTCCAGTTTTACTGATGCTGCTAAAACTCGAATAAGAAGCCTCTGTCAGTACCTTTGAGGTAAAATCAGCAACTGTAACCCAGTTAAAAGCAAGGTGCTAAAGACTCTTGGTTCGTATTAACGTTTATTTGCACCCCACACAAGCAGCAACTGATTAATCTGTAAAAATATTTCTGCCATGAGTGAAATCTATACATAATTCAGCTGTTTTTTTTACGTGCCCACAACAAACATCTTTTCAATAAACAAATGACAAAAAACAATGAATTAATTTTAAATTGGAATTCTGAAATAGAAAAGGACAGACCAGAGACTTTATTTTAGTACATTCTGTTCATTTTCACTGCTTTTTGTTATAGAAACAAGATTTCTTGTTTGATTCTTGAACGACCTTTAATGCATACGTGTGGTTTGTGTTTAATAGTCATCGATCTTGTATTCATAGTTAAAATCCACCGTCGCAGTGGGGAACTGGCCCCATGAGTCGTACCACGATGTTGCAGTGATTGTGGTTGCAGGTGGTTGTGTTGTCGTTGTTGTTGTTGTTGCTGTTTCTGTTGTTGATTTAAACCTCATTCTCCTCTGCTGCCGGAGACGACGAATACGAGCGATCTTGAGCTGCCTGCGCCGCTCAGGACTCATCTGGGTGTTTGTAGAAAAACTGTTGCTGCTTTCCGCCCCCCGCCTGTGGCTGCTGACGCTGTTCTGAGTCCTGCTGTTGCTGTAGCTCAGTCGGATTGGCTTGTTGCCGTGAAGGGCCATGATCTGCAAAAACGGGACTTTTAGGTGTGGCTGTACGACAGTTTTGTGGTCAGGATGGCTCGGATTTACCTGTTTGATGCGGTCCCAGTTGGACTTGGCCAGGTTGAAGCTACAGGCGGTTGCTCCGGACTCGTAGCCGACCACACAGAGTTTAGTCACAGGGGAGAAGCCTTCTGCTCGAGCCGTCACACGGTACTCCCCTGGGTTCAGCAGCCTCCAGTAGTCTCCTGCTGGTGCTGCAATAAAAAATTTGAAAAAAGAAAAAAAAACATGAATACAGCAACCTTTTTGTTTATATGAAAAAGAGGAGTATGTCCACCTGTAGTGACATCATGATTAACCCCTTCTATAGAAATGGTGGCGTTTGCAATGGGATTCCCCTGCAGGTCCTTCACAATGCCTCTGATGCCACGATGCACCTAAAAAGCAGGAATATTTGGGTTAAACATGTTGCCACTACTCCTCTTTCTGCACAATGTTTCTAAAAGCTGTAATTCAGCCTTTTCAGTGAGTAAACTCAGCCTCCACCCACTAATTACAGACTTATCCAAAGGAATATTTTAATATGATTTAAATTAGCTTTGATCACATATTTTTCTTGGCGGAATTGTTTGGTAAATAGTTCATTTGTCACTGTCACACAAGAAGGCAGAGTCTTGCGTTGTTCATACAATCTCACAAGTGTGTTTCAAAGGCACTTCAGAAAACCACGGCAGCAGTAATTAGTGTCTGAGGTAAACAGCCTCTTTAGCAACAGAAATGATGAATTTTTCTAAAAGTTTGTTTATTTGTGGCTCACCTGCTCCATGAAGGTGAGCATTGCTTCTCGGTTCTTCTCCCACTCGTACGCCAGCTCGCTCTCATGAGGAAACTTGTCACAGCCCAGAAACATGGACAGCTCAAAGCAGTTGGTGTGCAGGTAGCTGAAGTCATTCATGCCTACAAAGGCAAATCACACATTTTGCTGAGCACCTGCAGTGCACAAACCTACCACCAGGGTGTGCTGAAAGCACATGCAGCCATTGGTTTCTACTCACTGCCTTCCACTGGTTTCCACTTGGCCCGGTTTACAATACCGAGAGCCCCAGCAGGTGTGTCCCCGTGGCATGATCCGTGGTAGCTGTGCGTCATGGTCAAATGTGTGGAGGCGTAGGAGACGGCCAGCCACCTGAATAGAGACTCGTCTGAGGTCATTCGGGGCTCATCTTCAGGCTCAGGGTCTGGGTATCCAGCACTCCTTCCTCTGTCGTCATCTTCTTCCTCCCTGTGGCCGTAACCCTGGTTGTAGCTGTGGTCGTAACCGTGATCATAACCGTGATCGTAACCTTGGTCATAGCCATGGCTGTGACCATGACCGTGCCACTCCTCCTCTGGCTGTTCGTATCCTTGATTTCTATAGTCTTCTTCTGGCTCTTCTTGGTAGCCTCGTCCCCACTCGGTCACGTCAAAACCTTCATCCTCATACCTGGAAGAAAGCCATCCACATCAGCCTTCGACTCAGCTGTGGTTTATGGAGAAACAATGAAAAAGAAAGGTGCAGGAAGAGTCGTACTGTCTCTTTGCGCGGCTGTGGGGTTTCTGGCTCTCTGCAGGCTTGTTGAGACGTAAGTTGTCATAAGGATAGGCCACAATCCTCTCGCCTCCTTGGAAGTTTGCACCCAACACAAATGGATAGCTTTGCATCCAGGAGATGATGGCTCTGGTCTCCACGGCGATCTGGAATGAAAACAGATAAGGATTATATAAACAGAAGAGGGACAGCACAAGCCAACACCATCTTCATTTTATAAGCTATGTTCACCCTGGAAGAGGCCGAATACTTTCATACAAAGAAAACAAGCTTTAAAATTCCAACTGGATGACTTTGGATCTTCTCCCAGATGGAGGATCTGTCCAAGTTAGACAAACATGACTGTAATTTAATTACCGAGCTATTAGTCTCCAAATATTCTGGTATGGGCACGTGATGGTTGGGGGTGAGTTTAGGCACCATGCCCTTATCCTCAGCATCCCACAAGAAACCATTCAGGTCTGGAAAGTTCTGGAAGATGTCAAAGCCCTCCTCAGTAAAGTGTCCAGAGGTCCAGCTGCTGAGCTCTGAGCCCTGCAGGGGAGGAGAAACTGGTTACGGAACACTCTGACCCAAACGTTTCTGTGACTTACTGCTGTCTCCTGTTAGTTTTGTGTATTTTTCCTCACTCACCACTTCAAACGCTCGCTCGTGTCCGTCTGGGTTGAGCGAGGGCACCAGGTGGATGCGTATTCCCTCCACCAGACGCTGGACTCGGGGGTTTCTGTCGTTGTACTCTTTACACAGGTGCTGCATGAGAAGCAGAATCATCTCTCTACCCACGGCCTCATTTCCATGGAGACCAGCCGTGTAACGAAACTCTGGCTCACCTAAGGAGACATCCGGGAAAGACCGTCATTATCTGTTAACTACAATCTGCTGGCGTCCACCAGGTGCTTATTAGGATTCAGAGGACACATAATAAACACCATTTCAGATGCCCACTTTATTTAAAACAACAGTTGTTTTAGGGATGGATGGAGACATGTTTTACAATCCTATTTTTGGATCAACAGACACTCGGTGCTCTAGGGGCTGCATGATTTATTTATTTTTTTAAAGTCGACAGTCAAGTAATGAAAATCGAGTCGACTTTGACTAGTCGTTGTTGACGTTGAACTACAGTTCTAAAAGATCTACCAACCGCAAAAACAGCGGAGTGCGCGCTGCTCGCCGGCCGCATCAGTGAGGTGCGTCACCGGAGGACAAAACAGGTGATGCGCTCCGCTCCACAGCAGTGAAAAGCATCAGGCACAAATAAGACAGAAAACATAAAAGGAAATGAGCTGACATGAACGATCGCGTGTTAAATTAGTTTTTGAGGTGGCGACACCTGATTTGATAATGTTACTGTGGCCGTGCTCAGGACGCAGATGTCTGGAGCGCGTCAACGATCAGAGCTTTGCATGTGCAAGCAGCTTAAGGTTAGGATGGGGGTGAGGGGAAGGTTAAATTGCAAGAGGGTAAAGGTCACAATTTGGTTAAATGTCCGTTTTACCGTGGGTGTCAGTACCGACGCTCTGACACAGCGCGTCACCTCCCGACGCGCAGGGGCTCGTCACCTGCTGTCTTTTCCGAGGACTGCATCTTGTCGGTCATTATCACGTGACAGCGACTAGTCGATGACCGGCATAAAAAGTCACTACAGAGCAGTGAAGTCGACTAGTCAACTAGTTCATGCAACCCCTACGGTGCTCTCCTGCTCATATCTACCTATTTCATGTTCTGTGGGGTTTCCAGAGACGATCATGGCCATGAGCTCCTTTCCTTTAGAGCTGCGGCCCAGGCTGTAAATGCTGGTGATGTTGGCACACTCCTCATTCACCGACTTCATGAGCTGAACAAGCAAGACCAGGAAAACTGTTATGTCAGACGTCATTCAGGTAGTCTTACTGCAGAAGTTGACCAGAGGAACCAAGCTAAGTTGTTTTAGGGAGGATAAAAGAAAGAAGGCAGTAAATACTCACTGCAACCATCTCAGAGTAGCTGTGGTGTTTAAACTTCAGGTAATCCACTGGGGTCACTTCATTTTGCCTGTGTAGAACATCTCCTGAGTCTGAGGGGAAACGGCGTTAAAACAAGTTTTTTTGGCTGTTTAATTATGTGCTTAGTGCTGTGAGACTTACCAGACAGCGGGCAGCCAAGGACCTCCAGCCTCATGCAGAGAGAGCCGTTCCAGCTCTGAGGGATGATTCGGATGTAGCGCGCCACCACGGGCTCTGCAAGCCGGTTCATGACAGGAGTGTCTTTGTCGTTGTTTCCAAAAAACAACTAGACAAAAGGCAAGATGGAAAATAAACGTCAAAAAAAGGTAGAGGAAGACATGTTGGGATTCTCAGAGAACCTTTTCAGGTATTCTCACCCAGTCTGCGTATCCATCATGGATTGTGGTCCATTCTCTGCTATCGTTGCTGAAAGCCAGGAAGTAAGATGTCACAAAGTCACTCCTGGAACGAGACGTTATTGGAGCATCGTTTTGCGGAAAGAGAAGGAAAACTCTAATACTTGTGTATCTTTTACTCATTTAAAGCATTTGAGGAATCTCTTCCTTGTGTGATAACTCCAGTGAACTCCGTCTCCTTGCGAGCGTCTATCTCAAACCAGTGAATCCTGTCCTCGGAGTTTGCACACCATGCTCCGCCTCTCAGGTTATCCTCATCTTCAGAACCCTGAGAAGCACCAAGAACAGATGTCATGCTGCTAGACCTTCCAGCTTATTGTGAGCATGACTCCTAAATATACAACACTATTTAATTTAAGATGTATGCTAACTGGGAAAGAACAGGCTTGCTGTTGGGATTCTCAGACAAGCTCGACAATAACAGTATTTTTCCAGGTGGTTAGTGATTATCTGAAGGCCCTTATAGCTTGAACAGGGGGCTCATATAGATGATGAGCCTACAGCCTTGATGGTTGTGTACCTGCATGTTGAGGCGCGCCCTCTGAGGTGCAAACCAATACTGGGCCACAGAGGAGGCTGAGAGCTGGTCTGACTCGATCTTATGGGACTCCATCCCCAGAGGAGGACATTCTGTCACATACATAACACCAAAGTGATGTGTGTACAAGGTTTGTGCACATTTTCCAGATTTGAGCGGATGCTGACTCACTTTTTGGCTCTTTGAAGACACGTGGTCTGTTCCTGGCTCGCTCCTCTGCCTCCTTCAGTTTCTGTGTTCTTTCTGTTAGAGATCAGGAAAAACGCACCCAGAACAAAAAAATAAATAAAGACACCTACTTTTCTGAATTTCTTTCCTGCTTCTCTGCCCAGAGAAAATCTGGAAGCTCACTGATGGTTTGGAAATTTCACTTGCTAAAAAATCCCCAAGAAGGTCTTGAAGTCCAGAGGAAAAAATGAACCAAATAAAACCAAAACTACGATTTGGTTCAAGTTTCTTCAGATAAAACCCAGATCAAATGATAAATGGCCTGTATTTGATATTGTGCCTTCTAGAGTCCTGGAATCAGGCGGAGTATACCCTGGACAGAGAGCCAGTCCATCGCAGGGCAACACAGAGACACACAGGACAAACAATCATGCACGCACACACTCACACCTAGTGACAATTTAGACAGACCAATCAACCTAACAGTCATGTTTTTGGACCGTGGGAGGAAGCCGGAGTACCCGGAGAGAACCCACGCATGCACAGGGAGAACATGCAAACTCCATGCAGAAAGATCCCAGGCCAGGAAGCGAACCCAGGACCTTCTCGCTGCAAGGCAACAGCTCTAACCACTGCGCAGCCCTTAGTGTAAAATACTATATGAAACTTTGTTACAGAAATGAAACATCATCCAAAGTAAAGTTAAATGTCTTTTCCCCCTTTCAACTTAATTTAAAGCCAAAGCTGCACACAGGAAGTGCCCCACTGACCCCTGTCAACTGGCATTTATCATTTGCTCTGGGATTTACTTGTCAGCCGGCAGCTAACCTCATCACACACAGCAGACACGTGGCAAAAGTAACCCAATGTGATGAGCAAACACCAGGTTTTACTTTGACTTGCACAAACAACATTCCTTGTCTAAAAACACTGCCATGTGGTCTTTTTTTAATATTACTCTAATTCAATGCCCTCCATTCCTTCTCCGCTGATCTCTGTGCTTTCATTCCAGCTGACAGGAGTTTAACATTTTATTTTGATTGGTTAAATCTGCGTCTCTTAGGAGTGAAAGTTGAAGCGACATCTGCGTTTTCTTAGAGAAGAAATGTGAGCGTATCGAAGTGTTGTGCTGTTTTCCTCCAAAAGCTCTGGATTGGGTCAAAGGAAGCCAAGTTTTCTGCTTTAGAAGCTAAATGGTTCTCTTCTTTTGCATGACTGTGCAGCAAGATAGCACGTAAAAAAAATCCACATCTGGGTCCTCTTACCTCTCTCCTCCCTCTCCCTCTCCTTTTTGGCATGTTCCCTCTCTTTCTCAATCCACTTTTCATCCGTCTCATCCTCTTTCCTCTCTGCAGTAAAGCAAGAAAATGTGGTTTTCAGATGAAAGGTCACTGATGCCGAGTGATTCGTCTCTTAAGGTGTTGACCCTTTCCACGAGATCTTACTGCTTCCGTAGTCATCGTAATCATCATACCAGTTCTTCTCAAAGGGAGCCAAAGTTGTAGGTTCTTCTGTGTTAGAAAACAAACAAACCAACATTTGATTGTTGCAACTTTACAAGTGAGATTTTATAAAATTACGTAGTTTAATCCGTAGTTTTACAGTCTAGCCCTGCCCAGATTCGCTCGACCACAAGAGTAGCCCTGTCTGTAAAGCTTCTGCTGTGTAATTAAGTTAAAGCTTTAATTTACATTTACAAGAATCCTAACTAATGACAGAGCTTCTTTTTTACTTCACAACAAACTATGAAGGGTTTTATTGACCAAGTAGAACCAAGCAAACCTCTGTCTGTCTGAAAAGTAGGGCAGATCCCTGCACTGACTCACTGTAATGTCATTCCCATGTGCTCAGGAAAATCATCTGGAGCAGAAATGTATGTCTTTCTGCTCAACTACCTGATTGCCTTCTGTTTTATTTATTTATTTATTTGTTTGGATGTTTTAATTTCTGATATTTTTTGTGAGACAGCCATCACCTGGGAGAGTTTCTACTACGATTTCAGGGCTGACCTCTTCAACATCAGGTAGATTTCCTGGTACCTCGACTGCAGGAGAGGAAAAGCAGAACACAGAAAAGATTAGAAACACAAAACTTTAAAAAGTACAATTACCGGGAAAGTGCAAAGGACAGAAAAAACACATTTTGGTTTGGTCTGGAGGCCAGCTCAAGCACATTTATAGCTTCTGATCCTGTGGATAAGAGTTGCTACCAATTCAACAAAAGAAGATAAAGTAATAAAAGTTTCCATCATTATAGATGAATGAATGTGCCACTGATCAGTTAATGAACACACCAAATCGAGCCTTTTCTTTTGTTCTATTCAGTGTGGGGTGGGCTAAAGCGAGTTACAAAATTGGAAAACCTTTTTTTTCGTTCTCTGGTATTTCCAGGAATGTCTCATAAGGGTCAACCGTTTTTGATTCCTCCCCCCCGGAAATCCCATTCAGAGGCAGATCTGGCTTACTGCTATTTGGTGTTTATAACAAAAAGAGAACAGATGAGACGTGAGGTGAGGTAGTAAACACTGGCAAATCACAGATCATCGGATCTGATTCACAGATTCACAACCAAGCTGAGGGAAACTGCAGACGTACATGTGGCATCCCAGTAATCACCGTCATCTGTTCCAGTCTTCCCGCCAGCATCAGGAGCACCGGGGGTCGGCTCCCTCCAGTAGCCGTCGTAGCTATCAGTCACAGGAACGTATGGCTCATTCTCATCTTCCTTCCAAAAGTCGTCATAAATGGGTGGTGAGGTGGACGCCTCCTGCTCTGGTTTCCAGTAGTCGTCGTAGATGTCTGTCACAGGCGCAGCGGGCTCTTCTCCTTTGGGTTTCCAGTCGTCGTACGGGGGATCTGTGGCTGCAGATGGGGTGGTTTCTGACCCCCAGTAGTCACCGTCTGGTTTCCAGTAATCATTGTCTAACAGAGACATGGGTGAAGACATTTGACAGATTTAAAGGACAGCTGAGAGCTGAGCAATAGAGTTGGAACAATGCACGAAGATAAACTGCAGAAAAGACAGTCTTTAACATAAAACATGCATGTTTGTGAGCAAACCTCCTCCGTTTTAGCCAGGAGGTTTCTGTTTGTGCCTTTTGAACAACAATCCAAAACAGAAAGATGCTAATCTAACAAACTCTTATGAGTCTCTTCAGTGGTTTGCTTCATTTAGTGGGAACGGATTTTTAAACTAGTTACTCAGTTTTGTTGTGGTTTGGGAACCAGATGAATCAGAGTCCTCTGGGTTTCTTTTACTCTGTCAGGATACATCTGGCACCCTTCTGTTCAAACACACTCCCACCTGGTTTTGGCTGGGCCAGAACTGTTTGAAGCCTCCATTGGTCACACCTGTCTCATACTGAAAACTGCACAGGTGCAAATAAAGGACGAGGCGTGTTTCATTGTCTCGTTGGTTGTGGCTCTAACTATTGCATCCAGAAACATCTCTGTTTATTCTGGCCCTTGGAATTTTAAAATGAACTGGGATCAGTTTGTTTAGTTGCTTCTGCTGAGTCAAGGCTGATGTTCTGGTGTTTAGTTGTAATTCCAACACCCTTCTGAAATCCAACTTTCCAAAAATGTGCAGAACTCACCAGCGTCTGGGTCGAAGTACGGGAATGTGTCAGGTTCAGTGGGCGGTTCGGTTGGGAGAGCTGGAAACATCGGACACCAGATTAACAAACCCATTAAAGTAAAAAGATGAAAGCGGTGTCTTGTTCTCACTCGTGGTGGTGGGAGGAAGGGTGGTGGTAGTCTGCTTCTCCTTCTTCTTAGACTTTTTATCAGTTTTAGGTTTTTTAGTGGCATTCGGGTCCTTTGGTTCTTTCTTTTTCTTGTCCTTCTTCTTCTTGCTCTCATCGGGTGCTCTCCTCACCCTGCCCAAAGTTCCTGGAAGGAAAAGGAAGATTTCCAAACTCTAGAGAGTCAGAAGAGTACGTTTGTGAAGTTCTCCCCCAGACTCAAATTCTAAATAAACTCTCCAGTTTTAAACCACAATGAAATGGTTATGCTACACATCAAGGCTGATCTATAAAAACCAGACAACATTATGACATTTATCAGTAAAAACCAAATTTCTGCTATTTAGGCACTGTAGTTAGGCTTTTCTTGCTATATCAAAACCCAGACTGCTGTGGTTTCCAGAGATCCATCAGTATTTCCTTTTGAGTCCGTCTGAAGCTCTGCAGCACTTTCATGGAAAACACATTTCTTCCTTTCCATTAACTTTGTCCCATTAGCTCAGACCTAATGACATGAAATCTGTCATCATGCTCAATAAACAGATCATTCTCACTTCTGAACCTTCACCGTGGTTCTGCAAATAGCTCGTTTAGTTTAATTAGAGCCCAATAAGAAAACTCCTGAAAAAAAGTGCCTACGGCTAAAGCGGATTAGTCCTCAGAATCTTTTTTCCAGGTTGAAGAGGCTGCATTAATCATACAGGGCTCTGGGAGCCATGGCAGTGGAAAGAATTAGTGCAATAAAAATCTGTCTTCAAGACGCTCCACTGAATGTGTGCACGTCTCGTTAAGTTAAACAAACGTATCTGCTGTGTTTACACCCTGCTGTGGAGGAACCGGGTTTACAGATGAACGTCTGGATGTTCTCTTGGAGCTGTCAGATGCTTATGTCTGCTAGTTTTTATTCACATGCATTTAATCAAGCATGCTTCCCAGCTTACCTGCCTGTGCAGCCCCTTCGTCTCTTTTTGCCCTGATGATGCTTCCTCGTGGCAGCAGATCCACTCCAGGTTCCTGTTCACTTTCAGGGTCATCCAGGGACCGGTCTTGCACCTCATCCTCCAACCGCTTCTCTTCTTCGAACTGCAGGAGAGAAACTATCCCCCCAGCACTCCTCCCTCCTCTGGGAAACAGCAAGCAGCAAAGGGCTAGCAAAGCCACTGAGATGGTCACAGCATGGCTTTTCATACCTGCTGCTCTTCCAGCTGCAAAAATCTTTTGGTTTGGGTTTTGATCTCGCCTTCCTCAGCTGTGCACTCTTGTTTATCCCCTAGAGCATCTAGAGTTCAACCTCAATGTGTGTGATCCAAACTTTCTTCTCCAGCAGGGGAGGTGTATTCCTCAGCTCCACACAGCCTCACTGTGTCATATCAGACTGGGCTTAGACTTACTGGGCTAGACAGCACTGGAGGGGGAGAGGGGAGGGTCAGGCAGGGAGGAGGGCTGCAGAGGGAAAGATGCAAAGCAAACGAGTAATCCAGTTAAATGAATAGACGGGGGCCAGTAATTATCCTGCTATTTGGGTCAGCTGAAAAAACAACAGGGGGCTCAAGGATCCCCTTCACCTGTCAGACGAGTCACAACAGGTGCAGCGTTGGTTGAAACTAAAGGTAGAGGTGGAGGGGGAGGGCGAGCAGGTGAGGTCCCACACTGTGTGATACTCTCAGGTTAAAGGAGAAACATCCGTTATGCCTGCTGCAGTTGAATTCCTGAGCACAACGCTGCAGAATCACCACCAAGCACAACTCCACGGACACCAGATTACACAAGCAGAGAAGGGAGGAGGAAAAAAGGGCCTATAGGGGAGGAGGAAACAGCTTTCACATTTGTGTTAAAGCCAAAAACGACTGATAGAGGTTCACAGTTAATATAAATGGGCAGGAATAAGAGGTATGTTTGGAAAGTCTGCCGGGTCCCTTTAAAGCTGAACAGTTAAAAAGCGATGAATTCTAAACCCGTTTAAAAGTGTTAAAATGGTTCAAAATCAGAACAAAAAAGGTAAACAAATCTTGTGTTTACCTTTTTGGAAAAATCCAAATGCATGAAAACGCGTCGTCCCATAATTTCAGCCCAATAATGCTAAAGTACTTTGAAAAGACAACACACTAGTGGATTAAATTTGAACAAAACCATCCAAATATGAATTTTGGAGGATATGACTACAGCTGTGAAGAATGCAGCACTTTTCAGACTACAGTCAGGTCAAGCAGAGGCCACTTTCACCAGCAGGGGTGCATTCTGCAGGATGTTTTTTTTTTTAAATAATTCTTATTTTCCAGCCAAACTGGTGTTAACATAACAAAAGGAATAAGAAAACCATGTGCAGTTTGGGATTTACCACACAGTGATCCGTTTACGTGAAATATTTCTGATCTTTTATGAGGACACGTCCACAAATAGTTTACAAGAGTATTGTTTTGGGAAACATGGTTTGCATACAATGAGATTTTGACTTTTATTTGGCTAATTTAAAAATAAGACCAATCGGTCAAACTTGATTTAAGAATGAAAATGTTAATATTTATAGTAAATTGCTTATTCGGTTGTTATGTAAAGATCGCACAAGCAGAAAGGTTTTGTAGCCGTACAAGTGTTCAAAAAGATCCAGTAACTATGAAACCAGTGCATTTATTTCAAACTGATTAAATCAGTCATGTCTGCCTAAACAGTATAAGAAAAGTCCTAATTTTAGTCTAAGGACTAATGAACATTTGATTCTGTGTGCAAAGCTAAAAATATCAAAAAGAAAAAGGTCTTTGAAGCACCAACGTGGAGACATCAGATCATGCTGTGAACGTTTTAATTCTCCCTGAAGTGGATTCCCTCAAGACCGCAGCACCTCTCAGATGCAAGCATGAATGGACTCGACACTTGTGTGCGTCTATAAATTTCCACAAGTCAGCATAAGTGGAGCAGCATGCATAATGTTTAGCACCTCTGCACAGCTTTGAGCGGAGCATCAGGATCTGCTGGGCAGGAAACAATGACATCAGAGAAAGAGAGGAATGGAGCTGGGGGAGGGAAGTAGAGTAAAAGTGAGAGAAAAATGCTGCAATCCAGCAGGCTCACTAGGTACAAATGGAAACGGGTTTAAAAAGACTCCATTCTGGTCTGCTCTCTTCATTCTCACAGAACCAAAACACCCCAGTGAGTTATGGGATAAAGGGATAATAATCTGATTAGATTTTTAACCCTTTAAAAGCTGAGCGATACTCATGTTTACAAATGTATGTCCGGGCTTTAGACAGAATTGTTTCCGTGCATAATTCAGCAGGTCTACAACACCACAGTCATCTCCGCAGGACAAGAGCCACGAGTGTGATGGAGCAGTCGTAGAAGCACAAAACATCAAGATGCCTTTGGAGAAACCTCAAACGTATCAACTTGTGACCAGAACCTCGTTCATGTGATCAGTAGCAAATGTTTCAGAGCCGTTCTGAGGTGGAACAGAACAGCGCTTACACCACCTGTCACTAGGCCTCTTCATGATAATTTAGCACCAGAAACATTACTGTAATGTCACGGAGAAACAGTCAGAGGTGCACTTTTAAAGCAGACGTGTGGGGTCTTGCTTTAAATGAGATTATGTTGCAGCACCAATGTAATCTTGACACCCATGGACAGAATCAAAGTGTGCTCTCTAGTGGCAGAAACACAGTAATACCAGATGACAGGAATTTGTTTTTTCAACAGCATTTATTTAGCTTTCTCCATTCAATACATTTAATGTACAACAGCACATACTTTATGCTGCAATAACTCTCAGTATAAAATAGGGCTTCTATAATCAAGGACCAGTCCTAGAATGCTCTGAGGGACACAAGGACAACAGTAAAAGACCTTTAATGAACAGGATTATTGAGAGGAGTGATTGAGTTTGCTGAACACAAGTTCAGGCCACAGCTCTCAGCGCATCCGGCATCCTGCAAGAACCCGTTTTTATTAGATTTTTTTTCTTGTTTCCTGTTTCTCAAATGAGAACTCAAAGTGACGGTGAAAGCATAAAGAACATGATCTATTACGGGTGAAAGTAAACCAAAGTTTTGGTAGTGTGCGGGTAAACCAGGTTACGTTTGGAGTAAAGATCAAAGCACACACAGCATTCTGACCACTAGTCAAGCTTCTTTCTTCACAATCATATTAAACTGTTAGGTGACCGGGTTCTCAGTGTTTTCATTTACATCAAACACTTAATCACAGCAAAAGTATACCGTACTATCACTGAAGCCACAAGGAAGCCAGCTTATTTTAACACGGCAAACACCAGCCAATTAAAGCTCGTTTTAGAAGGAACCGGTCAACTGTCGGGGCCTATACTCTAAGTAGAACACACATAACAATGACCAGCTTTTGTGTTAAGTTTGCAAATGTCAAGTTTCAGGTGGCGAATACAAATTCTCCAACTTGTTATGAGAAAAGGCCAAGGCTGAAGGAAAAGGAAAGGTTCAGACTGAGAGGCCAAACAAACATCAGCAGAGAGAAAAAGGAGATTTGTCTCAAATCTTGAGGTAAGCAATGTGTTTCAGTATAATGCCCTACAATCATACAGTTACAATCATTAATTCTTTATATACAAACTTCCTGATTTACATACACTGTACTGTTCATCTGTTTCAAATGCAATAAAACTAAACAATGGTGCAATTGGACGAGGAGCTGAGTTGGGACTTCATGAGGCCCATTTCATGACCCGGGCGATGACCAACATTACGTTATGGCTATTGAAGATTTCCTCTTGCAAACGTCACACATACCAAATATCTACAACAGTGCAAAATTTCCAGAACAATCACAACTACATAAGTTCGTTCTTGAAGTTATGATAGGAGAACGGAGTAGATGCTGACTGCAAAAGCTTCCGTGCCAGTGTTATCAGGACAACGTCATGAGGCTGGCCGGCATGCTTTTGTGGACAACTGCATGCAGAGTTACATGAATGCAGGAGGTCTACCTGTGGCACAATGGCTCAAATGAAAGAAAAGGAAGAAAGGACAAACCAGCAACCCGACCAACATGGTTCCACTGGATGCAGCCAAAAAACTCACCATCATCCTCTCAGAAGACAAGGTTGAGCTCAGAAATGCGTCAAGCTCATGCCACATCTCATCAACATCCACCCTGCCGCTTGAATGTGTGTTATCTGCTCAAGGAGGCTTAAGAAAACTATGAAATGCATGTGCTATAGTAGTAACAGTTTGCATACTCATCGACACTACAGACTAACTGAGACATGACATCAACAAGCTTCACGAAGAGGAGGCTATAAGATGCTACAGTACTAGTGCTACCTGAACATGCTACAGATTGAGACTACGATGGCTGGCGATGGTTTCACGTGAACACAAAGCAGGAACCAGCTTTACAGAGTCGCTTGACCCACTTCAGGCCACGAAACTTCTTAAACCGGCCATGTTCAGAAAAATAAAAACAACCAAAACAAAGACGACTTTAGAATAAATTTGCCCTCCTTTAAATGTAATGTGCCATTTTCAGAACGACTTCAGAACCATGTCTGCAGCTTGATGGATCAAGAGCTTAGTAGAGCTGGCTCATTGTGTGCAAAAGAAAGTGCCCCATCTGTAGTCAGTTTCTGTCATACGACTCTCGCACGCACACACACACACCAACACACACACATTCGGTTGCACGAGTGCACAAACCCTGAAATTGGGAATGATTTCTATCATCACACAGCACTAGTGTTTTGATTATCATAGAGAAAGAGAGAGAGCACTAGGATTGCATACTGTACCATACATCTCCAAGGAGAGGCATCCTTCATCAGCTCAGGTATTTTACCCCACACACACACACACGCACACGCACACGCACACACACACACACACACACACACACACACACACATTTTTAACTGTTAAAACAAACAAAAAAAAAACTTACAATCGCATGCTTTAAAACGGAATGTAGCGAAAGTTCAACCTAGACCCGTGGCTTCTGCGGGACCCAGCCAAGAAAACACACACACACACACACACACACACACACACACACACACACACACACACACGCACACGCACACGCACACACATACTTCTATGAAAGGTCTCCTCTGCTTCACCCGTAACAAGTTGAATAATCAAAACTTTTAGATGTTCTGACAGAACTTAAGTGTCATCAACAGACCGATAACAAAATTCTGAAGTGCTTTCACACATAACAACAAAGTTATGCTTAAAGGGGAGAGTTGTCTCTTATGAAAGGGCTAAAATGATTTAAAATGTCAGTAGGAAGTGTTTAATCAATCAGAACTGCTAAAACAGACACTGGTTGTGCTCTGATGACCGGCTCGACTTAATGTTCATATGTCTTCTCCGCAGTAAATTATCAAATTTACGAATCACATTGCATTTAAAGGTCTTCTGAACCTTTCTGAAAACAAGGTCTAGCAGTAACTTCTGCTCTGAATAACCTCTGTGGTCCAAACTGGCCCTCTTTCTCTCAAATTTTCAATTAAGAGTGTTTACCAATGAGCCCAAACTCTGCAGCTGCATTGTTTGGAAGAGAGCTGTGTACCAGAAAACCTCTGAATCTATATTAGAAAAATAAGATGCTCTTTGCCCCATTCCCCTTCTGCAATGTTGTCGTACTGTGGATGACAGCTCCTTGAAACACGATTGTGTAGATTTTGGACTTCTAGATGGGTAGAGTTGAACAAAAGAAATTATTTGGCAGCTGTTTGTTTGGCTACTACAACTACAGAAAAAGTGCAAAATATTAATATTGTGTGACATCTTGCATTAAAGACAATTCTATAAATGACAGCTCTATACTCCTTGTTTAAAGAATAAGTTACAACAAAATACAATTACAACGCAATCTGGTCAAAGTGCAGGACCTCAGCATCAGTGGAAGGAGAAGATGTGTATGAATATAGGGTTCAGATAGCAGACCCAGATCAGGTACTGGTGGGCTCCTCTTGCTCATTCACACATACAATAATAACAGATATAGTCAGACAAGACGGTCCTCACACACTCACTCACACACCCTCACGTTCTAGCTTAGATAAGTCTGGCCTCTCCTTCCATGTCTGGTGGCAGGTCACACACTCCTATGAAGTGCATCTCCTTTCCCCTGCTTCCCTGTCCTGTGCCAGCTCTTGCCTCTCGCTCTCCCAAGCTGGGAGAGGGCTGCTGGGCCTGAGGGTCTGGCGACGTCCCACGTGGGACTCCTCCTGTTCGTCTCTCTTTCAGGAAGACCTCTAGTCGGCGCAGCATCTGCTTGGGATTCTTTTTGGCAAAAAGCTCCACTTCTGGAAGTCATAAAAACAGAAAATTCTGGACTTGTGCTGAATTCAATCCACAGGTATTCACACTAATGCATAAAAAGGAGGAGCTCGCCATTTATGCAAGTACAGTTTAAGTAAATGAATGCTAAATGAATTTTCCCACCAAATATGAAAGCAGAATTATGCAGCATTTTATCTGTTCAGCCCATATTCCTTAAAATGCTCTTCACATACTGATGGCAATCTAAGTAATGTTTGGTCAAAAAAAAAAAAGATTTTTAATCAGCTCTGAAACATACAATCCTGGAAAAACCCATCTAATCATCGTTAACTTCCTGTTCTTAATGATTCCATCCATCAAACTGCACTCTGACTGCATACCTAAGGAGGGGAACCTGAGGAAACGGGCTAGGACCTTTGAAATGTTTTTGTAGATTTAAATGATTTTACCAAATTTAGACCAATATCTAATTTACCCTTTTAAGCAAAATGTTAGAAAAGCTTGTTTTAACGCAACAAAATGATTTTATAATTGCTCATAGAGAAATTTCAGTCTGGTTTTAGGGTGAACCACAGATTTTAAATGATTTTAGATTAAAGTGACAGTGTTGGTTCTACTGGATCTAAGTGCTGCTTTTGATACTGTCGACAACACTACTACTTTAACCCATCTAAAATAAATTGTCCTTCCTGGTGCTGTTCTCAGATAGTTTACAACTTATCTCACAGACATGACTTCTATGGTAAGTTTAGATACCTGATCCTCCAGGGTTCATAGGATTACATGAGGTGTGCCCCAGGGTTCAATTTTAGGCCCAGTGCTTTTTAACCTGTATATGTTCCCTACTGGTGGTGTCATCGAGAGACATGGAGTGAACTTTCACAGTTATGCTGATGATATGCAGTTGTACATTTCTGTGTCTCCCAACTACAAAACGGCCAGTGGATGCACTTTTTAGCTGAATTTCAGACATCAAATCCTGGATGGCAGAAAACTTTCTCTAGCACAATCAGGACAAAATGGAAGTTTTAGTGATCAGTCCTGGGTGTGGTTTTTGACTCTGCGCTCTCTTCTATACCTCACATTATAAACATTACTAAAATAGGTTTTTATCATCTAAAGAACATTGCCAGTCCGCCCCATCCTCTCTCGGGCCAATACGGAGACACTGATGCATGCTTTTATCACCAGTAAAATAGACTACCATAATGCCCTGCTTTCACATACGGAGCATCTCAGGTTTACAACTTTTACAAAATTTTGCAGCACTTGTCCTGACAAAGATCAGGAGGCGGGAGAACATTACAGCAGTCTTAAGGTGGTTTTCCAGGAGCACTACTCAGCCTAAAACAGCTATTCTGTGTGGTTTGAGACAACCCATCTGAGTGTAGTTTAGTTCCCATGCTAGCTCCGTGACAGAAAGCCATGGGTGCAGGGGGGGCACTTTTTTACTCATGACAAACTAACATGAAGGGATCAGTGAAAAGTGTACGGTAACTTACTTGCTCCACAGAAACACAACTCAGATGAAAATCGGTGGTGTTGCTGGACATTTTGCTCAGTTTTATGGCTTTTTGTCAGACTCTGAACCAGGAAATGACTGCAGGCAGTGAAACACAAGGCAAAAAACTCTGGAGCAACCAATTGGGGGTGACTGTGTCAATGCCTTTAAATTGGTGTGGGAGAGATGGGAATGAGGGTTTTGTAGAGGCTTTTTAATCTGTAAAGCACTTTGCGTTGCATTATTTGTAGGAAAAGCGCTTTATAAATCAAGTTTGATTGATTGATTTTTCCAAGAATATAAACCCTACCTTTAAGCTTTTGGTTAAATAATTTACTGGAATTTCCTGATTTCTTTTTACACTTGTTACAAACGAAAACCCGGTTGTTTCTTTATTACCTTTTAGTACAAAGCCAGAGTCAGCAATGGTCTTCTGTTGGGTCTTCCACAGCTGGTACAGATGCAGGAATGTGGCAACATAAAACTCATTCAGCACACCGACCACTTGCTGACGACGATTGCATTCTCTGGTGTGAACAAAGGCAGGAAAAAAGGCATTATTCCTGCATTATCCTCCTAAAGATAAGAGTTAAAAACATAAAGTGGGGAAGAGTAACTCACTTGGATAGGGCCTCCTCTCTGAGTACTTGCAAAGCGATGCGGGTCATGTTGATTGACATCACACTGAATGGGAAATTCTAAATAAAAACAAACAAACAAAGAAAACCAAACAGTTAAACTCTAAAAAATGTTAATTTTTTATATTTTAAATCAAAAAGGCCAGATTTTGCTTTTTCCTCTAATTTTTAACAGCACCTTTAGAAATCAGTTAGTTGATTGCTGAGCTACTTATCACAGACTTATGAATCATTAAAATGTGAAACAGACACCAAGTTCAGGGGACGAACCAATGCTTTGTTTTAAAGAGGGCTGAATTATTACCTGAAGATTTGTAGAGGATCTACTGAAGGAGGATTCATCCCTCAGGTCCTGTGTCAGGTCTTTGCTGGAATTTCTCAACTGAATTTCAGGTACAGTTTATCTGATGTGGATATTTTCCACAAACCATTTTACGTTTTAACCACACTCCATAAAACAACAAAATCACCATGTTTCCCCCTAATATTGATACTTTAAAAACCAAATAAATAACTGGCAAATAAAAACACGTGGTCAGCTTAAATCTTCCGCACAGGGCTGTTGGTCCACTGCCATGAATGATCCCACACGGAAATTGTTTTATTTATTTTTTTGCTTTATCTTTTATTTTTCTGAATAATTTAAATCTGGAACGCAATTAACAGTCCAGTGTGACTGTAAATATGCATGTCCTGTTACAACTATGGTGCAGCCAAAATGGTCTATTTCATGACTTGGTGTTACCTGTGTAGGGTGTTGTGATAACTTGTAAATATCTCTAGCCAATGGAAGAATCTCGGGGTCCATCACAAAGTACAGAGCGTGCATCAGTCCAAGGAAACCAGTCCCACGTAGGTCCGTGGCAGGGTCTGTTCCTGGAGGAACACACAAACCAACCATGTTTATTCTGCATACATGAGCTGCATTTACAACGAAACTGTTCATATGTCCTACCCTGAAAGCCAATGTTTTCCCAGTGTGCACCGTATCGAGGACAATCCAGCCTGCTTCTAATCAGCCTTTTATATATGGTCTGCAGAACACGCATGTGGACTGTTTGGCTGTTGTCCACATGGCCTAAAAACAAATCCCCACACAAATGAACTCATTCGTTTATTAGAAAAAAGCATGAGTTTCATACATGGTGATTTTGTAAGCAAACACATCAAACACACAGACTCACACTGTGCAATGGCAAAAACAAGATCCCTCTCCTCCAGAAGCTCTTTGTGCAGTCGTGGAGGTCCAAACAGAAAATGTGTGATAGCAGCCAGACCCGTTCTGTGAATAGTTGGCTGGATGTTCTTCTGCAGATGGAGGTCAGGTAAAAGTAATCCTTCACAATTACATCCAATGAATGAATGAATGAATGAATGATCAATTTATTCAGTCAGTTATCTTAAGATAATGTACATTAACATGTCATACAATTAGATACAAATACCATTTCTCACTAACATATGCCTTGTTTTTTATATGGTGTCTATTTGGTATATCATGACTGAATAGGTTTAGGCAAAAGCAATAGCTTATATAATTGCCTAACCTACTTACAAAACATTTTTTTAATTTCCCGCAGTGAACCAACAACCCAAATAAAAGTAAAACACAAATCCATCCATCAACATCAAATTAATACTCTTCAAAAATATTTTTACTGAAAAGTTTTTTAAGAACTGAAAGAGAAGTTGCTAATTTTAATTCTATTTTAGCCTCATTCCAAAATTTTACTCCCATTACAGAGATACATCTCCTTTTCATGCCCATTTTGGCTTTTTGTAGAACAAACATACATAGTAGTTAATACAGAGTAGTTAATAAAATGTATCAGAAAATCCAGAAGAGCTGACACTAGGGCTGCTCAATTAATCACATTTTAATCACAATTACAATCCGAGTTTTGAATAATGATTAAAAACAAATCGAGCTGATTATTTGCTCCTCCCTTGTTTTCTCAGGGTTGCAAATCGAGTGCACCTCCCAACAGCGTTGCCAACTTTTAGGAACTTTGTCGCTACTTCTAACAACTTTTCAGACCCCCATCTTTGACTTTTTTTTCTAAAATTACCAAGCAAACAACCTAGAAACATTTCTGGTAACCCTTACCTACTTTCTGGATAACTGTCGGTGGTTAGCAAAACGCCAAACGTTCTACCTGACATTAGAAAATGGAATGATGTAGTGATGTGTGTGTCGATTGTGATCGAAAAGGCTCTCAGAGCCAGCTTCCTCAAGGAGCCGGAGAGAGTGAAACTGAGCTTCAATTCAAATGTTCATTTTCATTTTCTTACCAATAAGTCCCCAAGATCTGTGGTCTGGAAGTACTGCAGGGCTTCGTTGAAGGAGATGAGTGGTGTTGGGTTGGAGTCCTCAGTAACAACTGTTTGGGCGTTACATAAAAAAATAATGCAGTGGTTGTCAACGGGGTCACTAGAGGTCACAATGGCTCCTCACAGTTTTGTCTATGCTGAGGTTGTGAGGTTATATTTGCAAATATTACATTTTACAATCCCAATAACACATTCTAGTGTTAAACAAGGAAAATAAGCATAAAAACTTAAAAATGCTGTTAATTTAATTTAACTTTTTTGCAAAAGCCGGGGGGGGGGGGGGGGGGGTCCTCGAGGAAAAAATGTTTACTGTATGCATCTAAATAAGTAACATAAGCATCAAACCTTCTGCAATAAACAAGATTTTACACACTAGTTTGATTTTAATTAACATTCTTTGTAGAAAAATTTCTGATTAAAACCAGATTTTTTTTACAGTCAGAAAAAAAAATCTATTATTTGTTTTATTTGATGGTATTTTTTAATTATGCTTTTTTGTTTTGGTGTCTATTGAGATTTTTTATTTACATATAGTATAAAAACCAGCATTACCTTTGATTGTCTGCAACGTGTTTTATTATGAATGGTGAAAGTGGTTTGTTGTTGATTCTATAAATTCTCCAGATTTTTTTTACCGTTTGTTATTTTACTTTAAGGGCCATGCACGTCCTTAGAACAAGCATGGGTTCTTAGTTCTTGGAAATAGATTTTAAGAAAGAGAAAGCTTAAAAGAAAAGCTTAAAATACTGTCATCTCAAAGTTTTAATTCCCTAAGGCGAGAGAGTCAAAACACCAAGTTTGATTAAAATGCTGCAAATTACTTCTAGGAGATCAGTTTATTGTTTTTGATGGATAAAATTTTATCAGCGTACTGGGCCTATTATTTATGTTTATGCAACTCAAAAAAACTCTTCATCCCACATTCAAAAAGGTAAAACAACTGACCTGGTTGGGTGTTCTCTAGAGCCTCCCACTCCTGTTTGGCCTTTTCCAACTCTGCATTGTCCTTTTCCTCTGGGAATAAAATCACAAAGATGAAAACGGCCTCCCCTGTGCTGCTGCCACACAGTCGCGCTTCCTCCAGACAGGTGATCGCCGCTCCTGACTGACATTCTATCGGCACCTGCCCGGTGTCCAGGAAATAAACAGATTCATACGGGAGGAGGCTGAGACAAATGAGCTGTGGGTTACCTGCAGGTTCGGGATGGTTCCCACCTGCTGCCAAAGTCTGTAGGAGACCATTCTGCTTCAGTGTTGAAATCTGGAAATTCAACACATCAGATTACATTACATTTAAACAGAGTCCAACTGCTTAAAGTAAGATGATAAAAGCTCCAGTTACCGGCAGGGATCTTAGAGGTACACCACTGCTGGTGTGGTCTCTGCCATTGTGGCCTATAGCCACTCCATTCATGACCTGCAGAGAAGCAAAAACATAAGCCGCCCTTGTCTAAATACAACAAGTCTTCCTAGCAACAATTAATTACAAAGGATCAATTAGCATTAATTCTTAGCTTACAGGCTTATAGGTTGAGTGTCCATTGGTGATCTCCTCCAAAGGTTTATGCTCATGCGATAAACCATTCAGACCCTGGTAAGAAGGCAGAAAAACGGAGAAGATGCTTTAAAGTCAGAAACAATTTCAAAAGATTTAGGAAGACAAGTCATTGCGGCTACACATTTATTTATCTGTTACTTTATTTCATGAAAGGCCAAACAAAAGATTTAAAAAGACGGTTTGGAAATGCAGATTGTTACAATTTCTATCCATACAAAAAACTTTCTGTAAAAGCAGAAACGTCAGAGCGATTTTGGAAACGGGTTTCTTTGATCTAAAACTTGGGTGACGTTGATAACAACGTGACTGGAAAACAGGATTATCCCAGTGTTTACAAATGCAGTAATATACAGGGGTGGAGGTCAGAGAGCTGGAGGTAATGTTATGGCTACAAAACCAGGTTAGGGATGAGGGAAATTTCCTGTCAGCTGCCAGTGCATCAGCTGCATGCCAAAGAAGCCAGATCAGAGATTACAGCTAAGGCAGAGAAACACCACCTGACCTTACGGGTCTGGACTTACACACATGTAAATAATAGCCTAAAATGCTGCGTTAAAATGTTTTAAATGAAGCAGGAAGATGAAACACACTCCTGGAAGAAGACAGACAATACGGCAACATTTAGCAGACTGCACCTATTCTGTTTTGTTGGCAAACATGGCAGGTGTTTCTAATGGTGTGGTGTTAAGGGACTGAAAGCCCAAACACTGGAATGGGATTAAAGAAAATAATTAGAAAAATTAAAAAGTTAAAAATAACAGCACCTTGGTGTATGACGTGACATCAGTATCTTCTTCCATTGCGTGCGATTGCATTGACTGTCGAGGATGTTCCTGGTTTTGACCTTCAGAGGATTCTTAAGTCATGAAGTGAGAGGAACTGATGAGCCAAAGTGATGAACTGATGAGCCAAAGTGAAGACCAACATGGTTTCCGTAGTGCACCCTCGGGACTTAAAGTATCTATGCTTTTCTTGTTCTCCCCTCACATACATAAAAATGTCAAAGTCAACACAAAGATTTCACAGAACTGCCACAGAAATCTATACTGTGCACATCATACTCTTGTAGTAGCTGCAGTCATGTGATTCTGTCAGCCTTGACTATAGGAATGTGCAAGTGTCAGTCTAGAAGAGTCGACCGGGGTAGTCTTCTCTTCATTAGTGCACTTGTTTCATGAAATCCCGCTTCCTTCCCCTCTGCCACAGATTGGCCCCACTCCTCAACCCCACCAGGGGTAAACAGAAGCTGCATGATGACACTGCTGCTCAGGGCTGGGCTCTCCCTGTCCGAGACACTTCATTGTTTTGGCACTAAAGACAAACCCAGTGTGCACCCAGAGGTACAGAGACAGATCAATGTACTGTCAGAGCTGCTCTACTGTACGTTTTGCAGCCACAGCACACACTCCCAAGTAAAGACTCAAGGTGCCCGGAAAGACTTAGGTCTGGTATGAAAGTTGTTGCCCAGCCAAATTGCAGAGGAGGCACACAAAATCTGAAAAGAAGGAAAAAAATACAATGACTTCAATATTTTACGTGAATAAAACTTGATAACAGGATTTCAATCAATCAATCAACGCTTTATTTATAAAGCGCCTTCCGCGACCCTGACGGGAAGCCCAAGGCGCTGAACACGGTACATGAGAAAAACAGGTAAAAGCATTAAAGTAGAAAACAAATGGGTAAAACAAGAAATAAAGAGACCAATGAAAGCAGGGAATTAAAGTCAACATAAATGAAGGTCTAACTCATACACATTCAGGGAATGCCAAGTGGAGGAGGTGTGTTTTTAGACTCTTAAAGGCTGGCAGAGATGGGGATAGCCTGACTGAGGGTGGCAACTGGTTCCAGAGTGACGGGGCTAGGACTGAGAAAGCCCGGTCCCCGCGAGTACGACACCTAGAATGACGGAAAGCGAGCAGGCCTTGGTCAGAGGAGTGCAGAGCACAATGATGGGGTGATGGGGAATGTCTGTTCAGGAGCGTGGCCAGATGGGGGGAGCACCACCCTGGAATAAATTGTAAACAAAGACGAGGAGTTTAAAGTGTGAACGATAACAGACCGAAAGCCAGTGCAGGGAGGCCAGAACCGGACCGATGTGGTCCCGTTTCCTGGTCCCAGTCAGAAACCTGGCTGCACTGTTCTGCACAACCTGTAGGCGACGCAGTAATGATTGACCCAGTCTGGCATATAGAGAGTTGCAGTAATCAAGCCTAGAAATGACAAAAGCATGGAGTGCCCGCTCCAGGTGGGCTGTCGACAGCATAGGCTTGATTTTTGCAAGGCGTCTCCGATGAAATAAACTGGACCGGATCACAGAGTTGATGTGAGCATCAAATTTAAGTCCAGCGTCAATTTTCACCCCCAAACTGGTGAATTTTGATGGGGTTAAAATAAAAACCTAG